GCATCTATACCTCCTCGCACTTATGTACTCCTGGTAGCAGGTCTCTGATTTGTACGAAATAAAATATTTTTCTGCCAGTTTCGCCAAAAGTCGAAGAAATCTTGGATTTGTATCAGGATCATATAAGAGCGAGGAGGTATTTTTCGTTGATAAATTTTAGCAGGAGCATCTATACCTCCTCGCACTTATGTACTCCTGGTAGCAGGTGTCTGATTTGTACGAAATAAAATATTTTTCTGCCAGTTTCGCCAAAAGTCGAAGAAATCTTGGATTTGTATCAGGATCGCATAAGAGCGAGGAGGTATTTTTCGTTGATAAATTTTAGCAGGAGCATCTATACCTCCTCGCACTTATGTACTCCTGGTAGCAGGTCTCTGATTTCTACGAAATAAAATATTTTTCTGCCAGTTTCGCCAAAAGTCGAAGAAATCTTGGATTTGTATCAGGATCACATAAGAGCGAGGAGGTAATTTTTGTTGATGAATTTTAGCAGGCGCATCTATACCTCCTCGCACTTATGTACTCCTGGTAGCAGGTCTCTGATTTGTACGAAATAAAATATTTTTCTGCCAGTTTCGCCAAATGTCGAAGAAATCTTGGATTTCTATCAGGATCACATAAGAGTGAGGAGGTATTTTTCGTTGATGAATTTAGCAGGAGCATCTATACCTCCTCGCACTTATGTACTCCTGGTAGCAGGTCTTTGATTTGTACGAAATAAAATATTTTTTTGTCAGTTTCGCCAAAAGTCGAAGAAATCTTGGATTTGTATCAGGATCACATAAGGGCGAGGAGGTATTTTTCGTTGATGAATTTAGCAGGAGCATCTATACCTCCTCGCACTTATGTACTCCTGGTAGCAGGTCTCGGATTTCTACGAAATAAAATATTCTTCTGCCAGTTTCGCCAAAAGTCGAAGAAATCTTGGATTTGTATCAGGATCACATAAGAGCGAGGAGGTATTTTTCGTTGATGAATTTAGCAGGAGCATCTATACCTCCTCGCACTTATGTACTCCTGGTAGCAGGTCTCTGATTTGTACGAAATAAAATATTTTTCTGCCAGTTTCGCCAAAAGTCGAAGAAATCTTGGATTTGTATCAGGATCACATAAGAGTGAGGAGGTATTTTTCGTTGATGAATTTAGCAGGAGCATCTATACCTCCTCGCACTTATGTACTCCTGGTAGCAGGTCTCTGATTTGTACGAAATAAAATATTTTTCTGCCAGTTTCGCCAAAAGTCGAAGAAATCTTGGATTTGTATCAGGATCACATAAGAGCGGGAAGGAAATTTTCGTTGATGAATTTTAGCAGGCGCATCTATACCTCCTCGCACTTATGTACTCCTGGTAGCAGGTCTCTGATTTGTACGAAATAAAATATTTTTCTGCCAGTTTCGCCAAAAGTCGATGAAATCTTGGATTTGTATCAGGATCACATAAGAGCGAGGAGGTATTTTTCGTTAATGAATATAGCAGGAGCATCTATACCTCCTCGCACTTATGTACTCCTGGTAGCAGGTGTCTGATTTGTACGAAACAAAATATTTTTCTGCCAGTTTCGCCAAAAGTCGAAGAAATCTTAAGTTTGTATCAGGATCACATAAGAGCGAGGAGGTATTTTTCGATCATGAATTTAGCAGGAGCATCTATACCTCCTCGCACTTATGTACTCCTGGTAGCAGGTCTTTGATTTGTACGAAATAAAATATTTTTCTGCCAGTTTCGCCAAAAGTCGAAGAAATCTTGGATTTGTATCAGGATCACATAAGAGCGAGGAGGTATTTTTCGTTGATGAATTTAGCAGGAGCATCTATACCTCCTCGCACTTATGTACTCCTGGTAGCAGGTGTCTGATTTGTACGAAATAAAATATTTTTCTGCCAGTTTCGCCAAAAGTCGAAGAAATCTTGGATTTGTATCAGGATCACATAAGAGCGAGGAGGTGTTTTTCGTTGATGAATTTTAGCAGGAGCATCTATACCTCCTCGCACTTATGTACTCCTGGTAGCAGGTCTCTGATTTGTACGAAATAAAATATTTTTCTGCCCGTTTCGCCAAAAGTCGAAGAAATCTTGGAATTGTATCAGGATCACATAAGAGCGAGGAGGTGTTTTTCGTTGATGAATTTTAGCAGGAGCATCTATACCTCCTCGCACTTATGTACTCCTGGTAGCAGGTCTCTGATTTGTACGAAATAAAATATTTTTCTGCCAGTTTCGCCAAAAGTCGAAGAAATCTTGGATTTGTATCAGGATCACATAAGAGCGAGGAGGTATTTTTCGTTGATGAATTTAGCAGGAGCATCTATACCTCCTCGCACTTATGTACTCCTGGTAGCAGGTCTCTGATTTGTACGAAATAAAATATTTTTCTGCCAGTTTCGCCAAAAGTCGAAGAAATCTTGGATTTGTATCAGGATCACATAAGAGCGAGGAGGTATTTTTCGTTGATGAATTTTAGCAGGAGCATCTATACCTCCTCGCACTTATGTACTCCTGGTAGCAGGTCTCTGATTTGTACGAAATAAAATATTTTTCTGCCAGTTTCGCCAAAAGTCGAAGAAATCTTGGATTTGTATCAGGATCACATAAGAGCGAGGAGGTATTTTTGTTGATGAATTTTAGCAGGAGCATCTATACCTCCTCGCACTTATGTACTCCTGGTAGCAGGTCTCTGATTTGTACGAAATAAAATATTTTTCTGCCAGTTTCGCCAAAAGTCGAAGAAATCTTGGATTTGTATCAGGATCATATAAGAGCGAGGAGGTATTTTTCGTTGATAAATTTTAGCAGGAGCATCTATACCTTCTCGCACTTATGTACTCCTGGTAGCAGGTGTCTGATTTGTACGAAATAAAATATTTTTCTGCCAGTTTCGCCAAAAGTCGAAGAAATCTTGGATTTGTATCAGGATCACATAAGAGCGAGGAGGTATTTTTGTTGATGAATTTTAGCAGGAGCATCTATACCTCCTCGCACTTATGTACTCCTGGTAGCAGGTCTCTGATTTGTACGAAATAAAATATTTTTCTGCCAGTTTCGCCAAAAGTCGAAGAAATCTTGGATTTGTATCAGGATCACATAAGAGCGAGGAGGTATTTTTCGTTGATAAATTTTAGCAGGAGCATCTATACCTCCTCGCACTTATGTACTCCTGGTAGCAGGTGTCTGATTTGTACGAAATAAAATATTTTTTCGCCAGTTTCGCCAAAAGTCGAAGAAATCTTGGATTTGTATCAGGATCATATATAAGAGCGAGGAGGTGTTTTTCGTTGATGAATTTTAGCAGGAGCATCTATACCTCCTCGCACTTATGTACTCCTGGTAGCAGGTCTCTGATTTGTACGAAATAAAATATTTTTCTGCCAGTTTCGCCAAAAGTCGAAGAAATCTTGGATTTGTATCAGGATCATATAAGAGCGAGGAGGTATTTTTCGTTGATGAATTTTAGCAGGAGCATCTATACCTCCTCGCACTTATGTACTCCTGGTAGCAGGTCTCTGATTTGTACGAAATAAAATATTTTTCTGCCAGTTTCGCCAAAAGTCGAAAAAATCTTGGATTTGTATCAGGATCACATAAGAGCGAGGAGGTATTTTTCGAGGTAATAAATAAATCGAAAAATGAATATATCGACAAATCAATAAATAGATTAATCAATAAATCCATAAATCGATAAATCGGTATAATATAATAATAATAGTGATTTTCCCACTGCAGGGACCTTATCAAACGAATTGGATCGGCTTTCTTATAATCATTTATCAAATCGATAAATCAATAAATCGATAAATCGATAAATCAATACATCAATAAATCAATAAATCAATGAATCCATAAATCGATAAATCGATAAATCCATAAATCCATAAATCAATAAATCAATAAATCAATAAATCAATAAATCAATAAATCAATAAATCAATAAATCAATAAATCAATAAATCAATAAATCAATAAATCAATAAATCCATAAATCAATAAATCAATAAATCTATAAATCAATAAATCTATAAATCGGAATATTATAATAATAATAGTGATTTTATCAAACGAATTGGATCAGCTTTCTTAGCTATCAACCAAAAGTTGCAATACGCAATAAGGCTAAGGCGAAAGCGAAAACGAATCGATAAATCAATAAATCCATAAATCAATAAATCGACAAATCAATAAATCGATAAATAAATAAATCGAAAAATGAATAAATCGACAAATCAATAAATAGATTAATCAATAAATCCATAAATCGATAAATCAATAAATCAATAAATCAATAAATCAATAAATCAATAAATCGGTATAATATAATAATAATAGTGATTTTCCCACTGCAGGGACCTTAAACGAATTGGATCGGCTTTCTTATAATCATTTATCAAATCGATAAATCGATAAATCAATAAATCGATAAATCAATAAATCGATAAATCGATAAATCGATAAATCAATACATCAATGAATCCATAAATCGATAAATCGATAAATCGATAAATCGATAAATCGATAAATCAATAAATCAATAAATAGATTAATCAATAAATCCATAAATCGATAAATCAATAAATCAATAAATCAATAAATCGATAAATCGATAAATCGATAAATCGATAAATCGATAAATCGATAAATCGATAAATCGATAAATCAATAAATCAATAAATCAATAAATCTGAACTATAGTTATATAGAACTATATATAGTACCAGTTAAAATACTTGCACTTATTTCTGGGACACCCTGTATATTTTAATGTTTAAAATTGAAATATAAAATTAATAAAATAAGACAAATCAAATTAAAAACTAACGAGAAGTATTAAAAAAACATTGGAAAACGGCGCGTACAAGGGCAAAAAGAGAGCAACGCGACAGGTCTATTATCATAAAAACTAGAAGGTTATCGGGGTAAGAACAAATAGAAGAAAGAAAGAAACACGTTGTATTTCGAAACGTTTGAAAATGGTGAGAGCAATTATGGGTCGGTCCACACGTGCGCTGGCAGGACTCGCTCTCGCAGGTCGACAGAAGGAGAGGCCTCGTGCCTGCAGGCTGGCGCGACTGCGACGGCCTAAAAAAGCCCGTCCTGCCTCGAACCACACTCTCACGTGCTCCGCGGCGTGTTTACTCGTGCGCTATCATCAGTTCTCGGCCGACTCCTGCTGCCACACACAGAAAGCCAACGCATTTCGAGGGCGCGTTTCCCGCAGCTCCCCAAACTACACCCGGCTCTTATATGTGTTATCGTTATTTCCGCTTATGAGAAACGGAACCGAAACAAGTTGGATTTCAGCCGGACCGTTCGGAACGACACGACCATCATCATGAACATGGCCCACGTATGCTGGGAGGAAAACTCCAACATCCAGCGCATCAAGTACGAAAGGTAAGCGGGTTCGTGTAAAAAGGAACGTCGCTCTGCGAAAATCGCATTTTCAAAAACGAAAAATTTCCATTAGATCGGCGAAAGTCACCATATCGCAAAGATAACAAACTTAATTCGTGAGTGACGTAAACGCGACGTCTATAAACATTATTTACCCATCATCACGTTTGGAAATGATTTCGCACTATTTATAGCAGCAGCGCGCGACGTCCAAAATATTTTAATAACATCGTTCGATACGAAAAAATAGTTTTTAATTTTTGTTTTGTTGGTCGTTTCTCGGTATTGTCGGCAATTATCTATCGTACAGAATAATAATAATTTTAAATTGTTTTGAGTTTTATCCGAAAAAAGTCCGCCTCAAGGTCGACGTACTAGAAGTATTATTTTTTAATAACTACGCAATGTCTTTGATTTTAGTTCTTTGTCGTACCTTACTAGCAAAAATTACGAGCTAATCAATTAATGACCAATAAGCAATCTTAATCCACCCAAACTTCGGCACCATGTTCTTCAGATAAAAACAAGTAAAAATGTTCCTATAAATCCATGTCCTAAAATCTTCCGATTTGGAGATAAGGGGGGAAAGGTTTTATTATTTTGGTTTTTTTCCAAATAGTTTTTGAAATAACGTCGATATTTGGATGCAAATTTGGTGTCAGTGCCTGTATAAAAAACTACTTCTCCAAAAAAAATGTAATTTTTTTGGGGAAGGTCATCGATCGTCATTTCCAAGCCAAATAGACGCCGTTTTTTTTTCATCATACCGTCCATTTACGCCATTTTTTACGTAAAAGGGGCCTCTTGGTAAAAATCGCTATAAGTAACGGTTTTCGAGGTAATTGAAATCGAAATAATCAATACATGTCATCATTGACATAAATTAAACATATGCTGATTAGATAGTTATATTAGGCCAAAATTGAAATGATTTTGTTACAAAAGGTTCAACAGAAACTGTTTCATCATAAAACTTTCTAGAAAAAGATTATGATTAATTTAAAATAATAAAAAAGTCTCAGGACGAAAAATTATTAATCTTCTAAGAAAAAGTTATATGGCCTTTTTTACTTTATTCTGATCTGCAAAATATGCTGCCGAAGTTTCCCGAATACAATTCTGACCACCCTGTATTATAATTTAAGGTGCACTTAAATTAAAACAAAATCTTTAACCTGGGAACTGTTTTTTCGCAGGTTGAATCAAAACGAAGACGCTCTGAGAATGAAGGACGCGCCTAGAGGAATTTACCAATGTTGCGATTCGTAAGTATCTTGCCCGCAATTTCCGCACCGGAAATTCGGCATTCTAACATTATTTGGCTTTATTTTTCGCAGGTATTTTCTCCTTTTTTTTAGAAAAGAGCTTATTCGGCGGCCGCATTTGCAAGCCCCTTACAGTATCAGAAAAAATGTGGTTTTCCGTATTTACATGGTAATTGCATATTAAATCGTATATCGTCGGTTCAAAGGCTACACACAGCAATTTTGAACTGATAAAATATTAGAGATAGTTGATTTAATTGTTTCCTTCTTATCGCCCGTTTACACGAGTTTACTTTTTCCAATTTCTACTTGACAACGCTTCTCTATAAGAATACTGATAACATAAAAGTAAATCTAGAAGGATAAATATTATCTCTGTCGTGTTTTTTCCCAGTAATTTATTTTATTGTTTTAAGCCTAATGATTCAGGTTTAATTCTTAGATATTGTTAAATCATTTAAGAATATACATATAAAGTGCTTAATTTTTGGTAAAACAGAAAGTTTAACACCAAGGCACATACAATTAAAATGTGACAAAGGTTTGTTTTTATATTATGTTGTCTAGGTTAATTTTTTTAATTTACGGGAACATTTTTTTTTATTTTAATAAAATAGAAATTGCTGGAAAAGTAAATTTAAAAATAAACTGCTATTACGTATGTATTGTTGATTGCATACAACCATTGACCGCCATTTAGAAATGAACTTAGAAGAACAAAAATCTTTAATATTAAACAAATCTACGTTCAAAGTGAAAATAAAAGGTTTACTTTTGAAATTTAAAATGTTTTTATTATTAATTTCTTCATTTCTCGTTACTCTAGTGTAACAATTTGCCGTTACAAACTGATATAGTATTAAGTCATCTTTCTTTTAAATATATTTAAACTGATTTCACGAGCCACGAGACTCAATACAATAGTATAATTAGTAATAAGAACATAATATATATTGTAAGGTGTGTTTTTCAAAATTAAACCTTGGTATATGTATATTATCTTATTTGATTTTCTTGGAAACTCCACATTATTCCCATACGAAAAGGTTCCCTGTAGTTCAGATTGTAATGGATTGATATTAGGATTTTTTTTTATTAATTTTTGTATAATTTCAGTTGGTAAATAATAAAACTAATTCTATAAACTGTTCTTGTTTGAAGAATGTACTCATTTCTCTTTTTTGTTATCAGAAATTTAAACTTTTCCACTGCAACTTGCAGTGAAGATGATTGTGAATACGGGACATTCAAGAAAAGTAAAGTGGCGAGGGTAAGTAGCATGCTATATAAAACCGAATACCAAATATTTTAGGCTCGATATATTGTATGTAACGCCATATATAAGTAAGAATTAATGAAAAAACAACAAACTGTTTATTTGATTTACACACGGTATATTTGCACAGTCCATGACTTTCCGAGATTTAAGCGTGGGGCCATGACCAGGTGCAGCCCTAAAAGACAGTATAGAGTCGTGGGGCCGAGATCAGACGCAAGTACGGTTGTCGTTCCCTCTCCGTCATCAGAATACCGACGTTTGGTCAATTCAACCTGTAGATGTTTGTAATACAATATTAAATACAGATATAAAAGTGGCATTTATATATTTCTTTCCATCTCCACGTTATCTTTGTGATTGTTTTTGTGTCGCCTTCGAGCCGCAAGAAGAGTCAGAGTCGTAACATTTCTTTTTCATCCCTTAGATATAACCAGTTTGTATTCTTTGATCCATCCCCTTAAAATTGATTTTATCTATAGTATACAGATTTGCAGTAACTGTTTATTTCAATTTACAGAAAGTAATAAAAAAATTTAAGTCAACAATAAAAATATCTATCTCCAAGTTTTTATATTCCATTTGTTTTCTAGTTCGAAGTTGCTTAATAACTGTTACAAAATATATGATTTCAGTTTAGCCTGAAATTGTTGACAGCTTGCTGACGAGATGTGTACAGGATAAGTCTAAAATAAGTGCAAATATTTCTAGGGGTGCTATATTTCGATGTCTATGATTTTTTTTCGCAAAAAAAGATGTTGAAAATCGTGCCTTTTCTTTTAAATTTTCCTGCGTATTTTTTAATCTCTGATATTACCATATGGTTACCGCACTAAAAGGGAGGCTTGGAAGGGATGAAAATACAGAAAAAATCCGGTGGCCTAATTTTTTTTTAAAAATAAATCTTTTTTTATTTTGAAATTTCAAACTTGAATAACTCGGTTATTTTCGACTTATCTGTAAAGAGAAAATATATGTTTCTTTTATCGAGATCTACCACCCCTGAAAATATTTACACTTATTCAAGGCTCATCCTGTATATTATGAAATCCTAGTTAAATGCAACGGTTAAAAAACTTTCTGTAAAAAACTGGATATAAAATTTAAAAAAAATATTAAATATATCTTGGCCTCCTGTGAAGTCGTTTAAATTTATTCATACGGTACTATAAAATTATAAACTTAATTATACACTAAAAATCCGCATCAATAGCCTCTGTCCCAAACATCTTCTATGTAACAATCTTGACTGATCAGCGTTTCCCTCCCTTAGCAAGATCCGATGTCGCATCGGATCATCGAGAAGCGACGCAGGGACAGGATGAACAACTGTCTCGCGGACCTCAGCAGACTGATCCCAGCGGAGTACTTGAAGAAGGGGCGCGGTCGCATAGAGAAAACGGAAATAATCGAAATGGCCATCAAGCACATGAAACACCTGCAAGATCAGGAGAGGGTCGATCCTGCGGAACAATACAGGTGAGATTTACTTTTTTTACTAAAATAGAAATAGAGGAAAGTAACCAAATATGGAATACTATTAGTTTTTATGTTATCTATGTCAAAAAAGAGGTATTGTAATTGTAATTCTTAGTTATTATCAGTCATACAGGTACAACTTAATAATTGTTTTCTGTTACGTACCATGTGCGTCTCAAAAGTGGCTCACCCCTATAACTTTTTTATTTTTTCAGATAAAAAAACGAGATTTAGTATGTTAGTATATGACATAAATTAGGATGGATTGACGTATCAGATTGTCTTCGGTCACTTCCTGTTTCACCGGAAATGACTACAACTTTTGATTTTTGAATGGCACCCTCGGTATTTTTTTACTCTATTCGATAGAAAATGACATTCTGAATAGAATGACATATCATACGTCAACTTGTGAGATTCTCGTTTAATAAAAAATCGTATTTAAAATTCAATCTAGAGTGCCATGGCTATGTTATAAACATGAATTCTTAATCAAGGAGCCTTGGAAAAATAGATTTGATCGTCTAATGTTTTTAGTGTCTTATGTCCTGGCCAGTTAGAAAATGCTCAAATCGTATTTTCAATCATATCTCATTTTTTTCAAATGGAACGAGGGTAACTCATTAGCATATTTGGAAAAAGCATTTTTTTACGAATAATTTGATACCACACACTTGGTATTTCGAGTCAAATTTTCGTTACGAACCGCAAATTATGTAATTTCAAATAAACCATATGCGAAAATGTCAAAAGTTGACATATGGTGTGTCATTCTATTTAGAGTGTTATTTTCTATCGAATAAAGTAAAAAAATACCGAGAGTGCTATTTAAATATCAAAAGTTGTAGTCATTTCCGGTGAAACAGGAAGTGACCGAAGACAATTGAACACGTCAATCAATCCTAATTTATGTCATATACTAACATACCAAATCTCGTCTTTTTAACTGAAAAAGTAAAAAAGTTATAGGGGTGAGCCACTTTTGAGACGCACCCGGTATATTAATTCGATCTGAATCATTTTCAGGCTGGGTTACCAGGAATGTATGTCGGAAGCGATACGGTTCATGGTAGAAATCGAGGGCCACTTTCCGCGAGAGCCCGTGTGCGCGAGGCTTCTGAGCCATCTGCAGGCCCACTGCGACCAGGGACCCCACACGGGAGCCGCGCCAATACCCAGGTCGCCTCCGAGTCCCAGGCCTGTGCCCTGCGACTACACCGTGCCCAAGACGGAGCCGGAGAACAGCAACAGCAGCGACGCGTTCGTGGTGGCCACGGCCAGGGCGCAGGAGCCACAGAACGGAGCCTCCTACAAGTACAAAAACAGCATAAAGCTGCGCTTCAGCCAGGATGCGAGCGCGCACGAGGTGCCGAAAAGGCAAAGGATGGATGAGAGGCACGAGGCACCGGTGCCCGCTGTTTTCGACAGTCACAGGTAACTAAACCGTGTGTTGCATCTACACTCGGTACCTTAAAATTTTCATGCATTTTAAAGTTTTATATTTTTGGTTCTAGTAGGCCGATTTTGAAGATTTTTTAATCAATATGTAGCTAAATTATTTGACTTCTTAGTATCTCTTTTTTAATTACGCCATTTTATTAATCACAATTAATAACATTAAAATAAAAATAACATCAATAAATTATGTTTTTTTATTTATCTTTTTGATTATACCCACTAAGCTGTATGTACTTTTCAGCTCGGATCATAGTCCCCCTCCGATGCCGGACCCCAACAGTCGCTCGACCGACGACGACCGGCCACGCAGTCGACCTTCTTCGGACTGCGCATCGCCCACGGGGGCTCCCCAGACGCGCCACGGGGTTCCCCTTCGGCGCTTTTCCGATCTACGGACCAGTCCTTTCACCGGAGATAACTTCGAGGTGCCGCTGTTTGCGCTGCACGCCAAGGGATCCTACTACGTGCCCCTAACCATCGACTACAAGACCGTCTTGCCGTTCCTGCGGGGCGGAGACCTGTTGGACGCCACGCCGGCGCCCGCACTGCATCCCGTCACCATCAGCGTCAGTTTCCTGTCCCATTCGAAGCCCCCCAGATATAAATACGAATGCAACAATAACTGGCACTAGCGGGTGCGTTTGGTGGATGGAAAGAATGTGTGATATGTGATATCTCGCTTAAATAAAACGCGCGTGGCTTATTCGGTACCGGATTAATGCAGGAAGATAAGTACCTGAAGGTAATCATATAATCCGAGCCCGACTTATATACCATATAAGTGTAAAGAAAACAAAATCAAAAAGGACACAAACTAACGGAACTACCTCGTGATATTTGATGTGTGAGTGCGTGGAATCGACATGAGAGTGCGAAGTTTACAGTTATCTATTTTCTGATTAAAATGAATCACAAAAACTCGATTTCTGAACCTACCAAGGAATGTATTGCAACAGAAAAAAAATCTACATTTCACCTAAAATTATACAGAAATCGTTTTTAAAATTATTGTTGTGTTATGAACTGTTTAAATTAATACATGTTGATAATGAAATTATTTGCTGTTATTTTATTTCACTTCGTTCAACAGATAAATAATACACCGACGACTTAATTTGAAATAATTAAATTATTTTTTACATTGATTCATATACAGGGTGTCCTAGGCTGAGCGTGCATTAGAAGTTTCTAGAAAACTACAATATCTAGATAGGAGATTTTTTGCACATCACTGTTGTTCTCGATATCGATAGATCTCCTTGTAAAACAGTGATGTGCAAAAAATCTCCGATCTAGATATTGTAATTCTCTAAATTTCTGATGCACGCTCAGCCTGGGACACCCTGTATATACAAATCTAAATTACTTATTTGCAAAAAAATAATTCCGTAAATTCCACACTAAATCAACAAAAAAACCGTAATAGTTCTATACAACAAATAAGATTTACCTTTTATTTCAAAGTACCATGTCAAACAAAAACGACGTCACAATTCATGCTGAACTATATCTGGCGTAAGTTTTTGACAGTGTCAAAGAATAAGTAAGTATATAGAGGATCCCGAGATTTTTTAAACACTCTTGTATAATAATAAGATACCTGTATAAATTCTAACTCCATATAATTAATTTTCAAAAACTTATTTTACACTACAATTTTTGACAAGGACGGATGGCACATCATATAGTTCGTCCGACGAGAGGATCTCTGATAATGACAGTTGTGCCTGTCATTTTAACTAATAAATAAATAACGCCCTCCAACGGATAAACGAAGCACTTTTGTATAGAGGTCGTCTCCAATGAACTTATGTTTAGTTTGGTTTAGTTGCTGGAATCTTAGCTGTTAAATCTTTGAATAAAATGTGTTAAATTAACAAACACTGGCATTATAAAACCATCATCTATTTAATATTCCATTTTACAGGCAAATACAGCTCACTTAATTGATTAATTATATACAAACGCGCGTTCTTTGCCCACGTCGCCTCGCAAACGTACTCAGCGCTTACGGGTCTTCAGCGCCCCCTCGTCCTGCAACAGACAAAGCAACAATAATTAAGCAAGCCCTACCGACGATTGCCTATAGACGAACGTTACTTTCTTTCTCGCGCTCCTCCGCCCGCGCCTTCATCCTGGTGATGAAGGCCGCGCCCTTGTTCTTGCGGAAGTTCTCGTAGGGGTCGTTGAGGTTGCAGCCGACACCCTTGAACTGGTCCTGGCGGTCACGCACGTCGCCTCCCGCGATGGGAGCGTCTATGCCCTGCTCGTTGGCGCCTAGGCCGCGGCCACCCCAGCCCATCTTGCGCAGCATCTCGTGTCCCTTGTTCGAGGCGTCCAGTTCTTGCGGATCGCTGCGCATGAACGGCAAACCGCTGCAAAAAAAAGTTTGGGCAAAGTTGTAAATTCCTCTCCTAAAAGTTTAGTGAAACACTGGGAATTCCCACCCTGTATACAACCTACAGGGGTGATTAAAAAAGATTTAAATATTTTTTAATGACTTAAGTCATTTTACCAAAGACTTAATCTTTTAAAACATTTAAGTCTTTTATGAGATTTAAGTCTTTTTTTTAAATATTTTTATCGAAAATTGTTAACAGCGGCATCAAATATGTGTTTACCATCTTTCATCTGGTTATCTTGAGGGAAATTATAATGATTTAAGTCATTTTACTGACTTAACTTGCAGATTATAATGATTTAAATAAAAAAAAGAGACTTAAGTAAAAAAAAACTTAAATAACGTTATATTGATTTAATTCTTTACAAAAATGACTTAAATCAAAGACTTAAAATTTAAATCATTTTGATTTTGGAAATGACTTAGACTTAAGTCTTTTTAAAACTGACTTGTTGCAGCTCTGTCTCCTGACAATACTTACCTTCCGAACCCGGAATTGGGCGGCGAGAGCGACTTCCTGGGCGGCGGCGACCTCGACCTCGACCTGGTGTAGCTCTGGCGCCTCTTGTTCTGGCGGCGCCTGCGCGGGCTCCTCGACCTGCTCCTGGACCGCGACCTGGACCTGGAGCGCGACCGGCGGCCTCGCCTGCGGGCTGGCGGAGGCGCGGGCGGTGGCGTGGGCGACTTGCTGCGGTACCGGCGCTTGGGCGGCGTGTTCTCCTTCTCCGCCTTCAGTACCACCGGCGACGGGCTACGCGATTTCAGTCGAAGCCCCGCGGCGATGGCGTCGTCCTTTTCCTTTTTCGCCAGGTTCTTCGCCTTGTAGTACTCGTACAGGCCCAGTTTCTCCCAACCCTCGCTGTAACAGTCGCAACGAATTAGAAAATCTAGACATAGAGCTACGAGGTAGGTACTAATACCTGTCTCTGGGCCGTTCGTGACTAGGTAATGAGTAAAACGCGTCAACAGCTGCCAGCAGTCGCTCGCTAGGGGGCGCAGGGGGTGGCAGTCTTATATCTTTGGGATCCAGCGGTTTATACTCGGTATCTTCTAACTACAAACCATTTATATGTATTCAGGATGGTCCGAATTGCATTCGGGAAACTTCGGAGGCTTATTCTAACGATAAAAATAAGTAAAAAAGTTCGTAATGTGTCAATACGACTCTTATTTGTAGGGGGCGCCACCTACATGTGTTTTAACCTTGTTTTAACTGTTTTGAAGAGTAATAACTTTTCGTCCGTACCTGTCTAAAACTACTGAGTAAATATAATTTCTACCATTTTTTAAGTAAAAAAGGTCTCTCTGTATCCCAGAAACGAAGTATTTTTTTACATACTTTTATACGAACGTTTTTACCATGTTTTTACTTATTTTTATCGCTAGAATATGCTGCCGAAGTTCCCCAAATTCGAAATCCTCATTCGGACCACCCTGTATTAGATACCACTTTTAGATTTAACAGTAAAAAACAGGTAATAAATAAACAAAGAATCGATACCTTAACTAAAGGTACCATAAGACCAGCGGGCAGGTCGAAATAAGGAGCGGTCGGCATCAGTTCCTCCAGAAACACGTCCTGCTTTGGCGGGAATCCCGGCGGCGGCCTGGAGAAATCGGGAAGTCCCGGAAGAATCATGGCCGGCGGCGGGGGAGGCGGCGGGAAATAACCCGGCGGCGGCTGCGAGAACGGCATAGTGTCCATCCCGTTGGCCGGCGGCGGCTGCGACGCCAGGTTCGGCGGCGGTACGCTGGTATTCATCGGAACGAAACTGTCGCCGTTGCTTTGGGCAACCGCGATTGGAAAGGTGTGCGAGTTTTGATTTAGACTAGAAGTGCTGGTACTATTAGATTGAGTCAACGTCTGAATTGTCTGCTGTAAAGTGGCCTGAATAGTCTCGAGAGGAATAATGTTTGTGGTAGGCGGAGGTGGAGGAGCAGGCACCGCCTGCTGCTGCTGCTGCTGTTGTTTCTGCTGTTGCTCCAAATTTTGTTTCTGCTGTTGCAAATCCATAATTTGTTGCATCGCGTGACACACGAAAGCCTGATGTTGTGACTGGTACCCTTCAAAAGTCAGCTTAGTTTGTTGCGCTAATGCGGCCACTTCAGTTGCATATTTGGCCATCTGGTCTGATTGGTATTGTTGATAACTCTGAATGGGATTACGCAGCTTTTCCAAAGTCTCCGCTTTTAAATAATTCACTTTTGATTCCCATAACTTAAGAAGTTTTTCTAATTTTAACTTCTGTTCATCATTGGCTACTATGCTTGCATTGCAGAACATTGGTACAACAACTATTTCTAGAGCCTCCTTTAAATCGTTTGCATTTTTTCTGGCACTAAGCAATTGAAAATATCTTATAAATAACGGCTATTACTAGATTATATCAAAACTTACCTATGATGTAACAAGTCATTAACTAAATAAATTACGTGAAGCTTTTGGGGAAATGTACTAGACTGTAATACCCTACAATTAACCACATGTACAATACAAAATAAATTTTTATACAAATCTGTTCTTACTTATACAACAGGCACTGCACAATACAATACGCTTTATGCTTGCTATCTGCATGCTGAAGAAACCAAGACTTTCCATTACTAATACTATCTTTAGTACAATTATCAATAATCGGTTGCAATATTCCATAGAGTTCAGTGAGGATAATCCCACAATCCTCAGCATCCTTTTGGAGATCTGAAGATTCACATTTAGCAACTGTTGCTTCAACAGAAGCTTGCTGTTGCTGTAAGAGAACTGTATGCTGAGCATTTAAATTCTGCTCACTCTGTTTTATTTGTTCGCGAAGGGCATCCTGTTGTTTATTTATGTGCTCAATCTCAATGGTCTGCATATTAGGTATATTGGGAGGTGGAGTATTCCAACTAGTGGTCTCCGACGATGCAGTTGATTGCTGCTGCTGCTGTTTGACGACTAACATACAAATATTACAATAGGTACTATATTAAATGGATATCTGCACTCACCTGTTTGTTCTGTAGATACTTTATATTGATAATATTCATAATGTTCACCACCATACAGAAATTGAAATTTGGGATTTCCTTTCTGTTTATTTTTTGTCATTTGTTCAAATTCCGGTCCATTTCTAGCCACAAACTGGGCAAGCTTGTCTATTATGTTTTTCAATTCAGTATCTGTAAAAACAATGCTATAATTCGGACCTCTTTTTCATTTAAATGTTACCTTCTGGTGGCGCAGGAACATCCATTTTAATTTAGTAACATTATCCTTACAATATTAACGAAAATTAATATTTTCATGAAAATTATATTCAAAAGATTCTTGAAACTTTGACATCGAAGCTCTAACCTATATCTTTTTGAAATATTTGGCACTTGGCAACTTTTTGCGCGTGCTCGCTAGCAGTTTGTCATCTTTATTTATATTTAATCTAAGGTCATCTTTAATTATTGTATTATGGGTTGCATACCGAGGATGGCAATTTAAAAAAGCGATATTTTTAGTTTTGATTTAACTAAAAATTCACAGTTAGCACAAATTACTACGAATTAAAACCATTTTATGTTATTTCAGTCATTTATTTGTTATTTTTTAAGGTATTATTCTGTTTTCTATAGGCGACACTATCCCGTATTCTTGCCCCTCGTAAAGTCACTGCCTTTGGTAAAATACAATCTCTTACGTATACACCCCTTTTTTCTGGGGTCCAAGCTGCGAATTCGTATTCTTTTAAATCACAGTTGATTGCCACCCAGCCTATTAAAATACAGGAATTAACTAAATTAAACAATAATATATTTTTGTATTCTAACCGGCACTGGACAAAACCACATCAAAACTCGATTCTTTGATATTTTTCCCTTGGATTCTAAAAGTTTTGACCAACGAAAGACCAGGCCATTTTGATAGCCGATCTCCTTCATTAATAGGAACAGCAAATAGGTCTGTCCCTAAAAGTTCATTGTAAATGTTTTCAGCCATGTCCATTTTACATATCGTAACTGGTAAATGTTCTGTTCTAAACACTGTTAACCTTGAACATTAAATAGTAACTACAGGTATATTATTAATTTAAAAATATAATAATTTTACCTGACAGAGTTAGGTCCTTGTACGTAATCTAACCTGGCTAGTCCACCAATGAATAATGTAGTTCCCGGTTTTACACAAAATGTTTCAGGATAAATGGCATCCTTGGGCAAAGTTCGTAACAGTTCTTCTACTGTTAACATATGAATAATTTGGTCGGGATGAACCACACCAGGGGTATCAAAGCACCATTTACTGGTTACATAATCCGGATGATTTTCCTTAATGCCCAGAGAAACTTTTCCAGAAGCATTTGCATTGCCTTGCGTAGAAAAGCCATCGACAATGGAATAATCCTTGACAGGCCTGGTAAATGACCTTTCAATTTTTTCCATCAATGAAACATTCGGCTTCTCCACTTCACCATCTCTTTTCAAATTCTTTTCCATTTTAGCCAAAGCTTTCTTTTGCTCTAATCTCTCATGCCTTAAGTGCGAACGCAAACCAGATATGCGCATTATGGGAAATTTTAGTAAATTTAAAGTTGTTCCGGGCCAAACACTTGTGGTAGCTCGTTGAATAAGATCGGCAGCTTGGATTTTACAAAAGTCAGACTGCAAAAGAGAGTTAAATAAACTAGATTTGCCCACGTTTGTGCATCCAACTAAATAAACATCTCCTAGAATTGAAATAAATATTGTTTACCACAGTTTAAAAATATATTTTCCTTTTACCTTTATACCTGTATACTCTCAATAATGATGTAATAAGATTGTCAACTCCATAACCAGTTTTAGCTGATATTAAATCAACACTTTTGATATTAGCACTGGCAAATCCACACAGCTTTACATTGTCATACAGCACCTGTCTGATTCTGTTTAAAGTTTTGCTACTATCCACCGGAAGTAAATCAACTTTATTTCCAACAACTACAATTGGAACTTTTAATCCCAGAATATCGGCAATTCCTGGCCATATAGAACAGGGGAAATCAGTCAAGTCAACCATCAATATGATTAAAGACGAATTTGCAGAAATTGTCGATAAAATTTTAGGATAATCATCTACCGAAACTCTGACTTGCAAAGCAATATTATAAACTTTCAAAAAATAACACCTCTGACACAAAATTGACTTGGCATCTGCACCATGTGGATTAAAACAATTCTTGAATATTTCTGATGGAACATACCCTGGAATTGCGGTATCCTAAAAGGACAAGTTAAAAAATTACTATAATAAACACAGCCAAATATTATTTTACTTTGCAATGGAGATGAGCCCCACAACCACCACATGGGTATCTGGATATGGAGGAACTTGGGTCTGGAGTGCCATAATTGATGTCCTGGTCAGATTCATTAATTTCTTGACTTTCTACCAAATCATACTCATAATTATCATAGCTTGTCATCCAGTTCTTGTAGTCAGCATTTAATAATTGTTTCCTAGCCAAAACTTCCTTTTTAATAGAAGTTTCTAATTTTTCTTTAATTTCTGGCTCATTTACTTGTTCAGTTGAAATAAATGGAAAATTAGAATTGAATTTCTCTCTGAAACCTTCTTCTTCCGATTCTTTTTTCTCGTTATTATCTTCAAAACTCTTATTTTCAGTGTAATATTTTAAACACAATGGAAGTGGTTGGATAGTTTGTAAAGCCCTATTCATTTTTTCTTCATAATGTTTTCTTTTTCTCATAAAAGTATAATTTGCTGCATATCCTTGTTTCAATCTAGATTCAATTACGCTGTTATATAAGATTTTTTCTTTGATTTCCGTTATCAATCGGTTCAATTTCTCGGCAGTTTCATTAACATTGTTTTCTTTTTCAATATGTTTTATACTGAAATATCTCAAACGGCTACAAGCAGGACATGCCTTGAAAAATTTTATTACCGGGAATAACATAGTAGTTGGTTATTTATTTCAAAACATTCCATATAATAAATACCAAAATTTCTAAGACGTAGAAATTCTAAAAATGTAGCTCTAGAAGACTGTTAAATTTTTAGAATATGGACACTGTTAAATTATGTTGTGTTCTTAAAGTGTTTGAAGCCTGTTAACTAATTTGGTACATGAACAAATATTATAATCGTAAAAAACTAAAATAATGATTATTGAACGTAGATAATTAACTAGTTTTACTAATTCAAATAAAAAATTATAAAATTATTTAGACTATTATTTACATTCAGAATTTTGTGAGGTTGGTATATAATTTTTTTTTCCTCTGCTTTACAAATTTTGGATATTTTGTTCACTTTTGTTTACTATCATGAGTGTCCGAATAGAAATTAAACGAAGAAGAAATAGAAATACCCATAGATTAGCAAATGTAACTATGCACAGATTAAATATTACAAACTTTACCTTAGATTAAATCTTTATAAATAATGATTTTAATCTAAGGTGAAGTTTGTGATATTTAATCTGTGCATAGTTACATTTGCTAATCTATGGGTATTTTTTTATCCGATCTGTGGTTATCTTTTTAAGTATCCACAGATCAGATATAAATACGGAATCTGTGGTCGGTGTGGAATTATTGGCCCTCTATATAGCTGCCAGGGCTATCTGGCAACTAAATCGGTGGTTATTAATTTGTCGTTAAATTATGCCTGTTATTATTTAACAAGAATGAGAGACGAACAAACAGTAACCCTAGGCCTGTAAATCAAATGTAAATAAAGTACCTGTTTACAAAAAAAGTACTGAATTAAAATATTACAGAAATTAATTAAATATGGTATGATATTTTTCAATTCGAATTTTACAATTTCTAATGCAATACTTATTTTTTAGGCTCGAAATGCGGAGAAGGCTATGTATGTTTTGCACAATTTGGTATGATTTAACGAATCTTAATTTCTTCAAACCTTTTAGGACTACACTGGCCCGTTGGAGAGCTGCCCAACTGGGAGAGAATGAAAAAGTTAAAAAGCGACGGCCCTATCTCGCATCGGAATGCAAAAGCCTCTATGCCTGCGAGAAATGGAGACTGCAGATTATCAGAGAGATTGCGAAAAAGGTGGCCCAGATTCAGAACGCCGGCCTGGGCGAGTTCCGAATTCGTGACTTGAACGACGAAATCAACAAACTGTTAAGAGAAAAGCGACATTGGGAGGACCAAATTAAGGAATTGGGCGGACCAGACTATCAAAAGGTAGGACCTCGAATGTTGGACCATGAAGGTAAAGAGGTTCCAGGCAACAGGGGCTACAAATACTTTGGAGCAGCAAAGGAACTACCAGGTGTAAGAGAATTGTTCGAACAAGAACCTCCACCACCTCCCAGAAAAACACGGGCAGAACTGATGAAAGATATTGATGCAGATTACTATGGTTATATGGATGACGATGATGGCATTTTAATACCTTTAGAAATCAAAGCTGAAAAGATAGGTGAGAGGGAATAGTAATGGTATCTGTACCCATTTTAATTTGTTTAAATTTTGTAGCTCTGCAAAAGGTGGACGCCGAATGGAAATCTAAAAAAGAACAAGCAATGGAAACAGATACCCCAGAAGAGGAATACGAAGAAGAGAATATCTATAAAGTCCATGATGTATATTTTTGTTTATTATATTTATCAATTTTACTAATTTGTTTTTTTTTTCAGTCTGACGAAGAGCAAGAAAAAGAAATTGTTGATGGTTCCCAACAAAGATTCGTTGCACATGTCCCAGTGCCATCACAACAAGACATCGAACAAGCACTTTTAAGGAGAAGGAAACAAGAATTGATGGAAAAGTACGGAATACCCTCGGAACAATAAAGCAAATTATATTTTTAAGTTAAAACGTTTTTAATTGTATTTACACAGTTCATAAATTATTAATAAAAAAAAAATTAAATCTATGGTAAATTGTTGCCTTGCTTTAATATCCCTCTACATATCAGAGCGAATTCTAGCACAGAATCGCTCAGTTTCCTCTTGTTGGTCTTTGATCTGTAAAAGAAATACTTAGTTTTTTTGTTTGTGATGTTACAGTGTCTAAAAATATCACACCTTAAAACCACTTTAATAAAAGCTTCCTTTTGTTCGGAAGTGATCCTGGCCGTCGGAAAATTTTCTTGAGCCAACAGCATGGTCAGCCATCTATAGAGGTTATCACAGTACTTTTTATTTAACACTAGAATGATATCACTGAGAACGTCTAGGGAAGCCCTAGGAGCAGTACTTCCTGAAATAAACGAATATTTAATCAAAAATTATGTTTTTGTAGAGAACAAACTCCAGACCAACCTAAATTTAAAAGTATCCTTATAACTAAGCCTTCGCCGTAAGTTTGAATTATGTCGCCTTGGGACACGTCCCGGCTGTGGTTAATAAAATTCACCAGGAAACTCGAGACCGCCTTCAGAGTCTGCGTTTCCGGCAACACCAAGCACAATATCGCTGTAAAAAGGCCTAATTTAATAAAGAAAGACAGCCTGTACACGGAACTTACCACACTGAAATAACGCTGCAGTGTCTATGGCGGAATTAAATATCAGTTGCGGTACTTTCTTAATAAGTATGGACAAAAACGAGTAGAACCCTTCCAAAAGATCTGATATTTCTGATAACTGGTTATTGGTACTATACTGGGCGCAGGTTTGTAACGTTCTGTTACAGATTTCTTGCACTAATTGTTTGTTGAGATTTTGCAGTTCCGCCTCTCTACCAAATAATATCAGCACCTAAAAAATTGGTACTAAGTATACAGGGTGTTTCAAAAAAACATGCGCCATCTCTCGTGGGGACGTTCCTCACGTAAAAATAAGAATAATTTTTCATATCTTAATAAACTTTTCCCTCAAAATTTCATTCGAAACGCTAAAAGTACTTTTAAAAAAATTATAATAAATCGATAAAATATTAAAACTTTAACACCCTGTAGCAACGAAACAAAGCAGAATCGGACCTATGATGATATGAAAAATAAATCTTATTTTTACGTGAGGAATCTTTCCACGAGAGATGACACATGTTTTTTTTAAACACCCTGTATAAAGTTGAATAATAAACGTACTGTTTTGGCTACAACTAAAACATGATCTTGAGGATTTTCTCCATACACTGTCACCACAATCTGAAGAATGTCCTCTATTAAGGGCTTGCAATCGTCCTTCAACGTCGTTACTACATATTTCAGTAAAACGCTCAGATCCTAAAATGTAAAAAAATAGCAAGAAACGTAACAACTGTAGAGCATCATTATTTAAAAACTGACCATAATAACTTCGTTATTTCTGCAATATTTCTCCGCCATCGTTTTGTACAGGGGCATGGTATTTTTCATGATTAAAAAAACGGGCTGTTCTATGTTCGTTTCGGATGCAACGTACAGAGAATTAAACAATGCAGATAGGACTTTCATTCGTGACATGAGACACAAAGCTGTGCTGGGAGTCTAAAATTGTTATGAGAAAATCAATTAAAAAGGCATAATTTACTGTTTTACCAAATATTTAAAAAAGGATATATTCAAAAAGTGTTTATCAAAAATATAAGGACAAACAACAAAAAAATCAAGTTTCTTGAAATTATACATATATACAGGGTGGTCCGAACTGTATTCCGAAAACTTCGGCAGCATATTCTCCAGATAAAAATATGTTCATATAAAATGTATGTCCTAAAACTGTTTCTCTTGAACTTTTGGCACAAAAACATTTCAAATTTATGATTTCAGTTTAATAACTATTAGTCAACATGTTTAATTTATGTCAATGATGATAGGTCTTGATAATTTCGATTCCAAATATCTCGAGAACCATTCCTTGTAGCGATTTTTACCATGAAATCTTTTTTACGTAAAAAATGTCTTCAATTTATATTTTTTTACTCACTAATTTTATACAGGCACGGACAAAAACTTATTACTCTTCAAACCAGTTAAAAAATATGTAGGTGGCGCCCTCTACAAGTAGGAGTCATATTGACATCAAAATCAAATTTCTCACATCAAAAAACTCCCAAACACCAATTTTCATTCAAATATTAACGTTAATTCATAAATTATTTAGAAAAAATCTAGATAAACATGAGCATTTTTGGACATACATTTCAATTTTTATCTGCAGTATATGCTGACGAAGTTTCCGGAATTCAGTTCGGACCACCCTGTAGATGCTTGAAATTCAGTGGGTGGTTTAAGTAATATATATTTAATAAAAGTAATGTCATGGGAACAATATTTTTTTAATTTTTTTTCATTGTAAAAAAAATATTTCTAAAACTATGATTGGGTCAATGTTGAGGCACTCACTGGATCATGTTCTACAATATTTTGAATTTCCTCAAAAGTGGGAGCCAGGGTAACATTTAAATAGTCCATAATCCGATTCACCGGCATAATACTTAACACTTTACCTATACTAAACATCAGTCTTTTGCATTCTCCCAATTTGAAGGCTCCACTCTGAAACGCCGCCTTCAAAAACAAGCAGAATCGATTAAAATAATTCGAGCACAACATATTTATCGTGCGTGTACCTGCGTTGCCAGTAAAATATGATCTACATATGGCAATAAAAACTTTTGGCAACTGTGTGTTATATCTTTCAAAGCCATGGTGGAACTGGTTGATATTTCCGGTGTTCCTAGGGCCGATATTACCAAAGGCATCACGTTGTTTAACTGATCTGGATGATCGGTCAGCCATTCTGAATAAGCCCCTGCAAGATATCAGTCATGTATGTTAGCATTTTGAAGGGTTTTAAAGTAAGATTACCGACTGTTTCCAAAGCCGTAGACATGACCTTAATATTGAGATCCCTATACGGAATTTCTTTAATTGTCATCATCAATTTGGGCAAGTATAAATTCTCCATCTCTATGCTTTCCGCGATCGCACAGAAAGCATGTAAACAGGTCTCAATTTGGGTCCATTCCGGCGAATGTACGAATCCCGTTTCAGTTTCTTTACATAGCGCTTCGTTTAGTTTGCTTGTTAAAATATCCAGCATTTCTAAATTTAGGACGTTGTAGCAATACATGTAAGTGTCGGACACGTCCTGCCTGTAACATCTAAACACTTCCCTGTCGTCCAGAGGCCAACTGGTGTCGTCCATCCAAGACAGCATGGACTTCTTCAGCAGAATACAAATCAGGTCTCGATAAAATGGCTTGATCATCAATAAAAGTTGAGTTGAATCGGCCGTTTCTAGGGATAATACATCGTCCTAAAATCGCAATACACTATAGGCAACGCACTTCTAAAATGAAATTAAAACAATCATGTACCTGAAGTGTAAACCAAAACCCAAACGTTAAATTACTGCTACTTTCATCTACGGGAAAATTCCCTTTAAGGTTCGTACATTTTAATATCGACGTGAATAGGTCAAAACTTATTCTCTGGTCTTCAAGGTTGGGCAATTTCAGGTTGTCAATAAAGATTTTCGAGTGTGTATCGGCAAGAGCAATGATTAATCCATACAAATTTGCTACCACATCCTAAGAAAATGTTAATTTTTGATTTTGGCTTCATAAGAATTTTGAAAGTCACCTTGTTCAGTTCTTCGGCATTTCTCTCAGCCTCGATTATTTTCTCAAATTTGTACAATATATTTTCCGTGTATTTTATAACGTGGTTCTTATACATAGAGGTGTGGGGATGCTGGATTATGGTTGTTACGGCTTCCACTGCCACTTCTATTAATTCCATCTCTTCGCCAGAAATGCACTCTGGATCTAACTTATTCCTATAAAGAAATTGACATAAATAAACTATTTGATAAATTAATTTAACAAATCTTACCAATACACAAAGCATATTAAGTCAATTAAAAGATTGCAAACTGAACTGCACTCATCGATAACCAAACCTCCCAGTGTCATCCATGCTGAACCGCATTTAGTTGCGTGTAAATATGTAATTAAGTTTGACATATCAAACCTACAAAACATAAGTTTATAAAGTTTTTACAACATATTTTTATAAAACTTGCCCTTTTGACGGTATAGGCATCAAACACATCTCCACCACTTTCAAAATATCCTTAGATACTTCCTGTAAAACAGCTTTAACACGATTTCTTTGTGAAACTGATAGTGTAGTACTTTGAAACTAAACAAAACCAAAAAATCTATTAAATAAAGTAACAATACTCTTCCAAAATATTAAATACCTCTTCAGGAATAACTGTTAATATTTCCAAAAGTATCCATATAACTCTCTCAGACTCAATGGTTGGTAAATTATGGGGCTGAAAACTGGAAACTATTTCTTCGAATGCATTGGGCCAATGTGTGGGTATGGTATGTATTACATAAGCAGAAAACTACAAAATAAATTTCATTTCCTTCAAGAAAATTAAAGAGGAATATGTCAACACATACAGCAATGCAAAGTCGATTGAGAACAATTTTTTGGCCCATGGCATAACTAATAATGGCATCTAATATTCGTTTTTTAAGACTTTCATAGTGGTCTTCTGGTACTTCATTCCAATATTTCATTAATTTGGTGTGTAAAGTTGTAGCAGCAAAAAATTGAACTTGGAAGCTCTATAACGTATGTCTGATTTAGTCCAAATATAAGTTTATATATTGAATAATTCACTTACCCTTTGGGGACTTAAAAGCTCCCATACAAATGACCAAGCTTCTGAGGAGTTTTGAGCTTTTGTTAGCCATTGATGGGCATCGGCTTGTTGATTGGCTTCCGTCCTATAAAATATTGCTACGGCCTGTTCCAAATTTTCTACAGTGTATTCCATAATATTTTAATACTTATTTATGATCTTTCATTGATTTTTAATATTTTATTCAGGCAAATGAAAGCATAGAGACGAAAGATGACATATCGCACAGCCGCCGCTAACCGCTCAACAGCTGATTCCCATCATAACAGTCATATTCTTCTTCTTATCTGAAATATTAAGCATTTAGCCAGCAATCTTCTGACAGGGTTGTTACAGTTTTACTACACGTCCAGCCCTGAAACATGACACCGGACAATTAATTTATTTTATTTATCCGTTTGGCGGACGACTAGCAACAACCGAAATTTTGCTTGACAGTTTGTCATCTTATTTTTGGTCAAAAACAGTCAAAAATTTTAATTTTTTAATTTTATTCTGTGATTAAGGAATTAAACATGTTATTTATAATTAATTACAAGCAAATAACTACAGTTCGGTGTGTCTAAATATATGGTTTGTTTTTTAGAATTGTTGTCATTTAGAAATATATATATTTTAGTCCTTCAAAAACATAGACCAAGTCTTGATAAAACTGTATCTGATTTTATTTATGGCCTTATACCTATAAATGATATACCAAAACTCTAATTTGTCATAAAGACAATGAAATCATTCAGACTGATTGTTCATCAAAAAACGTTTAGTGGCAAGTTAAAACAAAGAAACTTGTTTATAGTTCTTAGTTAATACTTGTTTTTACAGAGGATGATCTACTCATTAGCGAAAGAGATTATGTGGAGGCAAAGAAAAACGATATTGTTGAAATTTATCACCCGCCTCCGCCAGAAGAAGAGGCTCAGAAAAAAGTCGAAGCTGAAGAAGACCATCCCCGACTTCTATTACAAATCAAGTCATTTACAGATGACCTAGGTCAGTCAAAGACCATTAGCGTTGAACAAAGTATCGCTTCCGCATTTGGCCTGCAAACATACAAAAATGTCATTGTTAAATTGGTTAATCCCAGTACTGTTGCGTTAGACTCCATCGAACTCACTTTCAAGGACCAGTACATGGGCAGATCAGAAATGTGGAGATTAAAAAATAGTCTGGTACACATTTGAAACAATAATAACTAATGTAATTTCTTAAGCCTTTTTTTATTAGGTAAATACTTGTGTGTATATAAATAAAAAGTTAGAATTTTGTGGAGGCGCAGTAAGATGTCAGGTTTATGAGATGTGGTCTCAAGGCGACAGAGTTGCCTGTGGTGTTATCACCGAGGATACAAAGATTGTGTTTAGATCCTCAACAGCAATGGTTTACATATTCCTTCAGATGTCCTCTGAGATGTGGGATTTTGATATTTACGGTGATTTGTATTTTGAAAAGGCTGTGAACGGATTTTTATCGGATCTGTTTATGAAGTGGAAAAGAAACGGTAGTAATCACGAAGTTACCATTGTGTTGTTTTCTAGAACTTTCTATGAAGCTAACAGTTTGGAAGAGTTTCCTCAACATATGAGGGAATGCCTACAAAAGGATTATAAAGGGAGATATTACGAAGACTTCTATAGGTAAGTTAGAGAACAATTTTAAAGAAACTTTTAACTTTTTTTGATTTTTTTATATAGGGTACCGGTACAGAATGAAAGATATGACGACTGGAGTAATATTTTAGTTCAGCTTCGCAAAATATTCCAAGACTACCTCAACAGAGTGCTGAAGTATCATGATAAACCTGACCAAATTATACCGGCTGCTTCAAACAGTACTGCAGCTCAAGGGAACTTCTTGGAAGTTTTAAACATGTCTCTGAATGGTAATAAGTACTTTAAATTTCCTTTTACCACACTTTAATTAGCTTTTTCTATATTTACACCCATTCTAACACTAAAAGTGTTATTTAGTTTTTTTTGACTTTCTATCCCAGTTGAAAAACATCTTAAGCTAACCTTCATTTAAGCAAATTTTTTAGTATTTGAAAAACACTATTTGGACCGAAGTTTTGACAGAACAGGACAGCTGAGCGTGGTGGTAACGCCAGGCGTGGGCGTATTTGAAGTGGACAGAGAACTCACGAATATTACCAAACAAAGAATTATCGATGGGGGTGTTGGAAGCGACTTGGTTTGTGTGGGGGAACAACCTTTACATGCAGTACCTTTGCTAAAGGTAAGCAAGCATTTACAATAAGTAGAACAACTCTATACTAAATATCATAACATTTTTCAGTTTCATAACAAAGACACCCATTTGAATGCACCTGACGATTACTCCATGCCGCATTGGATCAACTTGTCTTTTTATTCAACAAATAAGAAGATTCCTTATTCTAATTTCGTACCAAGGATTAAACTGCCGCCTCCCCTATCGAAGGAAGAGATGAAAAAATCCAACAAGGAAACCGTAAAGAGGGAACTCATAACCGAAGATGACTGCATTCAAAACACGTTCTTCGACTATGACGCTTACGATGCGGAAGTGTTTCAGTTTCCACCCTCTAGTCGACACGTTCAAGAGACCAAGTAATATAAAAACTTTGTTGTCTGTTTAGGATTTTCTTTTTAAATTCATTTTTAGTAGCGTTCATCAGTCGAAAGTGTCGTCGTGGAAGTATAAAAGAAGTTCGGGCAGTTTGCTGGACACCCAGGAATTGAACAGGGGGGCTCGCAGGAAGATGTCCGATCCCGATCTGTCCCAGCACAAGTCCGACGTTAAACGACGCTCCGAGCCCATCGCTATACCGTCCGCAGTGGCGAATCCTATAATATCGCCCCATACAGAAGGTACGGCAATACTTAACCCCAAAAAAATTAGAGTTAATATAAAACTGTATACTATTCTATACAATTTTATAATGGTTTTTTTTTATAATTTCTAGACAAGGAGTTTTCTCCGCCGATGCGCATGGTGGTGGGGTCGGAAGGGTCGCCGCCCTACGAGTCCCGAGCCCTAATCAACCCGTTCGACCCCTCCCACGTCACCATCAAGCTCACCTCGAACCGCAGGCGCTGGACGCACATCTTTCCCAAGGGACCGACGGGAGTTCTGATCCAGCAGCACCACTACCAAGCGGTTCCGAGCCAGAAGGACCAGAACGGGGGATGGGACGGTTCCAAGAAGGAAGGCGGGGATGGTGAAGACGACACAGAGTTACAGCAGCAGAATTCTAATTGTTTGGTGGTCACGCCGGCTCTACAAGAGTGTAAGGTTTATTTATTTATTGTTATTACTGTTTTTTTATAAGTTCCAGCGACAATTTTAGCGATTTTTAATAGTTTGTTGTGTGTCGTGACAACGAGATCTATCGATTAGAAATATTTTCAATATGGCGGCACTTCCGGAAATAGCGGAAGTTGACAGCAACTTTCTTATTTTAAATGGGTGTAAATAAAAAAAATAATTATTACGTGTATTGTGTCATAATTGTTGTTTTTATTATTTCTCTATAGATTGCAAAAAGCGACCGAGCCATACCGGTGGTTCTAGCACCTCCGCCACTGCAAAAAACTCTACCAAGAGCCTGACCCTGCTGTGGGGCGCCACTGGGGAGCAAGAATGGACTCCAGCTCTGACTACAGGTATAACATTTCCTAGTATCACGCTCGGGCACACTTTTTGGTGCCACAGGAATAGATACGATCTTTGGTGTTTTATTTGCTTGAAATTTTATTTCATTTTTTTTAAAGATTATGTTCATGGAATTAATTTCATTTAAAATTTCGATTAGCTTTTCATACCGAAACCAGGAGAGTTTTATTTGTATTGGCGATCGATCAGTTAGAAATTCTTTGTTTTTTTGTATCACCGCCTCAGAGAAATAAGGTAACGTAGAGGAGTTCTAAATTTTTTGTCGATATATCAATTTCTTTTCGTACTTATTTCTCTGAGATTACTGCACTAAATAATTGTCGTTTTCAAATATACGATGGCTTTGAAAAACTTCAAATTTACTGAGTGCTTATTAAGTATGTATCTATAGATATTGAGTACTTGTAATGTGATGCAACATATTTAGTCAATTGGAAAGCTAAAACCTACCTACTGGACCAAAAAGTAACACATTTACACCGTTTTTTTTTTATTTATGATTTTAGTATATTATATTTTATATTTTTTATTCCTATAGTATATAGTTTCGTTATTTTTTCAGAACATTTAAAACAAGTTCTTTGTCCAAAAAGCTATATTTATATTTTACATTGATATTGTTTTATATTACTTTAAATCAAATCTTTGTTCTACAAGTATAGATTACAATCACTTACCATTAACTAGAATACTGATAAATATAGAAAATAAACTAATTGATAAAGATATTATCGTATTATATTCACATATTCAATTTTGAATATATGAATATACCATAAATATATGTATTAAAGACCTTAATATACAAGGTGTCAAAATAATAGTGTATAACTTTGATGGGCGATTCTACAGATAAAATAAAATTATCTGTAGAATCAGCCACCGAAGTTGACACCCTGTATATTTGAGCTCGTGCTGCATAGCTACAGGATTATTATGGAACCATTAGTTTTTTTTACAGATTCAACAAGAATTGTGGTTTTTATAACACACCTACGGAGTTATTGAAAACCACAGATTTTTTTACAACACACTATAATCAATATAGCTGCTTTACATTCAGATTTTTTGTGTGACTATTTCTAAAGTAATCTTTTGTAAACTGTTATAAAGGTGTAGGGCATTTTGCTATTTCGTTCGTATTAGTTTTATGTCCGTCAAATTCCAAATTCAAAATTATATTCCATCGGCAATTATTGGCAGTGTTTTCGGAAGATTTTTGGCATGATTTTGGCGAAAAACGTCTCGATTTACAAAGTCCTCACTGAATGGAAGGCAGCTTGCAACGCTTCTCTCTGTCGCATTTTTTACGTTCCTCTTATGAAAAGGTCCCCCGTGTTAAAAGAGGACCCCCTTCCCCCCTAAAAGCTTGGAGCCCTAACCCATTCGCCTCCATTCAATAAATGTTTTGTTTCATGGTCGTGACGGGACGCCGCTGACTGCAGTCAATGACGTACTTATAGGTTTGAATCGTTTATTTCTTATTATTTTTTTTTTAAATTATTGCAGTCCTAATTACACTTTTTATGTAGATTTCATAGGATGTCCTTGGCTATATCTCGCTTGGGTATATTGTAAACTGCCGTAGACGACTTTTGTTTTGGTCCTGTATATAGATTTTTAGCTAGTTTTTCTTTTCGAATAAAAAATACAGCCAGAAAAGTTTTTGTATGTTGAAATATTTATTTTTACTTGATAAAATCTCGAAAAATATCGTTTCTGGTCGTACTTTTTCTAATTGCTTTGCATTTTACCTTGCTTGTAGATGTGATTTTTTTAATAGCAACCATATACGTGTACAAAATATACCATTACATACATTTAGTTTTAGAATTCCTCGTATTATACACAAAATCATTCATAATTTTGCGTATATTTAATGATAACAAAATTAACAACTTATGTGCACTGCTGCTGTTTGTAATAATAATTAACTGTCAAACAAACCAATGAAATACAAAACACTAATACAAAAATGTTTACATCTTTTTACCACCCTGTATCTCAAAAGTTAGATGTTTAGGATATACATTCAAATAAAGTTTTCAAAACAACAAATTCTAGCTTAAATACTATTGTGTAACTGTTTTGTCTCTACATTTTTTTCTACACAGAACACATGAAAAAATAAGACACCGGTATAGTAAAGAACTACATATATTTATTGGTAATGTTAATTTTTTTTATATAAAAAACAACATTTTCAGAAATATCGTTTTAAATAAACCATCCACAATATTATACACATTTTTAACGATAATCACGTTGTAACACCATACACTGTCGTAATTTTAGCATGCTCACCTATGCTTCAAATAAAGATCAGCTTTTACCTTAACTAAAATCATTCACCAACCTTTTCAAATTCCGATTTTACACCTGTACCCTTATTCTGCCAGGCGTCGACTGGAAATCGCTGACCATCCCGGCATGTCTGCCCATCACCACCGACTACTTCCCCGACAAACGGACCCTGCACACCGACTACGTGGAGTCCCTCTACACCCTGGTCCCCGACAGCGTCTACGCGGACTTTGCCCAGCAAAGAGGTCCCTGCAAGAAGCCCCTCACCACCGACGAGGTCTTCCGGGAGCTGATATCGCAGCGATTGGCGCAGGGCTTCCAACTGATCCTGATGGAGCGCGTTAAAGTGGAGAAGATGGGAAGTTTGCAGCATCACACGCAGCCCAAGTCGAATTTGATGAGGAGCAGTCCGAGTGATAAAGACGAGACTTATTACTTGTCTATTGGGAGGCTGTTTCACAAGATATCTTTGTCCGGGAACACGATTTCCGTTACTAGATACCGGCCTAGGTAATTTTGGTTGGATTTAAGAGAGTTCTTGTAACCATGAAAGGAATTTAAATTAATATTCTTGTAACTGGTTTTCTTTTTAATATTTAGGCATCCGTATCCAGGTTTTAAATACGAGTATAGGTACAGATTTCACGCTCCCTATCACTACACTTACGAGGAATCGTACGCTACATTTACTACCGAAAAACTGGAGCACTATAACTGGAACTACCTGGATCACTATGTCTGTACGGGAGGAGATACAACAGATTTTGTGCTGGTGGATGCTTTAAAATATTGGAGGTAACCTTTTAATTTGCTTTCGGTTGTTGAGACTACACAAGTTTTATATTTTTGTTATTTTTAGCCCTATTTTCATGAATTTTTTAACAAGCTGTATATTATTACATCAACTTTAATTTGTAAACTCAGCTTTTTATAAACTTTAGTATTTGGCATATTATACAGGGTTAATCGAGGGGTTGTTTTTTTATCCTAACTTTAAAACACCCTGTGCAATAATTTCGCCTGTAAATTTTCCAAACATATCATTTTACGGTCAGAACCATGACTCCTGAGCATTTTGTTTTTTGATTCATGTCAATACATGCTTGGTTAATTTTTAAGAGCGAAATGAACTGATCACGATCAATTTGCAATTTTTTTAATTATCATTACTTTTTGATGTAATTTTTTAAATGTAATATGACGAGATGGTATACTAAATTTAAAAAAAAAACGTTAACGGCTAACGATACAGTCCGGGTTTCAATAAACCGGTTTTAATTATCATTAAACGATATTAAATAAAACATCTGTAATGCTCAAGTATACTAAAAAGAAAAAAAAAATTGTAAAAAATACCCTAATATTTTGTATTGCCGCCCTTGGCTGCTATTACCACAGATTAGGTATCCTATAAATATACAGATAAAAATCTTGTCCCTAATTCGTGGTACGAAAATTGTTTTTTATGACGATGTGCAAACGAGTAAAATTTCCTGTGCGCAAAAATAAACTCGAGTAAAATAACAATAAACAGCGTAATAGAGAGATATCGCTAAACCGAATAGCGTGCATGGACGTTAATAAGGCCGGGTGTTATTTCCTTTACGTGAGGTGGTATTAGCGTATTAATACCCACTTGCACCGTTTGTATAAACTTTGTTTAAAGGCTAAACAGTGATTAACTATACATATTTTTATTATAGTTAATCACTGTTTAGCCTTTAAACAAAGTTTATACAAACGGTGCAAGTGGGCATAACTCTCTTCATTTATAGTTATCGGATCGGAAAGAGTTCTGTTCGCGTCGCGTCCGCTATTTAAACTTAACCTAACTTTGAATTTAAAACTTTTGAAATTGTTTTGTTTACTAGGTATTTTAAAACTAAAGGGCTAAAGTGCTTATTTCCAGTGCTTTATTGTTCAACGTCTGCCAGTGGGTTTAGGGCAACAAGCAACAAATTCTCTTAGAAGGGTTACGTCGTCATCTGCTCTAAACCTAAGCCTCTTATAGGTTCTTTAATATTGGAAGAGGTGGAATCCATATTTTGAGCCATATTTATTTAATTAAAACTAATCCCAGCTACTTAAATATCAAATTACCTAATAAAACTAACGTAATAATTCAAAACGATTCAAACATAACCTAAAATAAAAGATCTCGCCGGCCGGCCCCGGTTGTCAAATACCCGCACATGCCCATTTAAGCAATATTTAAACGTTATTTAGAAATAGCGCTAGGTGTAATTGATCCGCAAATTACGCCAGGCGGTAACGTTATTAGCGGGTGTTGCGTTAAAAATTGACTCGCGCATATCGTAACCATGATAAGGTACGCGTAAATACTGCATGACGCTATTCGGTTTTCCGATATCTCTCTAATAACTGTGCCGGTCAGGCGCTGTGCACAATTTTACAGGCCGTAAGTGGGCGTGCTATATGTGCCAAACGTCGAACGTGATGGGCAGTTCATAGTAGTATATAGTTTACAATAATCACCAAAACCGCCATGTCACTTTGAAAAATATCTTCAAAAAAGAAATGATAACTGAAAAAATTACAAATTGTTAGTGGCAAGCTCATTTCGCTCTTAAAAATTAACCAAGGCATGTATTGACATGATCCAAAAACCAAAATGCTCAGGAGACATGGTTCTGACTGCAAAATTATATCTTAGGAAAATCTACACACGAAATTATTGCACAGGGTGTTTTAAAGTTAGGGTAAAAAAACAACACCTCGATTAACCCTGTATAATATGCCAAATACTAAAGTTTATAAAAAAACTGAGTGTTTGAATAAAAGGTGATATAATTATATACAACTTGCTAAAAAATTCATGAAAATAGGGCTAAAAATAACAAAAATATAACACTTTAAATTTGATCAAAAATTTCTCTGTTGCGTTTTTTTTGCATCGGAGTGTAGAAACAAAAACCTACCTTAATATGTGTTGCAGATTTCGAGTATATCTGTTACCGCTGAACAGTCCCGAAACCAAGAAGATAGTGGACGGAGCTCAATACTGTGATATCTACACTTTACCTTTAGAGACCGACCACCAACAGATGATCGAAGGTTTTCTGAAATTCGTTGAGACGGCAGTGAATAAATTGAGAAAATCGAACAGCGCTTCCAAGAAACCCAGGGTTCGTATAGGAATCGAGTCTACGTTAATTAACGTTTCGTGCATGTAGAAATAACATTTTCTGAGTCTGTTATTTTTTATATTCTTTTTTTCGAACATTTAAGTACCTATGTATATCTGTGTAACCCGATTTACTATATTTGGCACGAGTTGTTCTAGCTGTGAAATCATCAATCATAGTCAGTCAAACCAAAAACACCTCCTCTCGCATGTTGTAGATGTCGCTGAGCGTGCAAACGTTGCCCACGTTAGTCCAACCCAGGCGTAACAGTATAAGCAGTTTCACTCAGGTACAATTTGCCAATTGGTATCGGTCGGCCAGGGGGCGCTGGTTGGGGAACTGCGGGTTTATATGTCGAGTCCTCGGGGATTTTAGGTGCTGCTTGTGTTTGGGCGCCATCTGTGATTGAGGAGGTGAATTCGGCCGCTCCCTATTATACGCCGGGTTTGGTGGAATATATTGCTTCTTGTTCTCTGTTCTTTTTTATGTGGTTAAAGAGTCTGGTGGCGTGTCCTATGGGAGGGATTTTTCGTTGAAATTGCAAGCATTTAATCATTCAGGGTTTGTTCAAATTTGATTTGTTTATTTGTCTACTCTTAACAAGTTTTTTCTTCTATTTGTCAACAGGGACGGTTACTAATACAGTGCAGTTTATTTCACCTGTTCCTTTGGGTGTATATTTGCATTAAATATTAATGAATAGACAAGCTAACAAACCATTTTGCTCTATCATATAAGATATATTTATATCGTTCTCGTATACGCGGTGGACCATTTTTTATTATGACTTAATAGTATTTAGAATAGAATATTTAAAAAGTTAATTTTAAAATGTGGATCACCTTGTATAATCCAGGTTATGATATAAAAAACAATTATTAGAAAAAAATAAAATCATAAATGCTAGCTTAAATTTTTTTTTTCATAAATTTTACAAATACCAAAAGATATAAAATTGCAAAAAAAATCTTTAATAATTTGTATTTAAAAATTTCAATACTTATTTTGTTGGGAATGCATGTATATTTGTTTATTATATTTTTGTAATATCTGTTTTATAGAAAATTTTCGCTTTTGAGTACTGAAAAACCTCTGTTTATAATCAAATTTTTTATTTATTTTTTCTATTTCATGTATTTTTTTATTTACGAAAGTATACTTTTTGTAAATTGAGGTTTTGCAGTATATCTTTTCAGTGTTGGTGAAATAAAAAGATGCAATCTACAGAAAATCCAACTCCGAGGTCAAATATGATATTCTTTGTTATTTTTCCTCGTTCTCATCCCAGTAATTTTTCATTTGATTTCGATATTTGACCTCCGACTTGGAGCGCATCTTGTGGGATCCCCTCCGCGGTGCTTGTGGTCTTTTTTGCCTTACACTGTTGTCACGTTTCGCACCAATTTACCATTGAACTTTTCAGAACATCGGCTCGGGGTCCCCTTTCAGAGAACGACTGGGCAGCAACCGGCTCTCAGACAGGCCCAGGCCAAGGTTTGCCTCACCATATTTATTTCTTTACCTTTTTAGAGCTTTGGGGATGCTTCATAAATCGTAGAGCAGCACGAGCATGATTTTTTTTCGCCGTCAATTAAAAGGGAGCATATATGATGGTTCTGATCTCTTTTAATTGATGGTCTGTAAATTTTAGTGTTTATTTTTGGTGTTTTTTGGTTTTATTTTGTTTTATACAGTGGGTGGTCTACTCTCCAGTAGCAACGCTTTGATAGATTTTCTAATGATTGTTCTGAAGTCCTGCTACTGAAAGGTTGGACCACTCTGTACCTATAATTTTTCCTGTAGTATCGTAGTGGTGTTCTGGTTTTTAATTTTAGTCAATCATTGCTTTCAGAATACCGCGACACGCTCCAGTGAGCGATTCGTTGCTACGTCTTTTAGGTAGGAGTATTTTTCTATTTTTTTTTTGTTTTTTTTTTCGTTCTGTTTCGTACCGTTTGTCTAGTATAAATTAACCTCTTCATTTGCACTAGAGCATTAAAAAAATCATACGTTTGACTAATTAGGTAGAGGCTACTCATATAGAAACTTTTTTCCTTTGTAATTTGGTGATGACTAAATCGCTAAAGTATAAAATATTGCTTAGGTCCGGCTCGAAGGTTTTGGAGAGGGCCAGACACTCGCAGGGCTCCCAGGACCAGCCAGCTGAGTCTTCAGAAGCGTCAACTGATGAAAGGTAATGTTAATTTTACAAGGGCGCGTTTAAATCTCCTTTTAAAATACTAATATTGTAGTGTTTCCGTCGGGTTGCCTTCACTGAAGCAACAGAGCTCAAACTGTGACATTATCGAAGCCTTCAAGCACCAAATTCACGGTCTATCGTTCCTGAATATGCCGCAGAGTTTACCGAATCACACTTTCGTGACGGCTGATGCCGTGAGTTGGTTAATGAATCGTATGGAAGGGATAAATACCGTTGAAAATGCAGTGCAGGTATTTTAGAAGTATAACCTTATAGATTATTTAAGTAACGTGTTTTTTTTTCTTGAAAGATTTTGCAGGGTTTGCACAGGGACAAATTAATAAGGCACGCATCGGGGGATCCCACAAAATCGGTGATCTACGGATTTTATTTGTTCTACATTACAGGAGAGAAAGGTATACCTACATACAGTGCGTTTTTATGTTCAAAGTTGATAGGATAAAAAACAACTATAATTTACCACATTTGATTTCAGAAAAAAATTATTTAATACTAATTCTTTTAGATGACTCTTTTCAACCTAGCGGTGAGTTGGAGTCCTTCGAAAACGATTTTCTGGAGGTTGAGGTTAGGCCTGCTTTAAATTGGGGCCTGACCAGTTCGCCTGGGGCTTTAAAAATTCCCATATCGACCACGGATAGAGAAGCTGGCGTGCCGCACTTTCTGTGCGACGATATCGACCTGGATTATCCAGAGGCTGATACAGACAGTAAGTCTATGATAAACAAGATAATATTGTTCTAGTTTTAGTTGATTTTTATGCGTTAAAATTTAATTTTTATTTGTAGCCTTAATGTACAAACGAATGAGATTAGAGACTGACGTGAACAATAAGAGCGACAGGGCCGAATGGGGCCAAGCCAAATATCAAACGATCTTCCGACCGGACCAGGCCTACGAATTGGTGGTGGAATGGCTCACATCCTCCGGATCAATTATAGCCGATTTAGTGAGTTTATAATTTTTTTCCTGTATTTTTTAATTGTTTTTTTTTATTTTATTTTAGCTTTTTGGATGGCACAGGAAGGCTCAAAGCTGTTACCTGCACATGATACCGATTCCTCACGATCCCCTGGCCTTGCCTTATTCACACAAGTCCGATCCTCTAAGAGGTCCCATTTTTGTACCTTTGAACGTGTCCTGCCTGGATCCACACGACAACCCTTTTAAAGGTAAACTTTTGAGCTAAAATTTATAGTTTTTTTTTATTTTTTTTTGTCTAAATTTTCAGACTTCTGTGAAGACAGTTGGACAGATAGAATGTTCCTCTTCCAAGAGGCCATCATCCAAAGATTCGGTTTTATCAAATGTTTGGTGGAGTCTCCTAATCGACAGACCACGTCCAGAGAGCACCAGTACATTCACGCCACGGGAACCATTTTTATTTTGATATCCAACACCGCGTCCAAATCCAACAGGAGCAGGACAAATAGTATGAAGGAAAGAGCTCAAAGGAAGAGCCGATATACGGTTCACGCTGACGTGGTTCCGAGTCCGCACGAAGCCTACATTACTAGGCACGTTTCGGGGAAGAATAAGGCTGATTATGACAACTCGCGCAAGGTAAGGGAACGTTTTTTTTTAAGCTCAAGCCACTGATATATATCTAATTTGATTTATCTTGTATATAGATGGGTTTCCTGTGGTGCTGGAACCATATGGTAAGCAGAAGATGGCGTACCATTCAAGGGGTGGATAACAATTTTCAAATTAAATGCCTCAAAGATTTTAAGGCCTTCTGCAACAATGCGGAGGATCGACTGAGAACTTTTTGGAGAGAGAGCTGGGATGCCAGAGATTTTGCTCTCTCCTCTGTTAAATAGTCATTGTTACAGTCAGAGGTTGGAGCCTTTGGTGTTGCAACAGGAAAATAAAACACTGATTCACCACAATACGCCAAGACACTTTTACTTTCGCACTGGACGCGATTTTTGCTAACCATGTTATCAGCAGATGATTAAGACTCACTAAAAGATGTATTTCAAGGAATAAGGACTGCCAATTTAAATAAAAAAAAAAAAACAGAAAAATGTTAAAAATCGTGTTTTTTCGACCGCACTGTATTATTTACCTTTGTTATTACTATTAAATTAGTTGATCAAAATGTTCTATTTTATAATGAGGCCAGCTGGAATAAACAGAAATAAATACCGATAATAATAAACAGAAATAAATACCGTACGATCGGAAAAGAACGGCGTCAGCGACGGCTATGAAATGAAGATCTCAGTAATTTTGTATGTAAATTTATATGGGAAATGTCATCGATCGTCATTTCCCAGACAACTGGACGCTGTTTTTTTTCGATCATACGGTATAATACACCTTAATAATGCACTATATGCCTTTTAAAACTTAACTGGTGCTATATTTGCCTTTTATTAGCTTAATAGAACATGTTTGTTGGCTTCTTTATGATTGCTTTCAATTACTTTATTCATTATCGCAGCTGAACGTCACATATTTCTACGCAGCTTACGTATTTTCAATTCGAAATTATCAATATAGTTATTAAACGTTTTGTTGATATTTGTATTTCTCTTGTATTTCTGATAATTTTGTAATATTTTTGAACTCTGATTTAAGGTTAGGTGGAGAAAAGCCGGTTGCGGTGATTGATTTTCCAACGAACGTCCTGTAACCCTTTATTATGGATGATATTATATATAGATAAGGGTGTAACGTTCAAAAATAAGGGAAGAAATGAAATATATCAATTTAAACTTACCTTATTATCGAAAAATTGGAGCAACGTTACCTTAGAAATGCCGTTCGAGAACAAAAACCATATTATTTTACTGGCAAGAAATTATTCAACTGCATTTAACGGTATCTTGACGCCGTTTTTTCAACCCCACTGTGTTAACACACATCTTTTAGGTTGTTGTTTCTACAATCTTGGTTGCTGATGGTGCTAACATGGTTAGCGAAACGTCCAGTGTTCTAAGCGTATTGATGTGAATTAGTGTTTTACTTTGAAATAGTCATTAGGTTTATAAAATTTGTATAAATAAACATTAACGCCCACTTGTACCGTTTGTATAAACTTTGTTTAAACGCTAAACAGTGATTAACTATAATAAAATATATAGTTAATCACTGTTTAGCCTTTAAACAAAGTTTATACAAACGGTGCAAGTGGGCATAAATATTTCTTATCCCTGGTGTTTTATTTTGCCGCTTTATATGTTTACGACTATAATTATTTTTTATATATCGGATTTCTTTGTATGGATACAATGGTAATAAATATCATACATTTTTATTATTTACATACAACTGTGAAGAAAACTAATTTATAATATCTAAACCCCGCAATAAATTACTTAACGTTGAGGGACTTGCTGTGCTGGGGGCCAGTTCCATTGAGTCGGAGGTGCTGTTTTAATAAGCGGCTCCCAGGGCTTCCAAGTGATCATTCTTCGAGCCAAGCTCAGTTCGTTCTCGGCCTGAACAATGACCTCTTCGATTTGGCCGCAATTTATTTTCTTCTCGGCTTCTTCTATGGAAGGAGTGGATTTTAGTATATCGGAACGTTCCTTAATTATGGCCTCGGTATGTTTTCTGTAAGCTGCAGATTCGGGCATCTTCTGCAGAGTCCTTAGAATTTTACCGTACAGAGTACCTAGGGTTTGATGTGGATTTTTTGCCACTGTGAGACCCGTTAAACCGGTCGTTCTTTTTATGGCTCCGGACATGTTTTAAAGTATTGTTAATTATTTAACAATAAATATATTTTTTTAAAGCAATATTTGACGTAAGAAATAGGTTATATAATGTCTGACAGTTGACAGATTTTTTTGACGTTTGTGTCAAACGGTTTGACATTTATAAATAAATGAATTATTTTTTACGACTATATTAAAACAAATATAGTTTGAATAATTACTTGTACTAATCTAAATAGAGAAAAATCGGTTTTATTCAGGTAAAATGCTGTTTCTTAAATATTCATGGCTAAAATTTCTTTTTTTGATTATTTTAAAATTGTTAATATGTGCTGCCATCTGGCGACAAACTTCCATACTTCCAGCCAGGAAGCGGAAACGGTTTCAAGATTAAAGAATCGGGTTTCATAGCTATATTTCCTTTGTTTTGCCCAGAATATGGCTGCCATATTTAGTTTAGAAGTCTGTTTTCAAAAGTGTTTTAAAATTTGTGGAAAATATCGTGTAATTATATAGTATTTTACGGTTGGTTTGATGAAAATATATCGTAATTAGTGCTAGGACTTATTGGAACGATTGGAAACGTAATGCTCTGCTGTTATACCTGGAAAATGTTTCTGTTTACATCGGTTCTAGAGAAGTTTGGTTTCGTTTATTTCAATTTAAGGTAAGTGTATTTTTCTCGCTACAAAACGCTTAATAGCATAGATTTTCGAGTTTTGAATAATATGTATTTATCTTAGAAAGTGTATATGTTAACGATACACTTTTTAAGGCTAGGTTCTAGAATACTTTATATTAAAAATGTTTGACCTATGCTACACTTAAAAAATAATTAAAAGTTTATTTCGTATTTGTTGTAATGCATGTTTAATTTAATTTGACGATACTCTCGTTTTTATGAACTTTGCGAACGTCAAAAACCTTTCAATTAAGAGAATATGGAAGCGAATCGCGATTAATATTAAAAATAACAAGTAACTTTGCTATTTGTAGCATGGCAGAACTCGAAATTCGTTTATTCTTGCTTCTATTTTAAAGAACAACATCCACTGTTTCTAACTAGAGTTATTTTTGTTTGCTTATCTGTACGATATTAGGTAATAATTCGTCGTTTTACCATCCACATTGATTTTGACAGATTTGGTGGCATTTCAACGATATAATCCGCGTAATTTTATTAGCGCAATTGTTGGTCGGATGTGTTCATGAGCCTCGTTCGACATTATCAAAGCAAATAGCTCGCATTTTTGCTTAAAAAAATGTAGCGTATTCGTTTACATACTCGATTTCGTGGTTGTTTTGAATAAGCACATTAAATCGTTGAACTGGGCTCATTAGCTCTTGATACTGCCAGTAGGATAAATACGACTGTAATTATGCCAGTGGGTCTGGCCATTTTTTAATGTCGTCGGCCCGTTTTTTGTCTAGGAGAATAGATGGACGAGGGGACGAATCGGCGGCAAATTTGCACGCCCACGACCATTATGAAAGAAGAAAAAAACATCTCGGTTTGATTTTTACTGGCTAGGAAAGTGTACCAAATGCATTGCATTTTGTTGCAAGTTCTCCTTTCACGGGCCTCACGCGGCGCGGCGCCTGCGCGACCTCGGTCGAAATTTATGCCGCAGTTTGCGCTCGCGCGATTTCCGCGGGATCGTTCTCCGAAAATGGGTTAAAAATCTGTCCAGACGCGCGGAGTCATTCGCGGAAAATAGCTTAGTTTCTAATGCAAAATATATGAAACATTGACTCATATATCTACGCTAAAATTTGGACTAGATGGATCATTTCTAGCTTCACTAAGCTAGTTTATTTTTGTAATATTTTAATTAAAAGAAAGATAAATGGCCCGTATAGCTGCTCTTATACTTCATTTGCTTTTGCCCTCGACTTTGTCTGAGAAAAACTGTTTCCAGTGTTCAATAAAGATATTTTTAATAAAGCATGTTTGTAGAAGCAGATGTAACAATTATCATACAATTTTTCTTCCCCTATTTTGCCCCCCTGTAGAGATGCAAGTTATTAATGCTCAATAAAGTCATAAGTAAATATTTTTTTAGATCTCTTGAGAGAATTTTTATACAATTTTCTATCTCCAATTTTATCCCTTCGCTGGATAATTTTTTTTGACTCAAAAAAGTTATATTTTAATATTTCATGTTTTTGTCAGGTATAATAGATTTTTTTTCAACACCAATTTTATCCATTACGAAGGGATAAAGTTTCTGGTAGTCAGAGTAAAGTGGTAATTAAAGATTTCATATTTCCAGCCTCACTACCACTAATGTAACGAATTTTTATATATTTTATCAATGTCTTCTCCAATTTTAGAACAAATACTTTTGACCTTCTTACTGATATTGCTTCAAATTCATACTTCTTGATCAGATTGTAACATATTTCTTTACTTAACCTAACTATTTTATTTCTTAAAGGTATACATTTCACTGCTTTGTCTTTTGTTAAAATTTTTATCCAAATTTGTGTGTGAAAGCCAGAGGTTGCGACGTTATAACAATTTTTTTACCCGTTATTTTTCTTTAGGTTCCGTCGCTGACCTGGAGTCCCAAAGTGAGAGCGAACGGGGTGGCGGCGGCGGCGCTCCTGCCATCGTCGCGACATCTCATCCTGCCGAGGAAAAAAATGCCGTCGCCGCGGCCGCAGCTAAGCCTCCCCGTGCCGACATGAGCGTGTGCGTGGACACGAGCAGCGCGGCTGTCCTAAGCCAGCCGGCGCCTCCCGCTCCCGTCAACGTAGTGGCCCTGGTCGAACCCAAGGTGGAACCAGCTCCTCCAAGCAAAGCCGCCCTAGCCAAACTGGTCGTGTCCGGCCAGCACTTGCCTCCCGGCAACAACCAGGTGCTTCAGAAGGTGGTGAATAGTCCCCTGATTACCGTTTTGAACTCGGCGGGACCCCTGACGGTGGTCAAGAGCCTCTGCGTGACTTCCGTCGTGTCCAGCGCTCCCCACTACACTCTGGTCAACTCGACTCCGCTCACTGTGACCACGAACGCTGGGGGAAAACCTCCGACTATAACGGTGCTGAATTGCGGACCTTTGACTACTCCGGTGACTGTAGTGAAGGCTATCAGCGCTCCAACGCCTTCAACAGAGAAGACTGTGGTTGATGGGAATCCGGTGGTGCCGAACGTGCAGGCCGCGCCTTTGACGACCGCAGTGTTGGAGAACCGAGGCCATAATGTTTTTGTGAAGAACACATGCGTGGAGCCGGTAATGCCAGAGGCTATGCCCCAGAGTCACAAGCTGCTCACAGCTGCCAATTTCTCTTCAGCAAACGTGAGTATATTTTTTTCTACTAATTTTCTGACTATAAAAATTAATAAAATGTGTTGTTTTAGGTGCTCAACAATGTCCCTCTTTCCAACAAACCGACCACCGTGAACGGTCAAAGGAACAAGGTGAAGATCCTGAGCAACGTACAAATTCCCGGTCCCTCGCAAACTAACGTCATCCTGAACAAGAACGCCCCCGTGGGACCCTCAGGATCGCGTCCCCTTCCCGCCGCCAGGCCGAAATTGACAGGCAATAACGGCGCCTCTGCCAAATTTTTTGCTAAACAAATCAACAACATCATCAAGTCCAGAGTCAATTCGGTCAAAACTTTGCCCGATAAATCTATGAAACCTACTAATGTTGTTGCACAGAAGAACGTACCCGCCAAACCGATCACTCCTAACAGTTTCGTTCAGAAACCGCCACAGACTCAACCCGTCTCGAACGTGAAGACTTTGTCGCCTCAGAATAAGAACGTTCCGGGCCAGGTACAGAGAACCGGCTCGGGATTGCGCACTATCCCGCCTCAGCGACCTCAGAAACCCGCCGTCAAGCCAAATTATATAGGCAAGCACGCCGTTCAAGCGCAGAAGGTTAAGCAAATGCCGTACGCGAAGATGAAGACGACACCTAGGTCACAGAGTACCGCCGCCGGTCCTGTAGGAAGCTACAATCCGCCTCCGCACGAGAAGCAGCTCACTTTCAACCAAGCTCTGGCCGCTCAGATCATTGAAACTCTGAGCAGTACCAGCAGTACTCCGCCTCAGCCCAGCCGATACGAAATTATGCCGTCGCGCTACGACAACGCCTTCAAGTGTCCGGAGAAACAACAGTCGGGCGAAACGAGCGCCGCTCAGGCCGGCGAGGATCAACAGAACAAGTCGGGACTGGACGCGCTGTCGCTGATCTGCCAAGCGGTGCTTTTGGATCACAATTACAACGCCACGTTGCCGGCGGATTCGCCTCGCAGGCCCTCGCAAAACGTGCCGCCTCAAATCAACGGCCTGTCGTCGGTGGGACCGGTTTTGCCGGCGCAAGTGCGCAGAAGACCGCCGCCGCAGGGGGCTCCGATGGTTTCTCAAGCGCACGCGAACCTGAATTTGTCGGCTGGGAACAGCGCTTTGATGTTGGGCAGCGCGGGCAGTGCCGACGACGACGCCGCCTCGGACATATCGGATTGTTCGGACAGGAAGCACGATACCGAGGGGGAGGAGACGGACACGGCGCCCGAGGTGGAGGACGTGAAGAACGACGATCATTACGGAGATTACGTCACTAGATGTATTTGGTAAATATTACTGTTTAATTCAGGGTGCTAAAAAAAATCAAGATTTTTTTTAAAAAATCAAATTTTTTTTCTTTAAAAAAGTTTTGATGAAAAGTGGCGGCACCCTGATTTAATTGTGTATGATTGAATTGTAATTAACTTTGTTTTTTAGTGGATTCCTGCACGACGACGGCTATATGGTGGAATGCGATCGGTGCAAGGTCTGGCAGCACGTCCAGTGCGTAATCAAGAACCGCGTAATACCCGACGAATATCTGTGCGACATGTGCGACCCTTCCAAGCACGTCGACCGGCAGAAGGCGCGACTCGCCCAGCAGCAGTGGATCAGGGAGAGGCAGCTCTTGGAACCGAAAATCCGCAAAGAGGCCAAACTCAAGGACGCGCTGAGGCAGAAGGAGAATCACACCGACTCGGAATCGACCGATAACGAGCAGCCGCCGCGAAACAACAACGTCGCGGCCAAGGGCAGGACCTTGGCCAGTCGCAAAAAGGCCGAGACCCAGCGAAACGCGCGCAGGGAGCTGAAGGAAGCGCCCGTCCACCGCAGACCCAAGCGAAAAGAACGGAAAATAGTGAAGCGCAAGGCGAAGGTTCCGCGACAGGCTCCGCCGCCAGCGCCATCCCACAGCGACGACGAGAACCAGGACGCTTGGTCCGCCCACCTGCCCCAGCTGAGACAGTGGATCGAAAAGTACGAGGAAGCGGTGACGAATCATTATTCGCCCGAATTGCGAGCGAGGATTTCCAGTATCCGAGTGAACGGGGCCTACGCGGACCCGGTGAGTCCCCAGTACGACTCGTCGGTGTGCAAGTGCCGAGTGCACACGCAGCCGCTCACCGAGATCAAGTACCTGGTGAGCACGGCCCAGCTGGCGCCCGACACGCCCGTGGTGGAGCTGAGAGGCAAGTACATGCTGTCAACGCAGCACAGGCACGCCGGGGGTTCCCTGGCGACTCGCCAGCACACGCAGCGTCCCGGTCCCTTCCTCTTCTTCTACAAACTGCCGCCCAAGGACAACACAGAGGTAAGCGAAGCGCCGAGCACGAGTAACGTATTTTTAATGATATACAGGGTGTTTCAAAAAACGTGCCCTCTCTTGTGGGGAGATCCCTCACGTAAAAATAATATTTATTTTTCATATCGACATAGGTCCGATTCTACTTTGTTTCGTTGCTACACGGTGTTAAATTCTTATTATTTTTTTTTATTTTTATAAACCGTTTAATACCGATTAAAAGTTATGTCTTGATATTTTGTCGATTTCGGCCTCCTTGATAAGATAAACGCAATTTTATTAGTTTGCCTTGTTCCAAGTCTAATAGCAACCTTTAAATTTTTTTAATGTCATTAACTTGCGAAAGTTTTAAATAAGTACTCATTGATTCCATGAAAAAAGTTCCTATAAACATGGCAATGGAAATGCATAGTTTTAGTGTTACAGGATGTTAAAACTTTTTTAAATTAGGTTGTAATTATCTGAGATACCATTATTTTAACACCTTGTTTATTTACATTTTTTTTTGTATTAGGTTTGCGTGGATACGAGAACTTACGGCAACAGCGCGCGCTTTATCAGGCGCTCCTGCCGGCCGAACGCCGAACTGCGGCACTGCATCGAGAAGGGAGTGCTGCACCTGTACGTGGTGGCCGTGACGACGGTGGACAAGAACAGCGAGCTGACCATCAGGCACGAATCTCACGACCTGGCGGCGGTCGGTACCACGCAGATTGCGTGCGCCTGCGGACGACCCGACCAGTGCGCGGTTAACAAGACCTCCATCAAGAGAAACGGGGAAGTTGGTACCCCCGCGGCCAATGCCAACGCGGCGGAAACGACGACGCGTAAAAGAAGAGGAAGACGCACAGCGTCGACGGGATTTTCACCGGCTCCGCTGCTCAGGTCCTCGTCGATGAAGGAGTCTCCGCCGCAAGCTACACAAGAACCTGCACCACGTAAGTATCTAGCCGTAACTTTTTTAGTACGGCAATTTTTATATTTAATGCACACTAATCTAAATATTTCTTTATAGCAGCTATTTCTTCGCCACCTCCGCCCGAAATAAAAGCCGATCCCGACGCCAAAGACACGAAAGACATCAAAGTGGACATCGAAGAAGCCGTGGACGTTAAGATTGAGATCAAAGAAGAGCCCGTCCCGAAGATCGAGATCAAGATCGAGCCGAAAGTCGAGGAGGAGGACTCGGACGAATCCCCCGAAGTCACCGAAGAGATTAAACCCTCTCCACCGTCTCCCGTTAAAACCGAGATCAAAAAAGAAAAAACTGTTAAAGAGGAGAAACAGAAAAGTCCCGCCTCGACGCCCATAGCCACCAGGCGATCCTCCCACTACAAGTCGGACAAGGAGGACGGCGCCAAGGAGTCGGACTCGAAGGAACAGAGCGCCAAATCGAAGAAACTGAGCAGGGAAGAACGGAAACTGGAAGCCATACTGCGCGCCATCGAGCAGATGGAGAAGGCCGACCAGAAGAAGCAGGAGCACCAGGCGAAGCAGGCGCACAGACGCGAGTCCGAGCCGGGTCCGAACGCGAAGGAAGAGGACAAGCAGGAGCCGAAAATTAAACGTAGGCGGCGTAGGGGAAGAGCGAGAACGACCAGCACCAACGCTCAAGTGCGCAGGAGTCGCCTGAATTCGACCGATTCCTACGTCACTTCCGGCGACGAGAATTTGCTGTCCCCGAACGAGGGACTACCGTTGCACAGGCCTTCTTTTAAAGATGACGATGCGGGGGACAAGGCGGCGGATTTGCTCTTGGCCCTCTCCAATGGGGACTCGGACAAACAGATGCGCAAGTCGCCCGTGGGGGACGGTGGCGACTCGAACAACACCTCCGTCGAGTCTTCTCCGGAGGCGCCGCAGCTGTCGTCAGCCTGTTTGTTGGTGCAGGCCGCTGTGGAGCCGCTGGAGTCGGGATTTAAGTTTCCGAAAACGAAGAAAGGGTGAGTATTGAAATCGCAAAACTTTGTCCGATTCACGTGATCAATCATATTGACATTGACACTAGAAGTCTATAAACCTGACTATAATACTATATTTATAGAGCAAACAGTTGTAACAGGTATTTTATTTAGTTTAAAGCTGCAAAAATTAGTTTAAAACGAATTTTATTATCGCTATGTTGGTCACATTGCGCCGTGTTCAGCAATGTTGTCCTTTATTATTTGACAATTATCCTAGTGTCAGTCATTATTTTCTATAATATCGTGTTGTTGAATCTTTGCGAGTTATTCTCGTTTTTTTGCCTATTTTCATAGTCTTTTTATAAAAATTGCACTTTTGAGCACAAACACTTCTTTTAAGAACTAAATTTTCGAGTTTTTGTATTGCGTTTCTTGAAATTGTGTATTGAAAAAAATCATTTAAACAGTCGAAGCAAAGAGTTTGTATAAAGTAAATAAACTATTTTGAACGAGAACGCGAGAATAAAGGTCACAATAAAGGTCTTTTATTACCCTTGACTGCAGTCAGAAAAATAAGTTTGATTGATAAGCATATTATACCACTTTCAAAGTTAGTTTTTATTATTAGTTTGTGCATTAATAGCACCCTCTTACTTGTTATTCCCACTTATGGCGTTGTAAGATGTACATCAATAAATATATAACCCATAATAACGCTTATAATAATCTTCATAATTAACTAGTTTTTGCCAATATGTAAAATAAGCTATAAAACAAATAAATCAATTAATCACTAAAATATTAGTTATTAAATTAAAAATAAAACGTTAAACTCTTTAAAAAATTATATGATAAATATGTTGTTTGTCAATTATAAATTAAGATTTATCTCATAAATCCATCACAATCTGGCAGCGCTGTCGCCATCGCTTGTCACTCGAAAGTTGATCATGACGTGCATCGGAAATTGTTTTGCGATTACCATACACGATTTTAATTTGAAGTTTAAAATAATTCTTAGTGTAGTTCAGCGTTTTCACTAACATGTCGTATGTATTTCAGATTGATGAACGAATGGCTGAACAAAGCGCCGGAATCGTTGCAGCAGTCGGTCAGTTACGTCTCGCCCCCGGCCACGGCCGAGGAGGCTTCCGTTTACGCATCGAACACCAAGAACTTGGCCGCGTTGGCGCAGGCGGCCTCCTTCTGCGACAGCGCCCCCCAAACGAGGGGCGGCAACGCCAAGAAACGCTGGCTGCGACAGGCTATCAGCGAGGATCGGTCCACGGATGGCGCTAGCAATCGACCAGGTATGATTATTTGTTGTTTTTATTTCGAAATAACACTAATATACGTTTTTTTTAGATTCGCCAACAATCAGTGAAGCTGTCGCGCCCCCAAAGAAACGACGTCTACCTAGAGAATCTCTATCTAATGACAATTCACCTCCGACAACACCGACGAGCAGCGAACCTGCCAAAGTAAGTTTCTTCATAATATTAACTACAGTCTGTCAAGACAAAGTCCTTGACAGTGATAGATGTGTCTGTCATTTTATTTTCAAAGTAGTTTATTTTATTTTACACAGAAATAAGTTGGTACAATAATTGGAACGCATAGCAGAAAATTAATATATTTAAAATTTGACTGACTCCTTCAAAATATTGTAAAAAAAAACTGTATAAAACTGAAAAAATCTAATCGAGTTATTTTATTAAAAACAATTACAGTATGTGTTAATACAAAACAAGCAAGGGTGTATTTTAAAAAACACCGCATACCAAAAAAAAAAGATATAAAAAATATTTCCTGTTTTCAAGCCGTGTTTCAAGCTGAGGCAAAATAGCTTTTTTTTATAGGTCATTGTTACAATTTTCAATATAACTTTTGTAAAAATATAAAAAAAAAATATTTCAAAGGAATAAATAAAAGGCAACATAAATAAAACAAAATATTTTATTAATAATAACACTTACTGAATTTTATACTTTAAAAGTTCGTTAATTAACTTAATTTTAAATTTGTGAACCAGTACTTTTTGACATCTCTCTGCAGTACTAAAATTTATTATTTACCTATCGTGTGCTGCTAATTTACAGATACTCCAGTTTTTGGTACCATATACAAGATGGTAGACAAACTTTATTTGTGGCTTATACAACTCTCTGGCGGTCTATGGGCACCGAATATTAACTGTAAACTATGGTCTGGGTCAACACTTAATTTTCCTTCGAGTTTTCCTCCACTTTATTTTAAAAAAACACAAAATACATGTAATAACACAGTCCAAAATACAAAATGAAAATATTTATTATTTCGATTTGACATAATTTGACACAAAATTATAACCTATAATTTGGCAAGAGTTTGACAACTCTCAAAAATCTTAAGTCGAGTTTATACGCATCGGCGTCCGTTTGTCGTTCATCGTTCCGTCAAACCTTTGAATAAGGAGACTAAGGAAAAAAAGGAAGGAGCATATTAAAAATCTTAGGGCCACCACGATGGGCCTCAAATATGGCCGACTTAAATTCCGGTTTATCAGTGCCTTTCTAATTTTATTTAAAAAATGTAAAACTATGATGTAGGGTAGACTCGATATTTTTTTTTTATTTTACGTTGTGAATAAATGTTAGTAGTTATTAAAATTGTTATAAAAATATAAAATTCTAATAAAAATGGATAAGTTATAATAATTATTTATAACCATAAACATCCGATACGCTACTGAATTGACGTATCTAAATTCTTTGACATCTAATCTTTTACAAGTAGTAAATAAAAGCAAAAATGCAAGAAAAAATATATAATTAGTTAATTTAAGTGAATTTGATAAATGATCGGTTTACTACACATATGTATATTATATGGTCACTTACTAGCGAAAAGTTGTTCCATTATTTCACTCAATTTTTGCCGAGATCTACCGCACGCTACACAAACCGACTATTTTAGAGTCTTTTTCGATAAATCGCAATAGTGTCACTGTTAATTCAAGTTCTGCCACAATTTCCATCTAGATTTACTACCTTTATACAACTATCAGTAGTAGAATAAATAATAAATAACATAAAATAAGCTCCGTAAAGACTGACAAATCCACAAAATTTCAAATCAAATGTGTCAAATGAATCGTCAAACAGAACTGTCAAGGATCCCCACCCTAGAGTGCTTTTTCCGCCCACCATGCATGAATACATGGATAGCATTATGCTCCTTCCTTAGTCTTCTTATTCAAAGCGTCAAACCAATAATATTGAAATATGATCTGTCATTTTTGAAATGAACCGATAAAGCTGGTTAAAAACAACAAGAGATGACGCATGACGTATTAAATTATTAAAACTCGTCCGTAGTTAACTTAAAAAATATTAGAAACTTTTTTTAGTTAAATCAATATATTGGTATGGACGCCATCTGTCATCGTCTGTCGAAAGTTTACCTGAGAAAAAAAAAACAGTATATAATATTCTATTTTTTTTAAATTATTTCAGATGATTGATACGCCTCGATCTAGCCAGGAGGGGGGCGTGGAAATAGTGTACAGCAGCGCTGAAGGCGACAGTCCCGTCCAGGCCATGGAATCGGACACGGAATTGAAGGAACGCGCCGCCCAAATGAAGCAGGAATTCGGCAAAGCGACCCAAGCCTCGGCTGCCGAGCCCTCGCCGGGCACCCCTCGCACTCCCCGGACCCTGCTGGACCCCCGCCTGTCCAGGGAGAACTCGATCTTCGCCAACAGCGACCACTTGGTGGGCACGGTGGAGAAAACGCTCAGTATGCTCGGCTTCGAGAGCGGCGGAATAGCTACGCCGACCAAACGAAAGGTAAAGGTAAATTTCGCACGGAATTATGTACAGGGTGTTGGTATTTTATTTAAAAAATGCTGACGCTATAGTTTGAGGGAAATTAACGAGTTTTTTTTGTAGTTGTCCATTACCGAGTACAGGCAGAGGAAGAAGTTGAACACTGATAAAAGCGACGAGCAGGACGACCAATCGGAAACGGCCTGTGTGGAGGACACGAATTCTTCCGAGTCGTTTAAGCCGGAGTCGATGTCCAGACCCAGGTCGGGCAGTTCCAGTAGCAGTACTTCCTTTACCAGCGGGGACGAAATGTCCACTTCGGAAATGGTCGTCAAAGGTACGTTTCTCTACCGTAAAATTAAAAAAAAAACTAATATTGTCCTGTCTAATTTAAAGATTTAAGTCTTTCTAGAAAAGATTTTGTCATTAAAAAAGATTTATTTTTTAATGACAAGGCATTTTACAAAAGCATTTACTTTTACGTTACAAACGTTTTACTTTTTTTCATATATTTTTGTCGTAATTTTTTACAGCGGCATCAAATAGGTGTTTACCATTTTAAGTTTCATATAGAAAAGTAGCAACTGTGAAAACTGTATCTTTGTACCGCTGCACAGTGGTTCCCAGATAGGTCATTACTTAGAAATATTAATTTCAAAATGTTTGCATGAAACTGTTGCTAATACTTTTCTTATATTCCCCTGTAAACGATACATAATTAATAATAAAATCAAGTAAACCTAGTGTAGCGCTTTTTTTATTAGAAATGTCACATTTTTGCTACTGGTATCAAGCTGACATAAACAGTTTTCGGATAACGCCAATTAATTACTTATTTTATTAAAATTGATAAAAGTTGTTGCCTTTTCTGTAATGGACGTTCGAAAAGAAGGTAAAAAGAACTGTTTTTTCTTTTTTGCACTTAATTATACCTAAGTAATATTAGTTTATGGCAATTTATTTGAAGGCAACAAAAATAGTATTTTTACATTTTTGCTTGTCACTCTTGAAGACTTTTAACTACTTTCCCTTTCAAATTCTCTTAAACGGCATGATAATACTTGTTACTTAAAGTATATTGCATATAAATTAATTGCCACTGGCTGCCGCGAATTGCCGCCGGATCTTATACCGGATGGTTAAAGATTGACTTTTTGTCTTAAAATAAAAGTAACTTATTTTTTCCTCTTCGTGTCAGCTTATTTCGTGGACACACTGTATATCAATTGACAATAAAATTGTGTTTATAAAATGAAACAACTGTCTCTTTTATTTATTCAACATTTAAAATAAATTTGACCTCTTCAATATGAAAAAACATGTACTACTACAGGTAAACACAATCTGTATACCTTTCCGAATAGTTAGAACTTAAAATGCAAATCACACAAATTGGGCCCAATTTTTTTAATACATATTACATTTTATATACATTTATTTAGCATTTGTTATAAATTTCTATTAAAAAAGGTGCAGTCAAGCTATATATAGATATCTAACAGTTATGACCGCGCAGCTAATTAAGGGGAACCACTGTGCGCTGCTTATAAACGAGAAACCCTGTAAAACACACAACAATTGGACAACCTGTACAAAGTACCACGAAATTTAATTTTATTTAAGTTGTTGATGTTTTTTTGTCATTGTTGCGTTTATTTTTTTTTTGTTTATTATAGTTGTTTATATAATATTTTATTCTAATCTCTATCTACAATAAATTAATATATATAATAAAAAAAATCGCCCTAATGGGTAATACAAGAAAATTAATATTATCATTTAAAAAATAGGTATTTAAATTGATTTCTGGTTGACTTGAGTTGGAGGGTAATTATATTGATTTTTAAGGTATTTTACTGACTTAACTTGCTTGATTTAAGTAAAAAAAAAGACTTAAATAACGTTATATTTATTTAAGTCTTTACAAAAATGACTCGACTTGAAAGAAAACGACTTAAAACTTAAGTCGTTTGAACTTTATGTTGAATTTGTCTTTACGTCTTCTAGCTCCTGCATTTAATTCTGAACCTACCGAGTTGGAGAGGCAACGGGAAATTTCCAGTTTAAGGCTGAAGAAAGCCTTTGGACTATCTATCGACGACGATGTTAGGAAACCTCCAGGTACGCCTGTCATTTAAAATGTCTACGATGTAAGACAGAATACCTTAAATTATATTATTTATTTTTTTTTAAGTCGTTTAGACTAATCTTTTATTTCTTTTTGTCTAGTTCTGGACGTGAACGCTATTTTAAATTGCGACTTGGAGCCCGTGCAACGCTCTTCTCCCCATACTCTGACGAATCCCGGCTTTTCTTCGACCAGTTTTTGCGAGTCCTCCATGTCTCCCACCCTGCTGAAACCGTCGGATATTCCTGACAGGACTTGCACGCCACCTGCCGACGACATGGACAACGAAACAACCGAGGAAAAACACGAGGATGAAGAGGTTAAAACCGACGAAGAAATGCCGCTGGTGGAGGAAGAAAGTGCGTTGATGGAGGAGAGCGGCAGCGTTGAAAAGATGGAGACCAGCGATTGCGGCAAAGAGGAGGAGACTCTACCTCCCGTGAATGAGAGGGAGGAGAGTTCGGAGAAGTCTTCCTCCCACTTGTTTTACACTCCCGACGACGACGAGGATAGAGCGGATAGGGCTGCGCCGGTGGCGGAGCCAGAGGAGGTGAACTACGTGCCGCCCTTCAATAACCCAGTCTACCCGAATAATAATTTCACCAGTTTCACATCGGCTATAGGTGAGTGTTTTTTTTTATTAAATATCCTATTTATTTCTTTGAATATATACAGGATGGTCCGAACTGTATTTTGGAAACTTCGACAGCATATTCTGCAGATAAAAATAAGTAAAAAAGTTTGTATAAATGTATGTCCTGAAATGCTTAGTTTCGGAGATACAGGGTGTAGAAGTTTTATTTTTTTTCCGAATAATTTCTGAAGTAACAACAGTCAATATTTAGGTGAAAATTGGTGACTGGGAGTTTTTTTCCATTCATTAATTTTAATTATTTTTCAAATTTGGTTGATATAAAAATACAAAGACCCTATGTACGATGAGTGGTAATTTTTATTTCCGTCCTTTTCTTCCAGATGACGATTCGCGGTATCAGAGCCGAAACCCATCTCCACCTCCCGACCTGGACACGCCCTCCTTCGGCGGCGGTGCCCTCTAGATGGGCGGGACCGTAACTACCACGAGTGCAATCCAATACCTAGGTTAATAGTAGTATTAATCTAAAAAAAGGAACGTTTTTAACGCGCATAAATTTATTATTATTATTATTTAGGCTTAAGCGTTGTACATATTGTTTTCATATTTTTTTTTTATTTTTTTTTGAGATTTATATATTTTTTTCGCGTAACGATGACGGATATAATTCGGAGAGAGAGAGAAATGAATGGGATTATTTACCCGGTGACGACGATATAATTTATTATATTATGATTATTATTGAAAGAGATTTTGAAAATCCTGTTTTTTTTAAATGTAGATAAAAGAAAAAGTGTACACTGTGTAAATAACGTTTCGTTGCTCTAGATTTTTTCTATATATATATATATATATATATATTTGTATATCTGTAAGAGGTAAAGTTTTTTTTTGGTTTTTCTTTTGGGGAGCGGCGTTTTTATATTCGATGTTCGAGTGACGGCTTTTTTTTTTGACGGTTCATTAATTAAATGAGAAAAATGTATTATTATAAGATTCGGTATAGTCTGTCCAACGACCCGGGGGAGAATTCGACAGACGACATCCAAAAATGAGTGAGAATAAATATGAATTGCGTGTGAATTAAAATGACAGACAACTCCTGTTGGACAGACTATAGTGTTTGATAGAAAAACTTTTTAAATCAACATGGCATTACATAAACAAATTTTGGAGGTTTTGCAAGAAAAATACTTTTGGAAAGATTATAATATGATCGAAAAAACGCCGTCGGCGATGGTTATGAAACGAAGATCGCTGTCATTTTATATGGAAAATGTTATCGATCGTCATTTCCCAGCCAACTAGACGCCGGTTTTTTTTTTCAATCATACGATATTATAAATGTATTGTAGCTATGTACCCAGAGTACTGAAAAAAATAATTTTAAATGGAACATCTTTGCATTAACTTTCAAATCAAGTTTGTTTTTTCTTGACGAAATGGCGAATGCGCTTATTCAAGGAAACTTTTATTACTTAGAAATTGTCTGAATGATTAAGGTAGAAAGAAATACGATAATTGAACTGGTTATAGATAAGTACCATATGATCGAAAAAAAAACGGCGGCAACGTGACTATGAAATGAAGATCGCTGTCATTTTGTATGTAAAATTATATGGTGAATGTCCATTTCCAAGTCAACTGGACGCTGTTTTATTTTCGATCGTACGGTATAAAACAGTTTAAAAGGAATCAACAATTTTGAAAATAATGTAATGTTTTTTATGTATCGAATAAAACGGTTTTTCAGTGTTTGATTTTGAACATTATTTTAAGTAGTATAAAAAAGCAGCTCCCCGGATTTTTTTTCTATTCATTTCGTTGGTCTCGTGCGATTCTGGTCTCTGAAAGAACGGCAAAAAAGTGGAAAAAAATGGAAAGTTGCGAAATCTCAAACCAATCTGTGGCCGTTGTAAATAAAATTTAGTGGAAGCCGTTTGTCGGCCGGCGAGTCGGTCGAAAAGTACAAAATTATTTAAGGGGTGATCTCGCATTTTATCGGTTAGATATTTTTTTACGTGTTGTATATTTAGCGTTTAAGGAGTCTCCTTGTTCTTTTTTCGTGTAGCCCAATTTGTATAGTTTGTTTTTTAGACGTTTATTAAAACAGAAGAATTAATCGGTTATAATCAATTAACTTGTAGGCGTATCGAAGGCATCACTTTTAAGTTTTTTTTCCTTTTTCAGCTCTCATCTGTATATATACACACATTTCGATAATATATATATTTGCTATTTACTGTACATAGAGGTACACGTACACATTAATTTATGATATTTGATTTTTTGTAATAATTACGTACTACATCCAGTGTTGGTTATGTTTATATAAATATTTTTTCATTAATTTATTTGAGAATTTAAAAGAATTGTTACTGCGGCGGTCGCGCCACCGTCAGTAAGGATTGTTGTTATTTTTGTAAGGCGTTTCTCAGCTCCCCGGCCTCGGTCTCTCCCATTTGTACAAAATTTTTATTAATAAAAAGAGAAAAAAATGGAAAAATTGAAAAAAAATTTCGATTACCGTCAGTATTAAACGTAAATCTATACATATTAGAAGCGCGGCGAGGAGGCGGCAGGGCTCTGAAACCGAATAAAATTGTCAACGACATGAAATATAACTATTTTATTATGTAACAAGGCTGTACATAAAACATTAATATCGATGTTGGTACGTTTTGCGTACAATTATTAAATAAAGTCTAAAAATTACTTGAAACGAGTTTTCTTTAAATTTCCTCTGTTCAAAAAATACATACAAATCCAAGATTTCTTCGACTTTTGGCGAAACTGGCAGAAAAATATTTTATTTCGTACAAAGACAGTGATCACCTGGCTTACCAGGCAGACATAAAGTGGGCCGAGCGCACGGTTATAGCATGCTCCCTGCCGTTAAATTTATCATACGAATAAATAGCCTCCTTCGCTCTTACTGTGACTTCCTGATTACCGGTGAATCCGACGTTGCGAAATAGGGCATATACTTCACGACCATGTCCTTCAATAACCTGTCGATATATGGATCGTTATTGCTGCTTATACTTATAAAAGCCTTGAAAATACCGTCCAAGTGTGTTTAATACCGTTCAGAACGAACGGGTGGGGAATTTTTTTACCCGTCATAAAGTCCATTGGCAACAACAAGACTTCTAACAGTTTTGTTAAGATTGTTACCGGTTTGTTTCTGTTATAAATCAAATTACTGCAATTGAGGAACATTAACGATGCGTATCAGCAAATATTCAAAGTAATTCGCTTTCTGGTTTCTGAACGTACTGAGCCAGCAATGTGTCTAAATTATTCAGCCCAAATCCGCATAGTCAGTAAATCACTGGTCTGCTCGTATGATTGTTTTGAGTGAGAACCTAAGTAGTTTATAAAAGCTTTCATGGGGTCTTGTGCGTTATTTAGGTGAAACTTCATTTCAGCAGGGAACACGTCGAGTTTAAGTACTCTTTTAGATAACTCTATCTGAGGTACAGCACTTAAAAACACATTTTCGCCCAGCTTTGCACGATCTGATTTTCCTGTAACGCCGTTAAAATAAAATGATCGGGATAACTGTCCAGAATAATTTCCAGAAAGTTTGAACAAATTTTCGGCGAAATCTACCGATTTTTCGAAGTGGCATCACTGCTTTTAATTTTTTTTTAGTTGATATGTTTTGACTGATCAACAAGACTGACAGGTATAACTTTACGTGTAGACGAGGCTTAAGATGCAAAATTAAAAAACTTGTTTTGAAAAACTTTTTTTTTTATTTAAATAGTACAAAAAATATATTATGTATAAAATATCTAGAACAAATCTAATATCTATAACAAACAACATCATGTGTTATTTTTTAGCACATTTTCCAGCCTCTCCAAATGAGTCCTTAGGGTTTTATCGAACCCCACGCCCCTTAGCCTTTCCACATTCACCACCTGAATTTTAATGCTTTCTATAATTTCCTTCACCTCTCCGGGCGCGAATTTAGCCAGGGTCGTCACCAACTGGAAGTAATTGATCGTATTCAACCCCACATTCTTATCGGAAATCGCCAGAATTGCCTGTTTAAACACTTCGCGCACGTGCAAAAACAACGGGCTGGAAGTTAGGTTTTTAATCACCCCCAACGCCACGCTTCTTTGCGAGTGGAAAATTACCACTTCGAACAAACCGGGCAGAACTTTCTTAACCATAACTCGTAGAAGGGATAGGTCGTTGTTATTGATTAGATCCGCTATAATTTTCAGAGCTTTGATAACATTCGCGTCCGATTCTTTGGTGGAAGGTTTGAAATAAGCCAAATACAGTTTCTCCAAAATCACAGTAGCGCAATCCGGTTCTTTTAAGCTGTTCACTATCGGTGAATCCGACGTTGCGAAATAGGGCATATACTTCACGACCATGTCCTTCAATAACCTGTCGATATATGGATCGTTATTGCTGCTTATATTTATAAAAGCCTTGAAAAATACCGTCCAAGTGTGTTTAATACCGTTCAGAACGAACGGGTGGGGAATTTTTTTACCCGTCATAAAATCCATGGGCAACAACAAGACTTCTACCAGTTTCGTTAAGATTGTTACCGGTTTGTTTCTGTTATAAATCAAATTACTGCAATTGAGGAACGTTAACGATGCGTATCGGTAAATATTCAAAGTAATATCTTCGCTTTCTGGTTTCTGAACGTACTGAGCCAGTAATTTGTCTAAATTATTCAGCGCAAACCCGCATAAAGTCAGTAATTCACTAGTTTGTTCATATGATTGTTTTGAGTGAGAACCTAAGTAGTTTATGAAAGCTTCCATGGGGTCTTGGGCGTTATTTAGGTGACACTTCATTTCAGCAGGGAACACGTCGAGTTTAAGTACTCTCTTAGATAACTCTATTTGAGGTACAGCACTTAAAAAACAAATTCTCGCCCAGCTTTGCACGATCTGGTTTTCCTGTAACGGCGTTAAAATAAAATGGTCCGGATAACTGTCCAGAATAATTTCCAGAAAGTTTGAACAGATTTTCGGCGGTACCGTTTCGGTACTGAAGAAATTGAACGAATCGGTGGTAAGGCTCGGATTAAGCAGCGCGACTTTGGCGGCGATTTTCCCGATAATTCCCGGTGGGTTATGGGTGGTACTCAGTTGTTTCAGATTATCGTACACGTGCTCTTTAAAGTTGTTTTCATAGAGCGGCCAACAGTCGGCGTCGCCGCATTTTTCCAGCATCGATAAGACAACGTCCAGGGATTTATTTAGGTCGGCCAGATAGCAAACGGATTGGTACTTTCCCAGCCAGGAGCCGATTAAGAAGTTTTGACCGAGGTTCATATTTGAGCTGTTCTGGATGATCGCTTCCATATTCTTCAAGAACTCCTTTATCAAATGAAAGGTCTTCTGGTTGTTTGACGCCTCTTGCAACATGGATACCATCGTGGGGGATATTTTTTCAATCGATCGCCCGTCTCGAACGTATTTCAAAATCTACAACAAAAGAAATCGGTGAAAAAAGCCATCTTAAGGTTTTTTAGGATTTTTGAAAATTTTTTAAATTCCAAGGCAACTTTACGCCGTTTTTTTGCAGTGAAACTTCTTAACGCGGCTGGGAGTAAAATTAATAAAAAAAATTGTGAAAGTGAATCAAATTATTTATTAATTTTTAATTTATTACTTTTTCAACACTTTTTTTTATTCTGTTGACTGTAAAGGCCCGTCTACACCTAACGTTTTATCTGTCAGTTTTAAATTGTTCAGTCAAAACGTACCAAGTAAAACCATGGGTGTAGACGAAAAAAAAACGAGCGTTTTACTTGAATTTTATTTTACATTTACTCGAATTAATTCAATTATTGAATTATAGGCCAGTAAGCGAGGGTTTTAGGGTCCGAATTCTGAACACCTGCACCGATTGACGTGAAATTTTAACAGTGAATAGGTAGAGATATATTTTTTATCAAACAGAGCCATTTTTTATAAATAACTCGAAAACCTTGCGTTTTATCGCAAAACTCATAAAGCAAAAATGAAGCTTTTGTAATAACTAAACGATTCATTGTTTGCTGTTTACCGTAGGTGTAATAACAGCCGAGTTATCACTCTGTAAAGGTGATTTTTTATTTTTCAAAAACTAAATTGCAACCTTTTACGGTAAAATAATGGAGAAAGAACACATTTTTCGAAGAGAATAAATATGACCGTTTTTAAAGTGATTGAAAAGACTTTTTAAATGCTTATTTTTTTAAGAAAGTTCGTAGCTCAAAAACTCGCGGAGTTATTGTTATGATAAAAATAAAATGGTCACATCATTATTTTTTTAATAATTTTTAAAAAAAAAACAGATAAAACATCTAGTGTGTGTACTAATTTTTAATCCATCTTACATGACAGGTAAAACGTTATGTGTAGACAGGGCTTTAAGCATATAAATTTGTGTACTTTTTTTTTTAAATTAAGAAAAAACTTGATAGAAAAAATAATTTTAAAAAACATTTTTTAACAGATACTAAAACTTACTATAGCACAATGAATGTTCCAAACAACCAAGGAAAACTTCTTTTCCGGTGGCAAATTCTCCAAAAACGCCAACATTTTCTTTTCAAGCTCTTCAAAACTGATACTACTCAAAGCCAAGTATAACAATGCCACATGTCTTATACCGATTTCGGAGAGGTCCTTCACTTTGTTCGGCCCCAACTGAGAATATATTCTTCCCCTCATTTTCGTCCACTGAACAGGGTATTCGTTCAAATGGTAAACCAGCAAACCCAGAAATATTTCAAAATCTTCCTTGCAATCTTTTGGCGCGTACAAAATCGAATCCAAGATCTCCACTAAATGAACCGGTGAAATATTGCACGAGCTCTTGTTCGATATGTTCAGTCTTTTACTGTAGAAATCCCAAATGATTTGAAATATCTCGATCTTTCCTTCCTTCAGCCATAATCGGCACAATAAAGGTTCAATAATATTTAAACCACAAGCTAAGGTATCACAGTCAGTGTCTAGTAATAATTCTTTAATTTTAAATTCCAGAAACGTATAGTTGGGCTTTATTCTATCGGATTTGTAACCAATATCTTCGAATTTAGAATTATAACACTGAATTAACGAGACTTGCTTTAAAAAATACAAAGCAAAAAGTGGAGGTTCGGTTTCAAGCACTTTGTTAAACACCCTCCAAAATATTGAGCCTGTAACGTCCATCTTTTCAGCAATTAATTGAACGGTTAGTGTAAATAATTTTACACATTCACACATATTAATAGTTGTTAAATAATTAGTTCTGTTAAAGGTGCTTTTCACAATAACTGACAAATTCTTTATCACACTCTCCAAAAATACCTCTGTATTCTCCACAGTTACTCCGCATAAATAATGCAGTAAAGTGATATAGTAAAGCATCTCTAGAAAAGAATGTAGATATTGGTAGAAAGGACAATTTAAACCACCGGTCGATGAAGTAATTTTACCAAGAATCGGTTGACTCAGTTTTGAAACAGGAACGATACTGTTGAATAGTATTTTCAAGTCTTTTATAATCCTCTCAACATATTTATCTCTATTACCATTATCGCAGAGTAAAAGAGAGTATATAATCGCTTTGAAGGCTTCGTTAATAAACTCCCTTTGCGATAAGACATCAATGGTTACAATGTTATCGTTTAAAACAACTCCTTGTATGCAGTGCCACCTTGAACGAATAGAGCTGATTATGTCCGTAATATCTTCCAAAAGGTAAATCTTGTGATACTGTTGTAGGCCTATTAACAAATAAGTATTTGTTTCGAGTTCGGGGGGCGTTAAACCGGTGTAAATATAGTGAAAATGCCGAGTAAGTTCTTCTGGATTTTTGGAACAAGTTTCAAACAGGCATATACTGGACATTGTATCAATTTGTAATTCGGGATTCGGGATTAAAGAATTTTCTACAAAATTTAAATGGTTTGCCGCGTCCAATATAAATAAAGAAGATAGGTGCAGACGAGTAAGGTTATAATCTTCTTGATTGGTTTTTACGGCCTAAGCTGCCAGGACTATTCGACCGCTAGGCTAGAATGAACTATTATTTGTCTTCTTTTTTTTACTACACTTTAAAACTTCATAACAAAAGCTACTCTTTGACAAAAGTCTATATTATATGAAGTCGTATTCTAATTTGCTGTAACTGATATGTAGTACGTGGTAGGGCATGAGTTGCCAGGGTCTTTGGTCAAAAATAAAAAAGGGAAGAATTTTTTTTTATAATAAATAATATCCACACTTCGGATAGCCCTGGCAGCTGTGGCCACTAATCTAAAAAATATTACTACCCTAACCTCACTTATAGAATTTCTGTTTTCTGTCAGATTTTCTGAGTCTTTCTGAGCAGTTTCAGTTTCTGTGCCCATGTAAGTAGCGTATACTTTTTTATTCATGAAAAAATCAATGAGAAAAATACTTTCCTGCCTTAATTTCCTGGAAGTCATACTAATTTTCTTTGCAATTTTATAGGATGAGTGGAATATGTAGGATTTGTTTAACAACTGATACCACTAAGGAGTACGTTAATATTCATGAGGAAATAATACCCAATCTGACCGTTTTACAATGTATTATAAATTGTTCTTCGATAAAGGTAAAATAAGGTTTAACGCCCTATTTTTAATATCACCCTATGTATTATTTATAGGACACTGAAAATGAGCTTTTTCCTGAGGAAGTATGTGAAGATTGTCTGGCCAAACTAAAGCTATTTAATGAATTCCGACAATTAATTTTACAATCGCACGAAACGTTGCAACTAAGTTTAAGTACTAAAACTGAAACAACTGAAATGGGTCAGCATAACAGTAATAACATTACATTTATATAAATATACTGACAAATTTATTTTCAGATGATGAAGATTCATTTGAACAATCGCACGAATCATTGCAACTAAGCCCAAGTACTAAAAATGAAAAAACCGATTCAGGTCAGCATAACAACAACATCACATTTGTATAAATATACTGACAAATTTATTTTTCAGATGATGACGATACACAGTCTCAATACGATCACGATTATGCATTACTAGACGAAGAAGAAAATATAACCGTAGTTATAAAAGGAGATCAAAGCGAGACAACTGAAGAACCGAGAACTGTTTTCGAGTGTGAGGAGTGTAAGAAAGTTTTTAATAGGCACGATCACCTGAAGGTGCATATGACCAGCCATACAGGTGAAAAAAAGTACGCCTGTGATATTTGTCCGAAAAAGTTTGCGAGAAGTTACGTTCTGATGTACCACAGAAGAACCCATACGAATGAACGGCCTTACCAATGCGATATATGTTTGAAAACGTTCAATGCGCCGAGTAATTTTTCCCGCCACAAAATACTACACACAAATAACAAGAGATTTAAGTGTAGCGCTTGCGACGAAGGTTTCTATCAGTTGGAATCTCTAAACGTTCATATTAGGAAGGCTCATACTGGGGAGCGGCCTTATTTGTGTGATGTGTGTAGCCGTACGTTCCAGAGCCAAAATTCCTTATACATACACCAGATTGATATTCACGGAAAGGTAAATGTTTGTACAGAAATATTTAAGATTAATATTTAAAAATGGAAAAATTTCAGAAAGATCCTTGCCCTCTCTGCGGCGGTATGTACAGTGCGAGAATAATGAAGAAGCACATTCGCAGACACCAGGAACAAAAACAGGGCATTAAGAAGTTTTCCTGCGACGAATGTGGAAAAAATTTCACTTCCGCGGCCGGTAAAAAGAAACACCTGTTAACTCATACAGAAGAGAAGCCGTTTATTTGTGAGGTAAAATTTTAATTAATTATTTTATTACAGATGTATTTCAGAAATACGCGTTTTTTAGATTTGCAAAAGGTGTTTCAATCAAGAGTCTGCTTTAAAAACACATATGAAGGTACATTCCAATTTAAAGCTTTATTCCTGCATATTTTGTACGAAATCGTTTAAATACAAGCACCATTTCGACCGTCACTTGGATAATCATCATCAGGATAAAATGGAAACATACTAAAAAAAATATATTATGCTGAATAATTAAGAATATTTCTTAATATTATACTAGTTTTATTTGTATTTAATTTGTATGTCTGTTAAAAGTACTGATTTGGGAATATACATAACTATATACGTATTTTGTATTTTAAATCTAATAATTTTTAATAAACGTTTTATAGAGATGAGACTGAAGAAAAAGCAAAGGAGAAAGGAGTAAAGGATAGGAGACTATCACCTGGCCGTATAGTCCTGGCAGCTTAGGCCGCAAAACCAAACAAGAAACGAGAAGAAAATAACATTTTTTCAATTAATTTAAAGGCACAAGCTGTTAGGACTATCCGGCCTGGTAATAGAGTTATCCAACCTGTATTGAATGTTTATAGATGCTGGTACAGAGTCAGAATCCTCCTTATGCGGGTCTTATCATATATAAATTCCTATAAAATTCTTGAGCTTGTTGTCAGGGATGGGCGTATAACAATCTAATAAACTAATAGATTTTCATGTTCACAAAAGTTTTTTACGTTTGATAAAAACGTAACTAGGTTTAAAATCCAGTAATGTTCCTTAAATCTGATAACTGTTGATGAGTAGCAAAGAAATATTTCATTATATCTGTCTTTTATTGATATTTTTTATTTTAGGCGTAGATTTTAAAACGTAAAAAATTGGCTGATAAATACCCATCCTTGACGTAGGCTGGTTTATTGTGAGATTGTGAGTTAATTATGATCATTGAACAGTATTTATATTAATATGCAGTGTTCCTAAGAGTGTGTTCCACTAAGCGCTCATAATGCTCAAAATATGCCTTCGGTCGTTCCACATGACGATCGCGAACGTTGTGGTCGCGGCGAAAACGTCACTAATGACGTCATTATTTTCGCTCACGCCGAGCTCACAACGACCCATCTGAATATTAGGATCGAAGTGGACGTTGAGGAATTTTGGCGCAATTTTTAAAACTTTGACAAAAGATTACCGGCTTACGATAAAAATTTTCATAGAATTCTCATAGCCAATAATACGTGACCTAAGTTTTCGCTTTTTACGATCGCGATTTTGGAAAATTGCATTCCACTATTCGTCTGAACTAGCTGAAGAAATTTCAGACACATTCCGATGCACAAAATATCCAACTGTCGCCAAAGACATTTTGATTTCTTTTTTTTTTGAGACAGATTTTTTGAATTCTCTTCTGTGATTTTGAGTATTATTTACTCATATATTTACTATTTACATATATTGACAGGATTGACGCTTAAAATGCTCCATAACCCATTCCACTTGAGTTTATGATTGTAATGCTCGCAAGCAAGTGGAACGGGAAAAATCGCGATTTTGAGCGTGAACGTTATGAGTGCTTAGTGGAACGTACTCTAAATATCATGTACAAACGAAAGGGCGAGTGATTCTTTGGCTCTTTGACATATTTTATGACTAAGTTTCATATAAACATATGGATCTGCAAACGTTTGGTTTTCAAGCTACAGGGTGTCAAAATTTTACCTAATTTTTTTTTCTAATAATATCTTGACAAATCCTTTTGCTGGTTTTGTGAAAATTTATTATGACAAGATGCAAGAAGCTAAGTTAGCACTAGCCAAAAAACACCCCTTTTCGTTTGTACATGATATTTTAGGAGCAACACCAAAATAATTAGTTTTTTGCACTACAATAATAAATAATACCAAAAATCAAAGAGTTAAAACCAAAAATCAACCGACAAAATATGAAACGGAATCTAACCCAATATCTAAGTATGTACAGCTGATGAAGTAAACAAAAGTCCGCCCGCAGGCTGATCTTTTAATAGAAGGCACTGGATAAAATGTGTCCCAAAATGATTTTTAAAGTAGCCCAATTTGCGATAAGTCGCCCAATCTGGCAACCCAGCTGTTCTATCCACAAAGTTCTATCGAAAATCGAAGCATAAACGTCAACATAGAGATGTTTGATCTGCACAAACACCTTGAAAACATCGATATATTTAAAGGACCCCATACACTTATAATAACACGGTTATTTTGTTCAGTTTAAACCGTGCAGTTAAAATTAAAACCGCGCGGGTATGAAGCACGGGCAAGCAACATGCAAGCAACCTCGGTTGGCAACCTGGCCAAGACACTCTGCCTTAGCCAGTTCATTTTATCTGTGTCATAGTTAAAGCCTGGTTGACACGGTCCAAGTGCACTTGGATTAAATACACTTGGACGCTGCTTGCACAGATAACTAAAACTGGCTGCTTGGATCGTACCAAACTGATTTAAAATCGGTTAATACGATCCAAACAGCGTCCAAGTAAGGCGCGCAGTACGAGTCAAAGTGTATTTTGTCCAAGTATACTTTGAAATCGCGCACGTTTTACTTGGACGCTGTTAGAATCGTGCCAACTGATTTAAAATCGGTTGGTACCAAAGTTCAGCCAAAAAATTGAATTCGATTTTTTTTGGGGTTTCTCAAAAACGGTGGGGTGGGCGGATACAAATTTTCCAATTTAAACTTTTCCAATGGACCACTTACGACTGGCAAAATATGAGAATAAAGGTAATTTGATGGGAGTTAAAGGGGTACCAGATTGACTGTACTATATGAAAAATACATTCAAACGTAAAGAGATTTTCCAAGGCACTATGAGGCAGCGTGCCAAAATCAAAATGAAAATATAAAACGAAAATTTTTTATCAGTTCTTTTATCTGAATTATTCGAAAACTATAGTCTCTCCAATGAGAGGAAACATCACAGTTAGTTTTGTAGCATCTCTCAAATTCTTCTAACTAGTTGGACAGACTACCTATGGAATGCTGATACACATTTTGAAATTTGTTTTTATTTTAAAAGTCAGAGAAAAAATTGATACATTATGAAAATATGAGGAATTTAACAAAAAAAAAAAATACTAAATTAAATAATACATAGTAACATAATATTCTTCATTGTCACACATCTGAGTTGTCATAATCTTCATCAATACAGAGACCATCATCTGTATTATTCAAACTACTTAAGCTTTGAGATATAGATGAAATTAATGACGAAGATTCGTTATGCTCAATGGAATGGGATGCTACATTAACATGTAGTTGAGGTTGTTCAACATTTGCGCTAATTGAACTATTTACAGCAAAATTGTACTTTACAATATCTTCCTTTGCCTTGGATCCATATGCGATTACAGGGGGTCTATTGTGTGTGGATGGGGTACTTTGCTCTGTATAACTGGCAGCTGATGTGGCTAAAAACAAAAAAATTATAATAATCCCAAAATGATGTTTCTATTCTTACAGTTAACTCTTGTCAATATTTCATACTTGCAACACTATCGGGGACCAGTTCTAGTTCTAAATGTCTGGATTCTTCTGGAATAACTCCAAAATTAATATTAGATTCGGCAAGTGCATTATTTTCATTATCTTCTTGAATACTCGCATCAGGAACACTTTTTACCAAGTCTATCAATATACACATAAATTAATATTGGTGTAATTTTATCCTAGTTTTCTAAGCAAAATAAAAACACTAAATCACCACAGTACACCAAAATACTTTTACTTTTACACTGGACGCGCGTTTCGCTAACCATGTTAGCATCATCAGCAGATGATTATAAAGTACAATCTACAAGTTGAGCGTTTATATACTCGCTCAGTGGACACCGAGTTGGCGTGGCAAAATCTAGCCAACCGAATCAGAGCCCACTGAGCGTAACAGATTTCCGCCACTAGAGTAGTAGGAACAAAGAACTTGAAGGAATTGGACCGTTGTCTCTGTTCATACTATCTTTATATTTATTAATTCTGATGCTTTCATATGCATCTAATTGCCTGTAATTTGAGATTTGTTTAATTAATTTTAAATTATTAAGATCTAGACAATGTTCTTTATCAACAATATGTTCGGCAACGCAAGATTTATCCGGTCTACCATATTTATTGGTATTATCTTATATATAAGTGCTAATAATATTAATTAGTGCTAATAATAAATTACAACAATTATTAGGTCATCCAAAGGATAAAACACCTCCACTGGAAAGGTCGGGTATTTATGAAATTTCTTGTAAAGATTGTAATCAGAAATATGTTGGGTAAACTAGAAGATCAATATTAACTAGATTTAAAGAACATTTAGCTCAGATAAGATATGGTAGACCGGATAAATCTTGCGTTGCCGAACATATTGTTGATAAAAAACATTGTATAGATCTTAATTATTTAAAATTAATTAAACAAGTCTCAAATTTCAGGCAATTAGATGCATATGAAAGCATCAGAATTAATAAATGTAAAGATAGTATGAACAGAGACAACGGTCCAATTCCTTCAAGTTCTTTGTTCCTACTACTCTAGTGGCGGAAATCTAACTGTTACGCTCAGTGGGCTCTGACTCGGTTGGCTAGATTTTACCACGCCCACTCGGTGCCCACTGAGCGAGTATATAAACGCTCAACTTGTAGATTGTACTTTAGTTTATAATCATCTGCTGATGATGCTAACATGGTTAGCGAAACGCGCGTCCAGTGTAAAAGTAAAAATGTTTTGGTGTATTGTGGTGATTTAGTGTTTTTGTTTTGCTGTGTAACACCAAAGGTTCCAACCCTCAACTGTAAACCTAGTTTTCTACTTATTTTAATTACCTTTTAAAAAGTCGAACCGGCTTTCTGATAATATACACTGCTTCATATGAGACGGTGTAAGAGTTTTGGCATTTCTACTTTGTGTGATGTCCATAGATTTTTTCAAAAGGGATTCGATAAACATCTCCAGTGCCTTAGGTATGTATAGTTAAGGAAATTATATTAAATACATATTTCTGATTTATACATTAAAATCCTTAAGAATAAAATATTAGGCTCACTCACTCAATAATATAACACTTTAGTGTAAGCATATCAGATATCTTGAATAGAAATTTTGAAATGAAATTTTACGTATTTGTTATTTCAATTCAGATATCTTTAATTCTAGGTCTTGCATGAGTTTCTGAGTCATAAGTGGTAGATACACAATATACATATAATTATTTAGCATTTTAGTTATTAGTCCGACTCAGTTTGTCTTAATATATGAAGTGGTCAGAATTAAAATGGATCAAGTTCAATTTTGTACATTTTAAGATTATCCTCTTTATACGTTTATAGAATATTGTTTTTTCCAGTAGAGAAATGAATGAAGTCATTCTTCTGGCATTTAGCAGCTATAGCCTGTTTATCCAATATGTTTTATTGTAATTAAGTAACATTAACAAACTTTAACTCTCATTTTCTCCATAATTGCCTTTTAGAACTTGATTCAGTTCACTTCTGAACCCCTCATATAATTCTTAGAATGAAATAGAGATCTATTACAGAGCATTATTTTATACAGACTATTAGTTTTTTATTTTTTAAGAAACAAAAATTAGTTGACATATAAATTTATTGTATATTATTTTATGCACATACATAATATGCTTATGCATTTATAGGTATACTTGTTCTCGTGAACTAAGAATAATTGAAGACATGAGTTGATAAAGGTGTCATGTCGCATTTTTTTAAAAATAAGTTTTATTCAGTATTTCTTTGAATAAGAAGACTAAGGAAGGAGCATATCAAAAATCTTAGGTACACCGCGATGGGCCTCAAATAGGGCCAACTTAAATTCCGGTTTATCAGTGTCGTTCTAATTTTATTTAAAAAATGTAAAACTATGATGTAGGGTAGACGTGGGGTAGACTCAATAATTTGTTGTTTTATTTTACGTTGTAGAATAAATGTTGGTAGTTATTAAAATTGTTATAAAATATATAATTCTAATAAAAATAGATAAGTTATAATAAGTATTTATTAACACAAACATCCAATACGCTACTGAAGCAGGTAAGTCAAATTAACGTATCTAAATTCTTTGACAAGTAATAAATAAAAGCTAAAATGCAAGAAAAATATATAATTTAGTTAATTTAAGTGAATTTCATAAATGATTGGTTTACTACACGTGTATATATTATATATATACATGTGTATATTATATAGTCACTTACTAGCGAAAAGTTGTTCCATTATTTCACTCAATTTTTGCCTAGATTTACCGCACGCTACACAACCAACTATTTTAGAGTCTTTTTCGATAAATCACGATAGTGTCACTGTTAATTTAAGTTCTGCTATAATTTCCATCTAGATTTACTACCTTTATACAACTATCATTAGTAGAATAAATAATAAATAACATAAAATAAGCTCCGTAAAGACTGACAAATCCACAAAATTTCAAATAAAATTCAAATGTGTCAAATGAATTGTCAAACAGAACTGTCAAGGATCCCCACCCTAGAGTGCTTTTTCCGCCCCCCATGCATGAATACATGGATAGCATTATGCTCCTTCCTTAGTTTTCTTATTCAAAGCAGTATTTCAACATCCCTTTGACAGATCTATCCTCCAATGGACGCTAAATATCAAATATAAATACCATAAAGAATATCCTAGGTGATAAAGGTATCATGTCACATACACCATCAATAATTTTTAGATGTGTTTTGTCGATTTACTCGAAACTTTAAAAATGCGACACAACATCTTTATCCACTTATGTCGTCAATTGTAAAACTTATAGATTTTAAATTGTAATGTTTGTATAAAATAAATTACTTAAATATGTAACAAATATTATTACCCCTTTATACACCCTTCACAAATTGACACACTTTTGTATTTAATTTATAATAATAATTAGGTATATTAATTATATTACTACAGTATAATTCTGTAGCATTTATTACTTGCTATTCATAATTATAAGTGAATGACAATTGAGTATCATAGTAGTAGGTATTTACCGTAAAAAAATCAAAATTTTTAGTAAAAAAGGATATAGATGATTACAGGTACAGCTTGAGCCACTTTCCCTACTTCTTCATCAGTTTGCATAATTTTTTTAATGCGTCCCTTAAAAACGGTTTTAATAAAATATATTTTGGTAAAAAATATATTCATAATTCAACTTACTGCTGGAAATCGAGCATTATATTTTTTCTTTTTTGATGGCATATTTGTGCAATTTGTTTTGGTAAGTAGTGCATACACAGAACAAAAATGTAAGATGCATAGAATAACAATCCATAAATGTATTATTGTGAACAAGTGTCACATTCACAGTCAATTTTGTAGGGTTATGTTTAAACTCCGATCTCTTAAAATGTCATTTTAGGGGGCTTAAGTTGCTAGTCTTTACAAGCCAGTGTTTCCTCGACTCGTCATATATAAATAACATCTGTAAATATGTATTTTATATGATATTTAGATTATGAAATGATTGGGACAAAGGAGAAAAACGGCTTCTAGTTGATATCTATTCTTGTGGTAAGGGCAAAGAGTAGATAAGACTATAAGACTGTCTTATCTACTCTTTGGTACGGGAAACACTTTGGTACAAAATTTTCTCGTACAATGGCGCCACAGGCATTCTTCTTCTTTTTCGTATTTCAGGTCTTAAAAGAACTCTAACCACAGAATACACGTGAAGTTCTTCTTCTTTTTATATTTATGGCTCAAAACATAGGCAACCGCAGATTCGACATAGATTTTTTTCTTCTTTCCTTTTAAATGGCTTGAACTCTATAGGTCATTTGGTCAGAGTCTAGAAAAATAAACAAAAGAAGAGAGTCTAGATTATAATCTATGGTTAATTATTAGAAAAGGACAACAACAACAAAAAACAAGTACAGCAAAAATAAATAAATGACAGATTGTAAAAATGTCACGTATTTGATTTTTCGTCCTCTTATTTGAGCTGCTTTAAATATTTGGAACGTTTAAATAATCTAATTAAATATAGAGCGGGATAGAGCACAATCTTTTGTCAGAGAATGGCTCTTGTAGAAGATGATACACTCGCCTTTGGCGATGAAGATTTCCAAAGTGGTAAAGGAACGAATGCAGTCCTAACGTAAGAAAACATTTTTTGTCGTATTTAGTCCTTAATTCGCTAATTTTATCATAAATTTACAGACACCCATACGTAACCCTTTTCCACGTAGGATTTCGATCAGCCGCGATAGTAGCATTTATGCTCTGCGGATGGTTTAGCGATAGTTTTATAACCAGCTTCGTAACAATAGTAATTCTTTTATCCATGGACTTTTGGACGGTTAAAAACATCACAGGAAGGCTGATGGTCGGTCTACGATGGTGGAACTACGTAGATGACAATGGAAAGTCTCATTGGGTGTACGAATCCCGAAAGGTACGGATATAAAACACTTTGAATAAATGACATGTTGAATTTACTTTAGGAAAACTTACAGAATCGCATTAACGAGAGAGAATCCAGGATATTCTGGACAGCACTGGTCCTTACAGAATTCATATGGGGCATTTTCTTCCTTGTTGACTTATTTGGGCTTAAGATAAAATGGATGGTATGTTATAAACAAATTAAATATTGTTGGTATATTTATAACTTTAAATTTACTTTCAGTTGCTAGTTTTAATAGCTTTAACACTAAACGGAGCCAATTTACACGGATATATCAGATGTAAAGTGGGAAACAAGGATAGTTTGAGAACAGTGACATCAGAGTTTCTTAAGAAGCAAGTTATGAGTAACGCTATCAATATTATATCGAGGCAGTCGAACGCGCCCCCTGCCAATCCCCATAGTCAACCGACAAACACTGTCTGAGTATTAAAAAATAGTTTTCGTATTTATTTAGTAACTTATTGTGATATATGCCCTATAAATTATAAACTATATGTGTTATAAATCTAAGGAAAATAATGTTGTATTGTTTATTTGGTTTATTTGCCATGAACAATAGTATATTACACAAAAAATACAAATATTCTAATATAGCTGTATTATAATTTAAACTATGGAACCATCTCCAGAAAAACAAGCACAAGACATTTATAATATTTTTTGTTTATCACAGATTAAATCGTTTTAAATAATTAAGTATAATATAAACAAGTTTGACTATATAAAAAGCGTTTTTTTTTCTCTTACAAAGTCGTGCACAAGTTGTATACAGGGTGACACCCAAATATATTTCAAAATTCTGCATGTTAGGTTGGTTCTTAAAGAGTGAAAATCCCTAATGTGGGACTATTTTTCAGTATACTGGGACATCCTGTATATAGTATTCTTATAAACGCTTTAAAAATGTATAGCAGCAAAAGAATAAATAACTCTTATTCCATACCGTACTAAAACTGGTTTTTACGCTTTATTAAAATATTAGATATTATAGTGATAATTTTTATCTCTATAAAAATATCAGGAAAATCCTTACAAATTACTCTTCTCTTAGTTTTTCTTCTGCTGCCTTAACAATTCGTCTATTTGGCTCTTGTACATCGCTTTAACGTCTTCCAAGTCCAACTTTAGTTCTTCGTTTTCTTCTACTTTCTCGCCGAAAAGTTGAAGCAAAGTGTCGTGCTTCTTTTTCAAACCGGACATTTCTTCGTAGATTTGTTTATGGTCTTCTTTTAGTTTGTCTAGTTCCCCTATCTTAAAGTGGAAAAATAAAAACATTTTGTTACTTTCAATAAGAGATGATTAGTTTGTGTTCAAATTGATTTAGTATTAACAAATATGCTGGGAAAAGCACAACGAATTCACCGATCGGTAATACAGGGAATTTTTGAAATATTTATTAAAAATAATAATAGCTCCCGTATACAGGTCCGGTAATAGGATATCTAGGCGTAGGAATTACATGGCATTGGAATGAAACGCCTATAAAAAGTCTAAGCTTAAATAGAGATAGACAACAACTTCCCCGTTTCCACTACGACTGTCGAGTTAGACAAACTCCAATAAGATAACAAATTTTGGAAATTCCGCCGCCTCCCATCTACCCATGATACCCATCCACCTGCCCTTTATCGCCATTATTTTATTTCCCTTCCCGCGCCCCCGTAAAACGCCATCACAGAGTTGCCAGGTCTACCGGTTTCGTCTGTAAGCTACCGATATGTTCAACTGCGTCTTTAGTCTTTACAATAGAAGCACTTTTAAAAATCTGACATATATATTTGACTAAAAATTAATCGACTACCGCGTTGTAATCTGTATAATCTGACTTTATTTTTGTTTTTTAAGTTTTGTTTAGGAATCATAAGTCATCGTTCTGTCTAGTTAAAGAGTTACAAAGATATTCCTACAAATCCTTATTACTCATATTAGGTGCGGTATTGGCGACAATGCCCGAAGAAGTTGATATCTTTTGAAAAGATTTTTTAATATTAAATAATATACCTTTTCCTCAACCCGGATTCATCCACTCCTTGATATAGGTCTCTCCTATCCTTTTCCATGTCTCCCTGTTTTGTGCTGTATTTAACCACCGTTTACCTGCCACTTCACTAATGTCACGCAGGGACGCGCCCCTGCCCACGCGAGCCTCGGTTTATCTCCCAAGACCATACGGGGGAAATCACTGTCCCATCCCATTCTCATATCAAAACCTCAAAATTTTCCAATCAAAAGCGTGGACTTGAAATTGCCAAACCTTTAAACCACGAAATGTCGAACCTTAAAACAAAACTACCCCAGGCGAGTAGAACGTATGATTCAGAATCTCGCACTAAATATAATATAACTAGCTATTTCTAATTCTTGTTATATTTATTATATTTGTATTTTATTTGAGTGATCTAGTATTACGACACATAGGAATGCTAATTTTGGACTTAAATATTATATTTTATTTTGTTTCTGTACTTTTGATTTTTGTTGAAGATCTACAGATAATTTTGTTCTCGTATGGAATTAAATCTAACAAACCCGGCAACCCTGTTCGGCTACTTCTTTATAAAGTTTTTTCGGCCTAATTCCTTTGTCACCGCCGCCGCCGACCGACCGGTGTCGGGGCGACTGGAAGATGGTACAGTATTGCCATTTCATAGAATTGCACTTGCTATTTTAGAAACGATTTCAAAGTTCTGCATGTTACTTTTTGTTTTAGAAAGAAGTTGTTATGTGCCTAGAGGAAACATTCTTAAAATTGTTTTGTACTTTATTTAATATTTCATTAAGTAGGCAAGATAATGGGATTAGAAGATTCGGGATTTAGGATAAGCCAACATAATTTTGATTTAAAGAATGACAACACTGTCTGTCCTATTTCTATTTTTTCGATTCTATTCTATTAGTAGCCGGTAGCCCCCATACAAGCGTCTAAAGACCCGCCCCCTCACGCAGAGGGTCGCCCCCTCTCTCGTCGTATCACTTCTATGATCACTTCCCCGATACAATGGTAGGGAAAAGACACTTTCTCCGTCTCTGTTGTACTGCAGTGTATTTTGCAGCCTTACCATTTTTTTTATCGCATTGAAAACCTCCTATTGCTAATGAAATTTTGCCACACGTGTATAGGGTGTTTCGAACTGTGTTCCGGAAACTTCGACAGCATATTCTGCAGATAAAAATAAGTAAAAAAGTTTGTATAAATGTATGTCCTAAAATGCTTAGTTTCGGAGATACAGGGTGTAGAACTTTCATTTTTATTTCGATTTTTTCCAAATAATTTCTGAAGTAACGTCAATATTTGGATGAAAATTGGTGTCTAGGATTTTTTTGACACGAGAAATTTGATTTTAATGTTAATATGACTCCTATTTGTAGGGGGCGCCACCTACATGTGTTTTAACTGTTTTGAAGAGTCATAACTTTTCGTCCGTACCTGTATAAAACTACTGAGTGAGAAAGTATACATCTCCGTGATTTTTTACGTAATAAATGTCTCTCGGTAAAAATCGCTACGAGCAACCGTTCTCAATATAATTAGAATGGAAGTATAATACATGTCATTATTGACAAAAAATAAACACGTTGCGTAGAGTCTTTGAATAAGAAGACTAAGGAAGGAGCATAATGCTATCCATGTATTCATGCATGGTGGGCGGAAAAGGCACCATAAAAGCTCTCTAGAGTGGGGATCCTTGACAGTTCTGTTTGACGATTCATTTGACACATTTGAATTTGATTTGAAATTTTGTGGATTTGTCAGTCTTTATGGAGCTTATTTTATGTTATTTATTATTTATTCTACTACTGATAGTTGTATAAAGGTAGTAAATCTAGATGGAAATTGTGGGCAGAACTTAAATTAACAGTGACACTATCGCGATTTATCGAAAAAGACTCTAAAATAGTTGGTTGTGTAGCGTGCGGTAGATCTCGGCAAAAATTGAGTGAAATAATGGAACAACTTTTCGCTAGTAAGTGACTATATAATATACATACGTGTAGTAAACCGATCATTTATCAAATTCACTTAAATTAACTAAATTATATATTTTTCTTGCATTTTAGCTTTTATTTATTACTTGTCAAAGATTAGATGTCAAAGAATTTAGATACGTCAATTTGACTTACCTGCTTAGTAGCGTATCGGATGTTTGTGTTAATAAATACTTATTATAACTTATCTATTTTTATTAGAATTATATATTTTTATAACAATTTTAATAACGACCAACATTTATTCACAACGTAAAATAAAACAACAAATTATTGAGTCTACCCCACGTCTATCCTACATCATTGTTTTACATTTTTTAAATAAAATTAGAACGACACTGATAAACCGGAATTTAAGTCGGCCATATTTGAGGCCCATCGCGGTGTACCTAAGATTTTTGATATGCTCCTTCCTTAGTCTTCTTATTCAAAGCGTAGAGTAGATAATTTGACTGAAATAATAAATTTGGGAACTTTTTATTTTTTTAAATTAATCATAAATTTTTCTTTGAAAAAAAATATGATAAAACAGTTTCTGTTGAACTTTTGGCACAAAAACATTTCAAATTTATGATTTAAATCTAATAACTATTTAGTCAACATGTTTAGTTTATGTCAGTAATGACAGGTATGGATAATTTCGACTCCAAATATCTCGAGAACCACTACGCGTAGCGATTTTTACCAAGAGACCTTTCTTACGTAGAAAATGTCGTAAATGTATATTTTTTTACTAACTAGTTTTATACAGGTACGGACAAAAAGTCATTACTCTTCAAACCAGTTTAAAAATATGTAGGTGGCGCCCTTTCTCATGTCAAAAAAACCCCAGACACCAATTTTCATTGAAATATTGACGTTACTTCAGAAATTATATGGAAAAAATCGAAATAAAAATTAAACTTCTGCATCTGTATCTCCGAAACTAAGCATTATAGGACACACATTTATACAAACTTTTTTACTTATTTTTATCTGCAGAATACGGTGCTGAAGTTTCCGGAATACAGTCCGGACCACCCTGTATATAAGGAAAAAATAACGACTTTTAAATCTTTCTCTAGGAAGTACCCGATAATGAGACGCACCCAAAACTTACAGATTCCTTACTACGTTAAGGAAAACTTCAACACGGAATACCAGGGGTCGGTAAAAAGGCTGGAGCTGTCCGTGGAAGAGGAATACGTTTCCAACTTGAGGCACCAGTGCTACCGGGGGGAAAATACTACCTTGGGAGTAGCAAGGTAGAGCTTGCCATGCTAGAGCCGTTCGGTATACAAGCAAGATAATGTGGCTAGCACTACGCTTCAACCGCCTATATTAAAAATAATAAGTTATGCAAAAAAAGATCAAATTTACCTTGAAGTGTAAACTACATATTTCGTCGTTCATCAAACTCCTCTCATGTTCTCTTCTGTTTAGCTCCCACTGGAGCTGTTTCAGTTCTCCTTCGCGCTGTTTCAGATTAGATTGTAGGATCTGCAGTTCGAACATGTTGGTGTAGTGGGGGGCGTGGCTAGCCTCGAACAGCTCGTCCTGGATTGGTCCTGGCGACCAGTGCTGGCTGCTCAGAGGAGTCTGGCACGGAGACTTTGCCCAGACTGAGAGTGGGGGAGTTGCTTCCAGACTGTGCGCTGTCAAATAACTTGTCGAAATACTCTTTCGGACCGCTATCCTGCAGGGTTGGAAAAAATCATGATTTTCAAAAATATCACCAGCAGGGCTGGAAAAAAATCATGATTTTTCAAAAAATCAGATTTTTTTTATTTTAAATCGGATTTTTTGATTTTAATTCAAAACAATATTTAAATCGTTATTTCCAAATGTCTAGGACTTATTTCCAATTAAAGTCCTATCCTAAATGGCTAAATCTTAATAACTCTGAGCGATACCGATAACATTAACAATTCTACGGGGCGTGTCATTTTTCCACATCGGTCACCAATATATTCCGCAAAAAAGTCGCTCGCTTCAGATCAAAAGGAATATTATTCAAACATCTCAAAAGTATTGATTTTTGTCATTTTAACGGCTATAGGCATAAAAGTAAAGCACTGTTACACCTAAGCACAAAAGTACAAAAATATATTATTAAACTGATATTAGGTGTCAAATTCAACGAGTTTACAAATCGTTTCTCGATTACTGTTTGTATTATTTGCAATGTTTGAAATTGATTAAAAAATTATTTGTAATATTTTTTAAAAAAATAGTGTTTTATTCGAGTAAAAATGTACTTTTTGTGCCTCGCTTGTAACGTCGGAAAAGCTTACGATTGTACAGGGTGGGTCAAATTCGACGCTTTTAAATGGAGACACCCTTTTCTATAGGAGATAGACAAAAACTAATATCGGTGTCTGGAGCTCAATTTTTATCAAAAAACATGATGGTGAAAACCGCATATCTATATCTGTAACCGTTTCGGAGTTACGTTTTTCAAAATATGCATTTTTAACAAATCGTTGTAACTTTTTGCTATGGAAAATTTTGTATTTTTATGAAAACATTTCCAAAGCAACTTTTTACGTAGAATTTAATGGTTTATGTATAATTTTTTTAAAATTAATAATTTAAAAGTTATCAACAGAATAATTGATTTTTATTTGGGACACCCTCTATATTTTTAATTAACTGAAAAGAATTTAAAATTACCTTTCCAAAAATATAGCACACTTGATATTTTCTTATAATCCCCTTCGAAATACAGAATTTTTAAAAGTTTGTCACTTTTAACTAGTAGGCTTTGGACTCCTTATTGGTGATATGTCCTTAATGGAACTCGAAAACATATTTTTCCAGCAAGACGACGCACCGCCTCTAAACGTTGAAGTTATCAGCAAATTTTTGCAGCCAATTTCAAGAATAATTGAATAGCTAACCAAGATCCCAGCCGTTGGCCGTCGAGGCCGCATGACTTATTGCCCATGAATCTAATCCTATGGATATATTTGCGGAAGAATAATAAAGGTTCCTTATTCTTCCATATAATATAAACAAGAATTAGAAATACTTAGCAGTTATGAGAGGGTATCTTTTCACCCCCACTGAGTTAATGAATTCCGCGAGAATTGTTCAAAAACTGCCCCGTCTATCCATAACAGAAGACGGTCGATATGTCGAACACCTGTAGCCAAATATCATGTCTTGGTTTTGCCTATTTATTTTTATTGTTATTAGATATAGTTTAAAATGTGTTGATGTTGGTTAAATATATTTTAAATTGTTATAAAATTCTGCATCTCTCATAGCAAATATTATTTTCGTTTTAATTGATGCTCATAACTAGATTTTTTTTGCATTACAGCCGGTGCCATTCAAAGCCTACTTATTTAAAACGGGCGAATTTTTTGATATACTCTATATCTCGAAGAGGAATCGAGATAGCACAATATGAAGTGTGTTATATTTTGGAAAGTAATTTTAAATTCTTTTCAATAAAGTAAAAATATAGAGGGTATCCCATATAAAAATCAAATTTTCTGTTGATAATTCTTAAATTATTAATTTTAAAAAAATATACTTATACTATTAAATTCTACGTAAAAGGTGCTTTGGAAATGTTTTCATAAAAATACAAAATTTTCCATAGCAAAGAAGTTACAGCGATTTGTTAATAATGCATATTTTTGAAAAACACCCCGTAATTCAAAACGGTAACAGATATCGATATGCAGTTTTCACCATCATGTTTCTGACAAAAATTGAGCTCCAGACACCGATATTAGTTTTTGTCTATCTCCTATAGAAAAGGGTGTTTCCATTTAAAAGCGTCGAATTTGACCCACCCTGTATAGCTTTACGATGGTCCTTCAAATGTACAGCATCGTCAAAAAAAGTATAATTTCTACTCTTAATAAAACAATACACTATTGTTCGGAAATAGTCTTAAGTCGAGAATGAAAATAGTATTATCTAATGTCAAAGTGTAAAGTACTTACTGCAAATCAAAATGTCGGTAAGAATTTGGAAATATACCAACGTTTCAACGATTATAGATTTTCGGGAATGAAGATATAGTCTCTATATCAGAAGAACCTAGTTCTGGCACTAGTTGCCGAATGATATGTATTCGAAAAGCGAATTTTTGTCACTTATATATATTATAGAAATATTTTTGATAGTTTTCTAGGATAGATTTTTATAACTTTTACAGTTATTTTTTGATTTATTATAAAGTTTCAATAAAATTAATTTTCTGATTTAAATCACACGATTAAAATTAAAAAAATCACTTGATTTAAATCATGCCAACCCTGGTCACCAGCGACAATTTTAGCGATTTTTAATAGTTTGTTGTGTGTAGTGAACTTTGTATAAACTTTATTACAATGGTGATTTGTTTAGCTTTCAAGAGTAAAAGCCACAACAATAAGAAAAAGCGTGTACCAGCGACTTCGTTCACGTCGAATTAATCATTTGTAATGGTAATGATAAAACAAAGCAAAAATTTCCATTAACATACAAACTGGATAAAGTTTTCTCACATTTATGTCAGCATGAGAAAAAACAATATGGCGATATTATTATATGACTTGATAATATTTGAGGGGTAGTTTCATCTCGTTGGAATTTGTCTTTCGAAAAATCCGTTTGCCAAAAATAAGCTTTTTACGTCAAGCAGTTTAAAAAAGCTTAAGTTTTAAAATAAGCTTTTTGGAACACCCTGTATGATTTTTTAAAAAATTTCAAAATATGTAAAAAAACAAATAAATTATGCTTGTCCAAGCGTTTTCCAGAAAGACTAACCGTTTTATAAATAACAAATATTGTAATATATGAGGGGCGTTTTTACCTCTTGGAATTTGAGATTCGAGAAACCCCTTCTTATCGAACCTCTACACCCCGCAGTCAATCCGTTTGCCAAAAATCAGCTTTAAACGTCAAGCAGTTTAAGCAGAATCGTGATTACTCAATAGTCATGTTTTATGAAACACCCTGTATAAATTTAAAAAAAAACTTAAATTATGTAAAACAACAAAATAAAATATACGTGTTTAAGAGTTTTTCCGAAAAACTCACCGGTTTTAAAAATAAAAAATATTTTAATATTTGAGGGATAGTTTCACCCCCTTAGAATTCGAGTTTCGAAAAATCCCTTCTTATCGAACCTCTACACCCTAAAGTCAATCTGTTTTCCAAAAATCAGCTTTTTACGTCAAGCGCTTTAAGCAGGATCGCGATTAATCAACGACCAGATTTTTCGAAACACCCTGTATACATTTTTAAAAAATCTTAAAATATGTAAAAAAACAAAATAAAATATACGTGTTTAAGCGTTTTTTCGGAAAACTTGACCGTTTTTTAAATAAAAAATATTGTAATATTTGAGGGGTGGTTTCACCCAGGGGGGTGACAGTAAACCGGAAAATTGGAAACAGTTATGGCGCGGTTCTACCCAGGCAGAAAGCATGGCCTTCTAGACTGTCCTAAACATAAATCTGAATATTTCTATATGATTTCTGTCAATTTCTGCTACGGAACATTTTTATGCACGTCGGCGTCCTGTTCTTCTGTCTTTTGTCTGTGTATCAGCGTCAGCCCCGAGGCCTCTGGCAAGGTCGGGCGCCATTTTAATTTTTTTGCCGTTTAGATTTGATTGAAGTTTGTTTCTGATGATATTTCGGCTGAAATTTATAAGTACAAAGATGTTTTTGATATCAAGTTCTTTGTTAACACTTTAATAAAGTATATATGATATTAATTACATGAAGAAAATGATGAAAATCGACGTTTCTGCGTGTAGTATGGGCCATATTATATGTAAAAATAGGTAATATATTAACTGTTTTTATTTTTTTAACTTTAAACCCAAGGATCTTGGGATATTCTTTGCCAAGGATTTTTCCCATATCTCTACTTTAAAGACTGATCGGTGATTTTGAGCAATTGAAAGCAAGTTATACAAGGTAAATTATGATTATTGAACTATTATTAGCCTACATTAATTTTCTACAAGATGAACAGAAATAAATAATTACATATCACATAGGTACCTATTATGTATTTTCATAGCAATAATGCTATAAATCTATGTATGTAGATTATTTTTAAAATACAAATGAGGTATTAGATGTATATGTATCATATTTTTTTATTCATTTTATTTTCATTCAAGTCCTGTTTGATTTAATTCACAAAAAAGTCTTATGTACCTATATTTATGTTTTTTTTACATATTTTTTCTTGATTCCAGGTTTTGTGTGGGTTCCGGGTTGCCTTTTTTTCCTGCTTCCAGTTATTTAGTTTTATGCCCGTGAAGCTGTGAAAACATTTATGTATCTTCAAGTTTCTGTAAGTCAATGCACTGTTACTTTACTAATTCACTTTAACACAGCATCTCTGATATTATTTAAATATTTGATATTGATACAGTAGTTTATTGGTTTATAGCTCTTTAATTGTGTTGATTTGCATATTTACATTGTTCTAAATTCCAAATAAATATTTTTGAGTAATTTTGTTGTATTATTTAGTACTAGAAAGAGTAAAAAGTATATTAACCCTCATTTAAACCTCCTGAACAGCGCGCCATTAAAAACCGGAAACGGAAATAAATTTCATAAAATTGAAATTGTCATGTCAAATGTCCCAGCCGCCATATCTGAAAATTAGTTACCCAGGCAGCCACGCTGTTTCCATAATTTAACATTGACTTGACACTTCTTCTTGTATTTATTATTTTATGGTTTCACCCTCTTGGAATTGGAATTTCGAAAAATCTCTTCTTATCGAAGCTCTACACCCTAGAATCAACCTGTATGCCAAAATTGAGCTTCTTACGTTGAGTGGTTTGAGCAGGATCGTGATTAATCAGTATGTCAGTCACTTAAGGATTTTATATATTATATATATATAATCAGGGGTTTTCACCGATTAAAATCGTTATTAAGTCATACATATGAGTTGTAAATCAATGTTTTTAAATGAGCTGTTGCCAAACCAAACCAAACCGAAATGATTGGTCAATTTCACGATGAGGGAAATAATCAAAAATATAAATCTCTTCAAGTAGCTAAGTTAAAAAAAATATGTGGCATAGCACTGTTTGGAGGTATGGTAACAATGTGGTATGTGGTCTCGGGTGTTAATCTTGATTTTCATGCGTCCGTTATCCGTTGATACGACAGTCCGACGGCGCTCTGATTGGTCATAGCGTTTTCGGGCCATTTTTCATCTGTAAATTTTTTACTCCAGCCCCTCAAACGGAGAAAAATCGTACGATAATGGACGTTTTGACACGATTTTGACAAATTTAATCTAACCTTAATAAAAATATAATAGTACAAGAGAGAAGACTGTCGGGAGAACGACCATTTTAAGAAAGCTGGTTCTTTAATATATCTTTTGCTATGCTCCCCTGAACAAAATGCGAGCCGTCTGGCTGTCGGTAGACTTCTGCGGTTCACTACTGCATATCACATCTGTACCGAGTATCTCATTTGCGTGTGTTTTATGGGATTTCTCGTTTATGAGTAAAGATACAATGATGCGATTTTCACATTACTTTGCTACTTTTTTATGAAACTAAATATGCCACACATAGGTTTGTCCTTGCCTCCTTAGTTCCTGAAATACAGGGCGAATTTGTGATGCGCAGTAGTGAGCGCAATAATAAATTTCTCTTTATAATAAACGACTCTCTGATTCTCTTGTATAATAAACGACTTTTTTTGAAAACATTGCAAATTGTTTTCAAGTAAAATAAAACAAAGTATGTAAATATATTACCTGTAAATTAACACTGGATGCTTTTTTATCCGTTTCACTGGGTGTCTTCTCAACAACCAATCGCGTCTTCAAATTTTCGATTTCCCGCTCTTTCTCTTCAATGATTTCCTCCTTTTTCTTAACAACTTTGGCCAATTTCTTATTTTCACTAGATTCAAACACAACAAAAATATTAACAGATATTTAGAACCCTTAAAAAATCAATAGTTTCTTAAATACTAAGGACTCCACACTTTGGCGTAACGTCATCAAAAAATGTTAAGGTCGTATTGAAATTGTGCTGTTTTAGCAGAGAATAGAAATTCCCAAAGAAAAAGTAGACATAGAGGTATTTAACATAAACACCCTGTAAAGTGAATCAACATTGCAAAATATAATCATAAACATTTTGAGGTCCTCTTGGTCTACTTATTTCGCTGAAATTATAACGAAAAAAAAAATCGATACCTTCTCAATTCTTCTTGTAACATCTCATTTTCGCTCTTAGTATTCGCAAGTTCCATTTTGCTCAACTCCATTTCTTGTTTGGTCGTGTTCAATTGACCTTTTAGATCGGCGAGTTTCGACCTGAGACTGACGCACTCTTGCTTGGTTGACCTCTCGAGAGACGTAGCGCTTTCGAGTTTGGTTTGCAAGTCCCCTTAGATAGATTAATCGGATAATTGTAAGACGTAAGTCAAAAGATAGAAGATAAACCAAATTTACAGTATACAGGGTGCCCACCAATAAGTGCAAGTATTTTAAGGGTTGGTAGATCTGGTCAAAAAAAACATATTTGCTCTTTACCATTTTTTAAGTAAATTGAAAATAACCGAACTATTTAACTTTGAAAATTTTAAAAAATAATAGCAACATTTTGAGAACCGCCGCGCCGGCAGATATCGCCAACTACATTCAATACAACCTGGATCAAGCTCGGATCTCAGGTAATTCAGCGCCCTGTGTTGCCATATGGACAAAAAAGTATTTGTTTAAAAATCAGTCATAAAATCACACCACCTGAGGAGTTTGGCAGAGATTGCAGAGATGCATTACATTTTTAAGAATGTGATATTATTACACAAAATAAATTAAAAGAAAGAACTTACCCAACGTTAAAAAAAGAAACTTATGCTAAAATACACTTCACTGTGCTGCTTTACTTGTCCATGCTATTATAATACCTGCTAAAATAACAGTCCCCATTTCTAACACATTATTTTCATACAGACTTCATCACAATTTGAACCAATGATTTACAAAACACCATGAAAAGCACACATTACTTTGACTACCTTTCTGAATGAATAAATGTTGAGAATTATTGTCTCTCCTTTATGAACTACTTTTAATCTAAGAAAATACATGTCTCGCTCAACAATTTTAAATACATATTTTGTTATTCGCTATCTTTTCGATGCATTTCAAGAATGCCATCGACAGCCACCCGTCCGCCAAAAGTGCCGCGTGTCAACTGATTCTCTGTTCTTTGAGGCGCCGGCGCCGCCGTGTCGAGCTTGCGTCGTGCAACGATATTAGGCGAGGTTGCCGTAGTTTCAACAATTTCAAATTCAAGACATTCGAAGCAATAAAATTCGTATTAAATTTTAAAAATAAAACAGGGAAACATGAAAGGAAACAAACACAACAAAATTGAATTGATTATCCGTTGGGCTGTTTTCGATATATTGAATTCTGAATTACGATAAACATTTTAGGAATTTCTTTTTTTGACCTGATTGTGAATAATAAGATAAATCATTATTTTATTAAATTTATTCCAAAATAAATTTATTTTGCAGCATAACAAAGATTCTTGTAAACGACATAAACGTAATGTTTTTGTTAATATTCGGTGGTTTTTGTTAAGTTTTCATTGAAATAAGTACCAAAAATAGCTAATAGAATATACTAATAAATAACTATTAGAATACTAACATTCTAGAATTATAAGTAATGAGCATTGATAAAAGATTAAATTTAACATTTCTAATTTTTTATGTAGAAATTTGTCTGTCAATTTATAAATATTGAACTATGTAGAATGTGGATAACAAAGGAGCTTGCAACACTGCAAGGTTTAGATACACGACCGTATAGAAATCTCAGGTGAATAAACAAGCGAAACTAAAAAGTTTTTTAAAATTTCCCGGAAAATGTCGAGAAAAATTTTGAATTTTCAATAATTTGTTTTTTCACAAAAAAACCTCGTAGGCGTGTTTCTAGGGTCTAAACATACTACCAGTTAACATATTTGCACTTATTTCTGAGACATCCTGTATAACCTTGGGTCCATTGAACAAAAAGGCCATGGAGTCTCAACAAAATTAGCGCGGCCAATTTCAATGTTAATTTAACTTCTGAGGCAACATTTACTACCTCTAAACCAAACCAAGATAGAATAAACAAGAATAAAGAATAAACAAGAATTGTAGAATAAACAAGAAATAACATCAAATAAACTCGAGAAAGCATAACAAATCCGCAAAATTTCAAATCAAATTCAAATATACCAATTGAAATTCAAAGAAAACTGTTAAGAATGGGGGTTCATGATTTCGTCCTTAATGAATGAATACATGGATAGCATTACACTCCTTCCTTAATTTTTTATTCAATGGACCTAACTTATATTTTTGTGAACTTTAAATGAAAAAAAAAACGTTCGATGTAAACAAAAAATACTCACTTATTTTCAGTGTTAGTGCTTGTTCAACCTTGTCGAAATTCGACGCTTTAGTTTGGTGGGTTGCCTGCAAACTCTCCAACTGCCTAATTAGCGGTTTACTGACCTCAGAAATCGACTGTGACAACTCCTCATTACGACTTTCAGCCTCCTCTAACTTCCTCAATAACTCGCCGTTTTCCTTCTTCAAATTCTGCTCCTTCTTCATGTACTCTTCCTCGGTTTTTTGCAGTTGATACCTCAAATTAGCGAAGAGCGATATATAAGAAACTGTGATTTGATAATTGATATCAAATCAATAAAAAATTGCGCATAATTGAAGCGAAACTCCTTCTTAAAGTACGCCTACTGGATCTGTGTCTACGAAATGAATGCGGACAAAAACATTTAAATAAACAGCAATATATTTTATAAATCGCTACCTAAATAGAAGCGGCAAAGAGTCCACGTGGACTTGACGAGTAAATCACCGCAAAACGCTCCGCCCACTCATTTCATTGGCTACTTGCAAATTTGTCGAATTTTTATTGATGGGACGCGTCGTCTATTTTTTTAAACATCGAGAGAATATCGTTTCCCCCCTTACGGATGCCCCGTAGCTACACAACGGATAGACGTACTGTACTTCCGTCTGTCTGTCTGTCTGTCTGGGGACACCATTTTTTGTGTACCTCTATCCACGTGCCGAATTTGGTTCCAATCGACCTATAATTAAGAAAAATCCTGATGATGTCGTTCGTTTTAGAGACATCGGTTCGAAACGTCGAGGGCGTCAACCTGTAGCCCGTCCCCAATTATGCCGAAATCGACACACATTTATCTTCAATGTGAAATCCTTAGCCCCACCCTGATAAAGATGAAATCGAAACGTCGTATCCAACTTTGCTGGGTGGGGCCGTGTGCACCGCCGCCCACATAGCCTACCCACCAAGTTTGGTCGCGATCGGACGACATCAACTTTTGACGTTCCCGGACACAAACGGTACATTGTGAGACAGGAAATTGTAGAGAGAAACAAGCCCTGTAACATAGGATACAACATTTTAATGAACAGTGCTTTCCATAAAATCAGTAAAATGAAAAATATACGAAATTATATTCATGTACTGATTTCTTTCGAAAATCGACAACTATGAAACTATGATCCGTTCCCCGACACAAACGGTACATTGTGAGACAGGAAATTGTAGAGAGAAACAAGCCCTATAACATAGGATACAACATTTTAATGAACAGTGATTTCCATAAAATCAATAAAATAAAAAATATACGAAATAATATACATGTACTGATTTCTCTCGAAAATCGACAACTATGAAACTATGATCCCTTCCCCGACACAAACGGTACATTGTGAGACAGGAAATTGTAGAGAGAAACAAGCCCTATAACATAGGATACAACATTTTAATGAACAGTGCTTTCCATAAAACTAACTGTCACAGTGACACGTGACACACAGTCAAGTTGATCTTGGTCCAATCTATCGATACACCAAATTTCATTTAAACCGGACGATTTTTTCACCATTGATGATGGGGTTTGCAAAAACAAAACTTCGTCAAAATATCATGAAAAGATGGGGATCTTCAGCACCCTAGCTCACATAGGGCTTGAGTTGCGACGCACAGTGCTTCGAACATATGGCTCTAGAGGACACAAATGCAAAACGTCTCTTTTATTGTATGCAATTTATTCAAACTAGGTTTATTTGACACAAATTATGAGTACTCTCATTGTACTAAATGGGGATGTTCTTAGTCCCACGTTTATGAAAAAAAATCTTATAAATAATAAAAATGTTGTTAATAGAAAATTTTATATTTATATAAAAAAAAACTTAAGATACTATAAATTTACTTTAGGACAACAAAATGCATAGATCGTAACTACTCTGATTCAGAAGAATCACTGCTGACAGAATCTTCCAAATTTATAGTATCCAAATCACAGGTAGATGAAGTATCCTCACATATAAGATATTTGTGTACATCATTTTCTAATATGTTACTTTTTCGCGTTGTTACTGTTCTTTTTGCTGGTATGAGGAGTTCGGATGTTAATAGTTACATACCTCTTTAATAGACCATATTCATATATTATTTTTTCCTTTTCTTGGGTATGAGGTTTTATAATAAATTGAAATAAATAAATGCCTTTATTGTCAAAAAATTTTTCAATTTGTGGACAAAGGTAAACTAACAAACAAAGTAAAAAAAAAACAAGGTACACAAACAAACAAACAAAAGATAATACAAAACATTATACAAATAATATTGTCAGTCTTATTGTTAAAATAAACATTTATAAATGTTTACAATGTCAAAGAACAAACAATTTTAAATAATATTCAAAAATATTTAGCCAGTTCATAGCAAAATATCAATGACCTCTAAATAAATTAATTTCGATGTTATTAGTAAATATAGCAATAGCAAACATTAGACCAGTGTTTTCAAGATCAAATTCGATTTTCAATTCAAATATAATTCATTTACGGCGTAGAAAGCCTTGTCTAGTAAATAAGAGTTCAGTGCTTTGCGAAATGAAAAAAATTATGTTATGGATTTGTTTCAAATGGCAGGTGATTGTGCATTTTTTTCGAGTTGTATAATATTGAACTTTTAACTAACTCTGAGCGTGGGGTAGGTAGATAAAGATCTTGCTCCGCGTTCCTGAGTGGATAAGTGTGAGATGGCCTTTCTTGAGAAGCTGATACATGTTTACGTATTAGGCAAACGGATTCAAATATAAATAAGGAAGGAAGAGTCAATATTTTTAATTCTCTAAAAAAGCCCCGGCAATGAGTTCTGCTGTTTAGTCCCAGTGAATATCGAACAGCTCTCTTCTGGAGCTTGAAAATGCGGTCAAATTGAGCCGCACAACACGTACCCCAGAATGGAAGGGCATACCTGAGGTGCGACTCAAAAAGTGCATAATAAACAGTTCTAGCCACTGACAAGTTAAGCTCCTTAGAAACAGACCTTAATGCAAAACAGGCAGAGCTCAATTTTTTCGACAAAGCTTCGATATGTATGTCCCATTTCAGAGAATTGTCCACAACAAGCCCTAAGAATTTTACGGATTTTACGACGTCAATGGTGGTGTTGTCAAGTACAAAAGGCTGCAACGAGTTTTTATACGACAAAGCCTTAGTTTTAGAAATGTTGAGACTCAGGAGGTTCGAATCGCACCAAGATTTAATGGTGATTAAGTCATTTGATATAATCCTATGAAGTGCCGCGATGTCCTTGTTGCTCCAAGTGAAGCTAGTGTCGTCCGCAAAAAGACATATTTTGCCACTGATGTTTATGTTAGCAATGTCGTTAATAAAAAGAAGAAACAAAATAGGGCCTAGTACTGAGCCTTGTGGTACTCCACATTCTATTGGCTTGCTAGAAGACAACGTGGTATCCACCCTCACAAGTTGATTCTGTTGCTCAGATACGACTTAAACCATTCGAGAGATGATCCCTGAACCCATAGTGCTGCAGTTTATTAATTAGGATCTTATGATTTACACAATCGAACGCCTTAGAAAAATCACAGAAAATTGTTGCTGTAGAATGATGGTTGTTTAGGCTGGAGTAAACTTTATTAAGGAGGGAAAACATAGCGTCATTTGTGGACTTGTTGCTCAGAAATCCAAATTGATATTCAGTAAGTATTTTGTACTTAAACAGAAAAGATACCAGCCTGCTCTTAACCAACCTTTCTATGATCTTAGATAGCGTTGGAAGGAGTGCAATTGGGCGATAGTTAGAAGCTTCATCTTTGTCTCCTCCTTTGTGCAGTTTGGTTTTGTTTGCAGAAAGATGGAAACTTTTTTTATGCGACGTTTCGCTCCAACATAGTGGGCTTTTTCAGGCACAAGTGGTGTCAAATTTGACTGGAAGGTTCATCAATATCTAATAAAGAACACATTTTTTGAAATACAAATAATTTTGAGTTCTTGTCCTTATGATCAAGCCAAGTATTAACCAGATCGGCATTTCGTATCAATTTTACTCCATTTGAAGTAAGTATAAAATAAAGTTCGTCGCAAGCAGACGCAGGTGAACTATACAAAAATTAAAAGTGTATGAATATGACAACAAAAATATTCAATAGATACGATATGTTTTGATATGTTTTTTTTTAAATGCCTTTTTGAAGTTTGAAAACGTAAAATTTTTATACCCATTTAAGAATCATCTTAAAAAATAAATAAAAACTAAACAATCACGAACTTCTTTAGAAATAAATTTAAAGTACATACCTTGTTTAACAATATCCATAGTGGCTTTCAATTAAGTACGTATAGTCCGTAAAACGAATAACTTTGAATTTGACAGTTCCCGCGGGCTTTTCTAGTGTTAATTTTATTAGGTTAGCAACTTGCGGCCATGCTGACGCAATGCCGTCTCTAATAGAACAGCCTCAGAGCGAGATTTATGACGTCACGCTAGTTAGATACTACGGATTAATAAATATGTTGTAGAATACATGGAAAACATAATTATTCCTCGTATTATTGGTTTGTATTTTAAAAATGAAATAGTTTACATGAAATATACATAATATAGAGTTAATAAACACAATAATATATACCTATTTATAGTAATAAATACTTTGGCAAATAAACTATGAACCATACAAATGCAGCAAATGTTTTAAAATATGGCTGAAATCGTACTCCATAGTCAGTGTAGAAAGTTTTTGTGTTAAGAATAATAATTTAAAAAATATGTGGTCATCTTTTGACAAGTTTATATTTGTTTATTAATTACAGTAAACATTATAATATATAAATAAATGTTGTGAATGCAAATAATAATACATCACTATTAGTAGATATTGAATGTTTTTTGTTAAATTAGATCGATTTTCAAACCCCAAAATTTAAAATATATTTTACATGTTACGCATTATCTTATGTACCACATTATTTGTATATTGTAAAACATTTGCTGCATTTGTATGGTTCATAGTTTATTTGCCAAAGTATTTATTACTATAAATAGGTATATATTATCTTCTTAATCTAAGTATATTATATTGTATTTATTAACTGTATATTATGTATATTTCATGTAAACTATATCATTTTTAAAATACAAACCAAAAATACGAGGAATAATTATGTTTTCCATGTATTCTACAACATATTTATTAATCAGTAGTATCTAACTAGCGTGACGTCATAAATCTCGCTCCGTGGCTGTTCTATTAGAGACGGCATTAGTCTAATATTTAGAAGTGTCAAAAGCTGATGACATTTTACTTTTGTCAATTATGACATTTCGTGTTGATTTTTGCAAGAAGAGGAAGAACTGTCACTTGTTTTATTATTTTCCTTTTCTATTTCATGAAAGTAAAAAGAGTTACCTATCTGATTCGTTCAGGCACTCAATTTAAAGAATATCAGTAACTTTTTTGACAGAGGGATTTTATATTTGACATGTTGGTAAAAAATAACGGTCAAAATTCAAAGTTATTCATTTTATAGACTATACCGTTTAATTCCATATACAGAACTACTATGAATGTTATTCTTTTCACTGATATAAGATAATGATCGCAAAATTTATTTTTAGTGAAAATATTTGCTAACAAAAAATGCTGTTTATGAAAAATAATATACAGGATGGTTGAACATTGCTATAAGTATAAAATTACATATTCAGATATTAGTAAATTTTAACTTTTTTTTTTCGATTTTTGTTTATGTGACGAAGCACTGTGCGACGCTCCAAAGACCCATCATTGTTACCACTTTTCGTGACGCGTATCTTGATGCTAGCTTGTCACGTGTCACATCAATCCTTACTGCCAGCGCGCGTAAAGAAGTTTCACTTCAAAAATCACGGTATCAGTTAACTGTGCGATTTAAAAATCACAACGCCGCTCATCCTTACCTCAGATCATCCAGCTGATTGATCACTTCCTCGTTCTGAGACTCTGTCATTTTCTTCTCATTTTCCAAGCTCTCCAAGTGCTGCTGTTTGGCCAGCAGTTCCGAAGCAGTTTTATTTTTTTCGGACAGTTCTTTCTTGGCCGCGTCTAGCGATTTTTTGGTCGTATCGTATTTCTGAGTTAAATCATCGAGTTGGCTTTTGAGTTTCATCATTTCCGACTCAAGTTTTTTGTTTTTCGTCGTTAAATTGTGAACGGCCTCGATTTGGGTGCGTTCCACGTCTTCTTTAGCGGAGAGGGATTTCTTTAAGCGGTCGGTTTCAAGAGAAAGATTCTCATTAGTTTCCCTGTAAAAAAATTATAAAAAAATATATTAAATAAGGACTGTGCTAATTTTTATCACATTTTTATGCGACACCCTGTAATATATCTACGAATTAATATCAAAAAGTTTTCTAAACAGCTTGAAAACTGTTGAATTATTCTTTGACATAAATGTCATAACCAAACGGACACTTACTTCAAATGTTTAATGGTTGCTTCGTGTTCTTTCTCCTTTGCGCGCAATTTTTTGATAATATTGCAGTGTTGCAACTGTTGTTTCGATAATTTTTCGCCCTCTTGTCTCAGTTCTTTGATCAGGTCTTCTTTTTCTGAAATGGCGGATTCCATTTCGTTTTTGCTCATACGTGCGGCAACGTCTAACTTGGCTTGATCTAACTGTTTTCTCAGTGTATCTTTTTCTCGGATTGCCTAAAAATATATCAAGATTATACATTTTTGAATTTTATTCTATTAATTTTCCAAAAAAGGTGGATTATACGGGGTGTTTCAAAAAACATGTGCCATCTCTCGTGGGGAGATTCCTCACGTAAAATTAAAATTTATTTTTCATATCAACATAGGTCCGATTCTGCTTTGTTTCGTAGCTACAGGGTGTTGATTTATAATAGTTTTCTTCCAAGTACTTTTAGTAATTTGAATGAAGTTTTGAGGTTAAAAGTTACTATAAGTGCTACATATTTTAATGCTAAAAAAATGTTGATAAATTAACCAGGGACGTGCATATGGGTTATCACAGGAATATTTTTCAAAAAAAAAACATGTGCGCCACTGACTTTTATTCTTTTGATATCAAAATTGTGTGTGCCGTTTAATGCCAAGAGTTAGTTCTTGACATTTTGTCGAATTCGGCCTCCTTGATGAGATAAACACAATTTTATTAATCACAATATCACAATTAATAAAATTAAAATAAAAATAAAATTAATACTATATTATATATTTTACCTAATTTATTATTAAATATTATTACTATTAGTTATTATTACTCTTAGTAACAACCTACAGTAATTTCAAATAAAAAAATAATGGTATTTAAAATAATTACAAAAAATTTAATTTTAAAAAGTTTTAACATCCTGTAACTCTAAAACTATGCATTTCCATACCCATGTTTATAGGAACTTTTTTTCATATTTTTTGATGAGCAATCAATGCGTGCTTATTTAAAACTTTCGCAAGTTATTGATATTAAAATTTTTAAAGGTTGCTATTAGACTTGGATCAAGGCAAATAAAATTCCGTTTATCACATCAAGGAGGCCAAAATCGACAAACTACCAAGAGACAACTTTTAATCGGCATTAAACTGCTTACAATATTTCGCTAACAAGAGAAAAAAAAGTCTGTGGCGTACATGCTTTTTTTAGAAAAATATTCCAGTGATAACCCATATGCACGTCCCTGGTGGATATGTCGACACTTTTGTAACTTTAAAATATGTCGCATTTATAGCAACTTTTACCCTCAAAATTTAATTCAAAACGCTAAAAACACTTGGAAGAAAATGATAATAAATCGAAAAAATATTAAGATTTTAACACCCTATAGCTGCGAAACAACGCAGAATCGGACCTATGTTGATATGAAAAATAAATCTTATTTTTATATGAGGAATCTTGTATGGCACATGTTTTTTGAGACACCCTGTATATGGATTTATTTTTTAAAGATTGTTTTAATTTTGTTTTTTTTTTGTAAAATATCTCACAATGTCCAAGCACATATTTTTCACGCAAAAAATATACGTAAGATAAAACTTAAAAATGTAAACAAAGAAAAACTTCAAGGCTTGTAACTCGTACTAACTTGTAAATAAACAACTGCGATGTTGTCAAATTGTCAAAAGTTGAAAAACTAGTTTTATAAACAAAACATTGATCGGCACAAAAGTTGATAAGGTTCAAATATTATTTTATGTGTGTATATCTTAAAAAATACGACACACTGTATAAGATAGTATAGTCTGTGAAACGAATAACTTTGAATTTGACAGTTCCCGCGGGCTTTTCTAGTGTTAATTTTATTAGGTTAGCAACTTGCGGCCATGCTGACGCAATGCCGTCTCTAATAGAACAGCCTCAGAGCGAGATTTATGACGTCACGCTAGTTAGATACTACGGATTAATAAATATGTTGTAGAATACATGGAAAACATAATAATTCCTCGTATTTATGGTTTGTATTTTAAAAATGATATAGTTTACATGAAATATACATAATATACAGTTAATAAATACAATATATATATACCTATTTATAGTAATAAATACTTTCGCAAATAAACTATGAACCATACAAATGCAGCAAATGTTTTACAATATACAAATAATGAATAGGTACATAAGATAATGGGTAAAATGTAAAATATATTTTAAATTTTGGAGTTTGAAAATCGATCTAATTTAACAAACAACATTCAATGTCTACTACTTACTATGACTGAAATCGTACTCCACAGTTAATGTAGATAGTTTTAGTGTTAAGAATAATAATTTAAAAAAATACGTGGGCATCTTTTGACAAGTTTATATTAGTTTATTAATTGCAGTAAACATTATGGTGTGTGGTGTGAATATTTTATATGTAATTTTTTGGATTATATTCGACATTATTTTTATTCATATGACAACACTGATAAAGGCTATGATGTTTTTTTTTTTTTTTTAAACCACGTTTTTTAACCCAAAAAAAAATAATGAAAAAACAAATGAAAACTTAATCAGCGTTTTTCCCGAACCTAAATCCCAAGAAAATCAAAAATTTTAGAATAATTATACATATAAAATGACTGCGATCTTTATTATAGCCATCGCTGCCGCCTTTTTCTATGATATTGTATTATTTGCAAATATAATATTTCGAACATTGATACTTGCAAAATATGCATATACATTTTGTGAATACAAATAATAATACATCACTATTAGTAGATATTGAATGTTTTTTTGTTAAATTATATCGATTTTCAAACCCCAAAATTTAAAATATATTTTACATTTTACCCATTATCTTATGTACCTATTCATTATTTGTAGGTATATTGTAAAACATTTGCTGCATTTGTATGGTTCATAGTTAATTTGCCAAAGTATTTATTACTATAAATAGGTATATATATTGTATTAATTAACTGTATATTATGTATATTTCATGTACTGTATCATTTTTAAAATACAAACCAAAAATACGAAGAATTATTATTTTTTCCATGTATTCTACAACATATTTATTAATCCGTAGTATCTCACTAGCGTGACGTCATAAATCTCGCTCCGAGGCTGTTCTATTAGAGACGGCATTGGTCTGATATTTAGAAATGTCAAAAGCTGATGACATTTTACTTTTGACAATTGTGTTGATTTCTGCAAGAAGAGGAAGAACTGTCACTTGTTTTATTATTTTCCTTTTCTATTTCACGAAAGTAAAAAGAGTTACCTGTCTGATTCGTTCAGGCACTCAATTTAAAGAATATCAGTAACTTTTTTGATAGAGGGATTTTATATTTGCCCTGTTGGTAAAAAATAACGGTCAAAATTCAAAGTTATTCATTTTATAGACTATAGCAGTAATTCTACCTGTTGAAATTTCTTCTCTAAAGCTGACAGTCTTTGAGTATACTCCTCAGTTACTTGAGTTACATCGGCTGATTGGAGCTGCTGCGTTAAGACACAGTCCAGCTGCGTCTTCAGGTCACTGTTTTGCTCTTGAAGCTCAACATTTCTCCTAAAGAAGAATCCATTTCAACAAAATAAATCTTTTTTTTTTAATTTTTATTTTACTTTTTCTTATATTTTTTATTTTTTTAAGAGATTTACCTGTTCATATCAATGAGTTTCGATTCCCTCGATTCCAAAATTTCTGTCATTTCAGATACCCTTTTCAAAAGTTTGTCAATGTCAACGTTATTATGAGAATCGTCACTAAAAACGTCATATTTTTATATTATTATTATTTAAATTAAGAATAATAAGTGAACAATCCACATATACAGGGTAACACAAATAGATATAGATCATACCAAATAAACTTTTAGTCACGTGATTAAGCTTGACCGGCACAGCGTTGCCCGCTTTTACATATTTTCTTTTAATCTAAATATTTTAGGAAACAAAAATAAATTAATTATAAATACATAAACAGATATTATTTACATCAAGAAAACTCACCTTCTTAACACCACTTAAGGGACATAAAGAGCCATTACTACCGTTTTCCCGTTCAAAATATTCTAATAAAATTGCGATGAGTTTTTCCGGCTATTAAGCTATCTTGTACACTTCGCACTAAAGAAGTTCTAAAGAGGACAGTGTTCGATTGCAAGCTCTGTTAGTAAATATTTCCCAAGTAGCAAAAAGAAATTCTGAAAGGATTAAATTATTTTATAACAGTCGAATAGCGTTGTCTTAAGGACTGCTTGATTTTATTAAGCGTTTGGTTTCGACCATTCTGTTTTTTAATAAAATTTGTCATATTAAACTATTTTCTAGTGGTTTTTACAACGTATCCTATAACGCATTAAACGATAATTTCTTTTAGTATAATATAACACTTAATAAGACAATGCTATATGATAACAAACATATTATTTTATTAGACTCTTATACCCACCATGTAAGAGTTCTATAATATTCATATAACTAGTAGTCACAAGATCATATAATAGTTACTTAAACTTGTTTTATTAAAGTTGTATTACGTTGTATGACAGAATGTTTTATTGCGTTAAACTACAGTGCTGTATACAACACCAGTTATATAGCCCTATATGATAAAATTGTGCTTAACAAAATAAATTCGCTGTAATATCTGCATTATAAAACTGGTAATGTATAACATAACCTCATTTTAAATTAAATGGTATACCTAGTTATTTATTTTGTTATTGTTGTTGTTGCAAAAGTAATATCTACGTACGAGTATAATCAGTCACAGCTATTATGAATTCTGGACAAAGTTGGAAAAAAGTTAACAAACGCAGTGGTAGTTATAAAGAGCACGTAAGAAAAAACTCCTGGAAATTACGGCAAATAATCCCGAGAATTCCCTGGGTTCCCAAAAGCCAAAATCTCTCAGGTTATCTGGCTTCTTCAAAGCATTGTTGCCACGTTGATGTAAAAGTTTTACTGTAGTAATGTTTGTATTGTTTTATTGTTGTTTTTCCAAGTCCTTAGGTTGCCGCTCACTCGTCGGGCACGCATGAAATGCATTGCGTGCATGAATCCATGAAAATCTGATCATGTTTGTTTGTTTAAATACTAATCAAATGAGATTTGGCAACATCTATTTGTCACAAATCTCAATATGTCCAAAATAGTTCTATAGTGCCTGGAAATTCTGCGTAATGATAGATATTTATCCTATACCGTTTTATTTTACAACAAAGACTTATTTAAGGGATTCATTTATAATAAAATGGTTGCATTATAATTCGCCATGTTTAAGGCAGAATTTTTGTTTGGCCTATGGCCGCCATTATATGAAGCAAAATTAAAAACATCAAAATAAATTGTAAAATGTTATTTTTGAGAACTATTTTGTGATAAGATTCCCACATACAGTAATAAAGTGTTTAATTAAATTAAAAACAAGAATTTTTGAAAATTTTATTTTATTTTATTGTTTAAATTTATACGTAAACCTTAATCGAAATGAAAGCGCTTAATAATAATTTTTATAATAATAAATAATAAATTTTTTGCCAAATACATACCTATAATCTACCAGTAAAATTTTCGGCGCAACAAAAATTGTCCCTAATTTTCAAACCCTATTAATGATTTTTTATATTACATATTTCTTGTACCTTCTAGCTCTAGCCGCCATTTTCATTGTCGAGTAGTCTCCTTTTTAACAATCCACATCCTCTAGATTCATTTTACGACACGCTTAAAATATAATTTGCTCCTAATATTCTTCGGTAAAAAATAAAATACTCTTTTACCTCGCTAAATGATCAAATATTTTTATTGTTCTGTTTCTTAGATGTGACCACGTAATACACAATAAAACTAGTTTTATAATAGTTATATAACGCTGTGTAAAATAGTTGCATAAGAGTTGTATACCCTTTTTATAGAACTTCTATACTACTAAACGGTTGTATAAAAATGGGCCTTTTTTGGTTGTAAAGCTATCATATTACGGTCTTATAGCACGTTATATGAATTGAGGTATCCTATAAAAATTATCACATATGCGTTTATACAGCCTTTATAAAATAAAATTTGCTACTTGGGTTTAAGCTTAAAGTATCACAACACAATTCATTTAAACCAAAAACTCGTAATTCAAAACTAAAGTGTCAAACCGAATGACAATGTCAGGAAATAAATATATAAATGTGGCAATTTGACATTTTTTTACAGCAGAGCTACCACCTGAATCCACAGCGGGAAATTTAAATTCCAGTTAGTCAGGCCGACGCCGAATATGTTGCCATAGTTGGCAACAATGAATTCAATAATCGCGCCCTCGATGACGTAACTAAAAGTTTAATTGGCATCGCTTAAAAAATACATATGGTGCTTTTTCTGAACAATGGATCACCCTGTATATAGGTTTATTATTTTCTTTGAATAAGAAGACTAAGGAAGGAGCATAATACTATCCGTGTATTCATGCATGGTGGGCGGAAAAAGGACTCTAGGGTGGGGATCCTTGACAGTTTTGTTTGACGATTCATTTGACACATTTGAATTTGATTTGAAATTTTGTGGATTTGTCAGTCTTTACGGAGCTTATTTTATGTATTTTATTATTTATTCTACTACTGATAGTTGTATAAAGGTAGTAAATCTAGACGGAAATTGTGGCAGAACTTAAATTAACAGTGACACTATCGCGATTTATCGAAAAAGATTCTAAAATAGTTGGTTGTGTAGCGTGCGGTAGATCTCGGCAAAAATCGAGTGAAATAATGGAACAACTTTTCGCTAGTAAGTGACTATATAATATACATAAGTGTAGTAAACCGATCATTTATGAAACTCACTTAAATTAACTAATTATATATTTTTTCTTGCATTTTTGCTTTTATTTACTACTTGTCAAAGATTAGATGTCAAAGAATTTAGATACGTCAATTTGACTTACCTGCTTCAGTAGCGTATCGGATGTTTGTGTTAATAAATAATTATTAAAACTTATCTATTTTTATTATAATAATATGTTTTTATAACAATTTTAATATTTATTCACAACGTAAAATAAAAATAAAAATTATTGAGTCTACCCCACGTCTACCCTACATCATAGTTTTACATTTTTTAAATAAAATTAGAACGGCACTGATAAACCGGAATTTAAGTCGGCCATATTTGAGTGCCATCGCGGTGGACCTAAGATTTTTGATATGCTCCTTCCTTAGTCTTCTTATTCAAAGATTATTTTATATATGGACGGTCCTACCTGATGCTGGAAGCCTCAGATAACTCCCGGTTATGGCCTTTAACCTTTTTGATCGCCATTTTGTGAATCAAATCGACGGCAGATTCGGCCGATTTGGCCTTCAGTAAATTCTTTTTTGCTGGACTTTGCCTGCTCTGTGTACTGCTAGAATCACCGTTTGGACTTGAAATTATTTCAATGTCCGAAGAAGTGGTAGTTTCCAGTTCATCACCTATTTTTAATGTTAAGTAGTTCACATAAATCAAAGTCTCATATTATTGTAATCTTCTTATTTAATTCTAAAAGTACCAAACGATCGAAAAAAAAAACGGCGTCACGGACAGCTGGGGAATGACAATCGATGATAATTTTGGAGAGGTCAAGCCCTAGACGTCATTTACTTAGCCTGTACTCTTCTTTACTTTTTAATGACTGCTACTTGGCCTTAAGAAGGTTGGAATTTATTTTTATATTGTGGAAAAATGATTTTTAAATGGTGTAGTTTAGTTAAATTCAAGAAAAAAAAATCTTTTGGTAATAGATTTATGTGTCTGGGAACGTTCTATCCTTTTTTAATCTTTAATAATAATTAGTGTTAATTTTTGAGAAGTTTTATGTCAATTGCCCTCGTCAAAATTATTATGGATTGTCATTCCCCAGCCGTCTTTCACGCCGTTTTTTTTTCGATCATACGGTATTATTATACCGATCTGGTCATCGAAACTGCGTGGTCTGCATTTTAACATGCGAGACAGTGACGTCGACAGCTTAATGGAAAACCAAATGCATTAAAAAGAGATAAAAGTTGGGTTGACACGTTTCTTTTACGCGGTATTGCCGGATTTTGCGTGGAAATTTCAAACCGCACAAGTAGGGGTTTACGAAAAATGTTGTATCTAGAGTTTAGGAACTTTATTTTTCACAATTAGTTACAGCATTTTACTACAGCTGTAGTAGATTATATTTAGCATAGATATGTTATTTTCATTTTAGTAGTAGGTATACATTATTTTTTTCGACGCCCATTTTCCTACAAACGTAAAAACCGGCAACACTGTATGCCGCTTTTTATTATGTCTCTCTGTCTGTCAACCGGTCATTTATATTTATTTCTGTCGCACGGATTAAAATACAGACCACGCAGATAAGCGACCAGGGCTAGAATATTCTTAATTTTATTAATTAAATTACACAGAAAAAACGGATAATACTTACACGAAGTGTGGCAAGAGGTGTGATCCGATTCGATTTTAACCAAATCCGACTTTTCAGAACTCATGGGAGAATTTTCCCTGTGCACTACCTCGATTTGAGACGACGTGGCAACACTGTCCAGCGAACTGGCCTTATCCGAAAAGTCAGGACCGGCTTCGGGAGTGTTTTTAGCCGATTCTGGAGATTTTTCAACCTAAAATTATCACAAAGAAATGATAGAAAAATAAATATAATTTGTACGAATTACCATAGCATCAGCAATCATTTTCTTTAAATACGTAGAATTGCTGCTAGCTTCAGTTGTAGTGCTTGTTGTTTCGCTACTGCTATCCATAAGATTTTCTTGTGTCTCAATTAAAGTTCTATCAGATTGCGATCCATCGTCCGTAGAAGTGTCCAGTTGATTTTCCGAACCTATACGAGGTGTCTCATAAATATGTGATACAAAAATCTTAAGAAAAAATCCAAATTTTCAATATATTTTTTTGCGATAAAAAAAGAACCTTTTAGGCGTGCTTCTGGGGTGGATATATGCTATCAGTTAAAAATATTTACATTTATTTAAACCAAAGAACTGTATAAAAGACACAAATAATTTGTAACATTTGTAACAACAAAAAAATATTTCTACCTGAACTCCTTAAATTTTCCTCATCCTGTGGAATGTCTATGACGTTTGTTTTCTCTAAAATCTTTGGTATGTCTTGTTTATTTACCGAATGCGGCTGAGTGTCGATTAACATTTGATTGTGATTGACCTAGACAACATAAAATAATGACATATAAAGTCATCAGATAAAGACATTTTAAAACATACTTGAGTCAAAGGTAAATGCATACTCCTACTAGGAGCCCTAGTAATTGCCTCGGTAGTACTAAAGCTTCTCTCAGGACTCAGAGTTCCTGTATCGCTTCCAATTGTTTCATTAAAATCAGGTCTAAAATAGAGATGGGATTTTTCCGATTTGTATATCGATAACTATCGAAAGTTAACCTAATCGAATAACAATAGCCGACTGTAAATTATCGATATATCGAAATTTGATTTTGTAAGTATATTTTTGTATTTATATTTTCCTATACAGGGTGGCCCATCGAAAACGTTCCGCAAGACATAACGGCCAGGATATTTTTTTTTCAAAAAATCCAAAATCCAAAAAATTATGTTGGAAATATAGAGAATAGAAAGCTCTTTTCATTGTGGTGCCACTTGACCCCCCTATCCATTTGAAAAAAAGTTGGGGGATGACACCCCCGCTGAAGGGGTTGAAGATTTTGCAATCGTTTTTGGGGCAAAATTGTCCCCCTCACAAACAAAATTGACGTGTTTTTGGATTTTCTGAAAAAAAATTACCCTGCCCGTTATGCCTTGCAGAACGGTTTCGATGGGCCACCCTGTATAATACTAGATATTTACTATTAGGGATGGGATATTTTGCGAAACTATCGATAATTATCATCAATAGTTTTATCGATAAATCGATAACTATCGGTAATTCGATATTTTGATAATTATATTGTTATATCGAAATATTGTATTGGCAATAGACGATATAACATTGGCAATAATTATTGGCAATTCGATAGTTATCATTATTAATTGTCAATATATCGACATGAAATATATCGATAGATGAATTGCGATAACTTATCGATAGGTAAAACCCATTATCGCCCATCCCTACTTATGATTAGGAATGTTTTTTTTTTCAGTTAAATTGATAACTAACGATAATAAAATTATCGATATATCGAAGAGCAATAAGTAACTTCAAAATTATCGATACATGGAGAGTTATCTATAAACCGATATCTATCAGTTATCGATAGTTGAATTACGATAACATATCGATAGAGAAAATCCATTATCGTCCATTCCTAGTCTAAAAGCAATAATTCACACAAATACAGGGTGGCTCACCTCATTCGCCTCGGTTGATTATACGAAAACGGAAAGATGTAGAAACAACATATTCTATGGGTATATGTGGGATGGCAATGTGCATAATTTAAAATTATTTTGAAATGTACAGGGTATGTCAGAACTAGGATCCACACCAAAGTTATATTTTTTCTTATGAAACACCCGGTATTTTATTTCATATTTGGATCCTTGGACACAAAATAAGGCATTTATTATAAGGGTTAAATATATTTACAAGCTTTGGTTTCTGAGATTTAAAGAAATATAAATATGCATGCTATAATAAAAAAGATTGTCAACACTCTGTACATTGTTTTTCAAAATTAATTCTTGTGCTGACTTTTAAGCCAAAGAAATAAACTTTACTGAAAAATTTGATTGTTTCGTTTAATATATACAGGGGTTTCAAAAATTGTTGGTCTATTTTAAATATTTTTTTTAAATAAAAACTTCATTATTTCAAATACAACACCCTGTATTTTTTTAAATATATCGAAGTAGACTCAAATGCTCTTTCAAACTATATTAGGGTTTTGTTTTATTGAAAAATCGCTTTTTATTCAAAATCTGAGCTAGATAGATATAGGAGTCCCTAATATAGTTTGAAAGAGCATTTGAATCTGCTTCGATCTATTTTAAGAAATACAGGGTGTTGTATTTGAAATAACGAAGTTTTTATGTAAAATAAATCTTTAAAATATATCAGCAATTTTTGGTAACCCTGTATAAATTTCAGGAAGCAATAACATTTTTCAGTAAAATTTATTTCTCTACCTTTAAACTCAGCACAAGAATTAATTCTGAAAAGTAACGTACAGGGTGTTAATAATCTATTCTATTGTAGCATGCATATTTAAATATCTTTAAATATCTCAGAAACCATAGTTTTTAAACATATTTATCCCATATAATAAATGCCTTTTTTGGGTCCAAGAATCCAAAAATGTTATAAAATACCGGGTGTTCAATAAGAAAAAGTATAACTTTGATATAGATCTTAGTTCTGAAACGGCCTGTATATTTCAAAATAATTTTAAATTGTGCACATTACCTCACGTTTTCGTATAATCAACCGAGGCGAATGAGGTGCGCCACCCTGTATAGTCTGTCCAGTAAAGGAATATACAATTTTGACAGATCACGTGCAAAAAACGACAGCAAATTAATTTTATATTTGAATTATATATCATACAGATTTATTACTTTACCTGTTGTACGTATCTTTAAGCATTTTTTGAGGCTTCGAATGAATGTTAAAGGCCGTATCCAAAACAGTAGCCGATGTACTTTCGGAAATCGAAGTATACGACATCGTGTCCTCGGCAATGCTGGTTTCATCCTGGTCTTCCGGTATAATCTCTACGCTTTCCGGCGATATTTTTACATCGATACAGGGTGAATCAACAGGGGAAACAAACTCGTCAGTTTCTTCGGAACATTTTTCACTTGTCGTGGTGTCTGAACTGATTATTTCTACCGAACTTGGACTAGCTAAACTGTCACCCAGTACTTCGACCGATTCCGATATTTGTTTAGAACCTTCAAAGTAACAGTATAAAATGATTTTATATGGTCTAATTTATAGAGAAATATGAATGTTTATTATTATTATAACTAGTGATGTAATGACATTAAGCCAAAATAGCAACAAAAATATTAAAAAAAAAACAGTCAAAAACCAAGTCAAGTAATAAAAAACATATACAGATTGTTAACTGGACGGTTGCTTATTGGGGAACAGAATGGCAACACTGCCTATAGAGAAATATGAATGTTTATTATTATTATAACTAGTGATGTAATGACATTAAGCCAAAATAGCATAAAAAATAGTAAAAAAAAACAGTCAAAAACCAAGTCAAGTAATAAAAAAACATATACAGATTGTTAACTGGACGGTTGCTTATTGGGGAACAGAATGGCAACACTGCCTATAGAGAAATATGAATGTTTATTATTATTATAACTAGTGATGTAATGACATTAAGCCAAAATAGCAACAAAAATAGTAAAAAAAAAACAGTCAAAAACCAAGTCAAGTAATAAAAAAACATATACAGATTGTTAACTGGACGGTTGCTTATTGGGGGAACAGAATGGCAACACTGCCTATAGAGAAATATGAATGTTTATTATTATTATAACTAGTGATGTAATGACATTAAGCCAAAATAGCAACAAAAATAGTAAAAAAACAGTCAAAAACCAAGTCAAGTAATAAAAAAAACATATACAGATTGTTAACTGGACGGTTGCTTATTGGGGAACAGAATGGCAACACTGCCTATAGAGAAATATGAATGTTTATTATTATTATAACTAGTGATGTAATGACATTAAGCCAAAATAGCAACAAAATAGTAAAAAAACAGTCAAAAACCAAGTCAAGTAATAAAAAACATATACAGATTGTTAACTGGACGGTTGCTTATTGGGGAACAGAATGGCAACACTGCCTATAGAGAAATATGAATGTTTATTATTATTATTATAACTAGTGATGTAATGACATTAAGCCAAAATAGCAACAAAAAATAGTAAAAAAACAGTCAAAAACCAAGTCAAGTAATAAAAAAAACATATACAGATTGTTAACTGGACGGTTGCTTATTGGGGAACAGAATGGCAACACTGCCTATAGAGAAATATGAATGTTTATTATTATTATAACTAGTGATGTAATGACATTAAGCCAAAATAGCAACAAAAATAGTAAAAAAAAAACAGTCAAAAACCAAGTCAAGTAATAAAAAAACATATACAGATTGTTAACTGGACGGTTGCTTATTGGGGAACAGAATGGCAACACTGCCTATAGAGAAATATGAATGTTTATTATTATTATAACTAGTGATGTAATGACATTAAGCCAAAATAGCAACAAAAATAGTAAAAAAAAACAGTCAAAAACCAAGTCAAGTAATAAAAAAAACATATACAGATTGTTAACTGGACGGTTGCTTATTGGGGAACAGAATGGCAACACTGCCTATAGAGAAATATGAATGTTTATTATTATTATAACTAGTGATGTAATGACATTAAGCCAAAATAGCAACAAAAATAGTAAAAAAAAACAGTCAAAACCCAAGTCAAGTAATAAAAAAACATATACAGATTGTTAACTGGACGGTTACTTATTGGGGAACAGAATGGCAACACTGCCTACATTCCAAATGACATAAGCTGAGCTGCCGACTCGTCCCGTCGCGACGTCTCTCGACAAGCGGGACGAGGTTGCCATATTTCAACCAAAAAGCTCTTGCCGCGAGTAATAAACAAATTAACAACCTGTATACCAATTACATATATAGATAAAAGTATTTAAAATTGTTTATATATACAGGGTCCGGCTATAGTGCGTCGGGCATATGTAGCTCCTAGAATAAAAAAAAATCGGAATTTTGCTTAAGTGCAAGCTTAAAGTATGTACTAGGATCTAGGACTAGGATGTATTATCTATAATCTTAAATCATACAGGATGTTCAAAGTTCTTCTTATTTTTTTAATAGATGGAGAATTAAAAATGAACATTTTTTGTATTTAGATTATTTCAAAATTTTAACGGTTTCTCAGATATTCGCTGTTTTTTATATTGTTTACGGAAAATATTCATTTTTTAATTCTCCATTTGGGTCAACTTTCGTTTAGCTGAAATCAGTTATTAGAAAAAAAAAACTGTCTTTAAAAAGCTACTGTGAACCACGCAAAACACAAATTTTCCTGCGGAAATCAGTTAGCTGAAATCAGTTATATCCTTGTTTATTTATTCTTAAAGTTGCCCAACCGACTAGACAAATTGTGCTGCCAACTGGAGGATAAATCGTGAACCTTTCGGGGCGGAGTCAAAAATATCGATTTTCGTTATTTTCTTCAGAGTAATGTAATAATATAGCCAGGGTTTCTGCGAACTTTAATAGTGATCAGCATATTAAGAAATTTAAACGAAACTTTTATTTTATTGTAAATTGTGGATTATTTTGCCTGTTATTTTAAGAATTCTAAACCGCATTAACAAAGAAATTATTATTTCGATATGTTGGTACATTATTTATAATTTATGATAATGCTAATTGCTGTTAATTAATATTTAAAAAAAAGTTACATACCTATTTTAATTTGATTTAATGCAGGTTTATAAAAGAATAATTTCATTCTTAGATTATTTTATTCTAAATTGAGTGCTTTACGAATTTTATGATATTTTTTTTGAAAACATGAAACTTTTTACATTTTTGATGCCAACTAATTGGCATGGTATTATTGGTATGAAAATTAGCCTAGAAAGAAAAGAATTGGCTATAACTTGTAATTTTTCGAAAAAAACATATATCTATATCGCTGAAAAGCTTTAAAAATGGCGCTTTTTATGAAGTCATGGCCAACTATGGTTTCCATTTAAAAAAAACATAATGTTTGTGTCATATGTCAAAAATGACAGGCTTTAGAAAAAAGACAGAAAACAGAAATTCATTAGGTATGTGATTATCTACAAACTTTTATCTGAAAACTTTTTGTCTAAAATACCGTATGATCGAATAAAAACGGCTTCAGCGATGGCTATGAAATGACGATCGATGATATTTCCCATATATAATTTTACATAGATATAAAATGACAGCGATCTTCATTTCATAGCCATCGTTGACGCCGTTTTTATTCGATCATACGGTAGATTATAATGGAATTAGAGACAAAGTTTTAAAATAGCCAATATTTGCTTTTTCGAAATATCTAGTAAGCCTTGAATTTCTGCGAAAAATCTGAAAGGCGCATATTTATGACCCCAAAAAACTGCAATTTTTTTCCCATTTAACCGACTCTCTATCTCCAGTAGTTTCCGAGATACCCATAGATATTATTATTTGACTAGATTAATTTGATTAATAAAACTCGATTAATTTAATTTAAAATAAATTTGATCAGATTTTTTTTTCGTATATTCTGCTACCAGAAAACCAAAATTATATGATAACGCACATTTCAACGAAGTTGAAGGAAGATATAGTGTATATAACAGATTTCAGCTAAACGAAAGTTGAGCCCTCCATTTATTAAAAAAATAATATACAGTGTGATCCATTTAAAAAAAAACAAAAAAAAAATATTTTATATTTTAGAAAGTTTGGCGTAGAATTTTGAACACCCTGAGTGATTCAAGATAACGATATTTATAGCAAAGTAAGTATACACCATCTGAAGTAAATACCTAATATAGTTTTGATTTTAGGACAGTTCTTTGTATTTATGTGATAATTTTTTAACAAAGGCTGAAATATGTATATTTTCTATTTATTCGGCTGAAAGGTTGAAAAATGTATATTTTTTATTTATTAACCTCTGCAACTATCAAAATATATTAGGACTACAGGACTAGTCTTAGAACTACATAAATAGATCTGAAAGGAAGCCAAAAATACAATAATATACAGGTTGTTCCATTTAAACAAATCATCCCGATCCACTCATGCTCTTTTGAGCCACCCTATAGAAGTTTCATTTTTTTTTCTTTCTTTTGTTTCAAATGTTCTTAAAATTCTGATTTTTCTAAAGAATAATAAGAAAAAAAACGAGAAAATTCAAAATAAAACCAGATAAAACTTAAAAAACTATCTGATTGATTTTCCCACCTCATTTCTTTGTGTTAATCATAAAGTTACTTGCTACATCTGCTCATTTATTCTTACTGTTTCTTGGAGGACATTCCCCAAAAAAAATTCACAAGCTCATTTTACAACACTAATTATAACCCGTATAATTATTAGACTAGTAATTACCTTGTGCTGAACTTGATACACTTAATCCAGTCGAAGTAACATCAGAATCAGGTGATGTGGTGCATTCTGTACTTCCTGTAAGTACATCTAAACTTTCTGAATTATTCTTACCACTCTCTGTACTAATATATGATAATCGATTAATACTATTTTCTTGTTCTAGTTGCTTATCTGACAAGGGACACAATACACCTAAGACTTTTTCTTCATCTAACTTAGTATTATCTTCCTCCATGGAATGTTCTTCCTCACTGTGCTGGACAACTAATTTACTCTTACTAAAATCCCTCTCATTGTTCGAATCTATTGATTCATTTAGGCTTTCAATCGAAGGAGATTGAGTGTCTTTGGTGTTTTGATTGTCAACAAAAAACGATCCTACAACAATTTAGACATATTTTAACATAAAATAATCAAACTGTCAACGGTTGAATACCTGTAAAACTTCCCCAAATACTAGTTGCGAGTTTATTTTGCTCGGAGGCTTCATTGTAGTGGTCTTTCTGTGTATCTGTTGTTATATTGCCTGATTGTGATATGCCCCAAGTCCCGAAAAAGTCGTCGGGATTGGTGTCGATCGGTGTGTTCGTTGGCACGATATTTTCCGCGTCTTCCTTTATATCGAGAGCCTTATCGATGGTCTTTTGGGCCTCCTTCAGTGCTGATTTGGCAATGTTTGCCAGTGCTCCCGCATTAAACCAACTCATTTTCGTACATTATTTCGTAAAATATTCGGTTAGTAACGACTGAAATTGGCGATACCACTCGCGAACATCAATTTCGGAATCGGAAATTGCTTAATTTCGATAAATGTTAGTCAAAATTATTTGTTTTGTTGTCTCATTTCAGATTTCCGACCACTTCCACAATTGGAACTGTCAAAAGTGTCAGATATCAGCTGATGACGAGAATTCAAAAATGTTTTGCCAGGTTATAAGATTATTACGTGAATTATCTAATCTGTGTATTTCTCTGCATTATGTAGAGTGAAAATTAGAGTTAGCAATGTCCTGGTTATTATTAGGTAATAATGTCAAGAAGAGTTAAAAAATTTAAAGAAAACAAAAACGATTTGGTACGAGGTTTTTGTTCATATATGGCACTGACGATCTAATTTAACAAGCTCTAGTGGCGCAATTGGTTAGCGCACGGTACTTATAAGACAGTAGTCGTGAGCGATGCCGGGGTTGTGAGTTCGAGCCTCACCTAGAGCAACTTTTTTATTTTTTTTTCTTGTTAATATGATTAAATAAATTAAAAATAGACCTTTTATAGTTTTATTTAAATAGAATAGGATGTATAATTAAGTAATATTTCACTTATTTAGTTTTATCACACCGAATAGTGACCTGGGACACTCGGGTAACTGGCAGGACATTTCTTCCATTTCAGTTTCAGCTTCTTTGCAGTTTGACCTGCAATGTCTCCAACGAATTAGGCGGCCTTTGCCACAAGTTACACTGCAAGGTGACCATTCAGTCCATTTGTGCCAATTTGTTTCTTTATTGTCTTTTTTTCCATTATGTTTTGGTTCTTCTTTCGAAAATTAATTAAAAATAGTTGATTTTAGAATGAAAAAATAAGAGAACAAGCAGAATAGTATTTAAAAACTATTTTTTCAGTCTTTCATGTCATAAAAAACTAAAAAAAAACTCAGAGAGAAATTTTAAGAGACAATGTATAGTCTGTTCAACGAGAGAATTCATGACAGTTATGTCTGTTATCCTAATTTATAGGTAATCTGTATTTTCTGTCATTTTTTTGATATCGTCTGTCGAAACTTTCTATAACTATTTTATTTTTTTTTAAGATAAGAAAACGAGATTTGGTATATTAGTATATGACATAAATTAGGATTAATTGACGTTTTCAATTGAGCGTCCGGATTGCACAACGACCTTAGCGCGTGGCCGCGGGCAGCCCAGTAGGTAAGCGAGACAGCGACGCGCCGATTTAACAAAATAAATAATTTTAAACCTGCCGTTATTTCGTTAATAATTATCGTAGCGTGTTGATTTTTGCATAGAAATACTCATGAGTCTTTAGCGCTTCCGACAAGCCTAAATAACTGGATTACGTTACGATTACGAGTTCGTACGAGAAATAAAATAATAAACGAAATATCTATAGGGAAATTAAAATAACTTTCGTTGTACATCATAAACCAGCAAACTCCATAAGACGACGCATGGTGTCATTGATGACGTGTAACGAAAGTTGTTCCAATTTCCCTATAAGCTATTCAATAATGCTCATTTTTGTTAGACAGTTGTTTAAGAATCTATTACAGCTGTAATAAAGTGAGTAACTAATTACGAAAAATAAAGTTCCAACCCTAGATGCAACATTTTTCGCAACATCTATTTGAAATGCGGTTTGAAATTTTGATGCAAAATCCGACAATACCGCGTAGAAAAAATGTAACTTTTATCTCTTTTTAATACATTTAATTTTCCATTTAAACTGTTTACCTCTACGTCTTCAGCTTGATTTTCATGCATCCGTTATACGTTGGTACGTTGGTCCGACGGTGCTCTGATTGGTCATAGCGTTTTCGCGCCACTTTCCATCCGTAAATATTTTACTTCAGCCAGTCAACGGACCCGTTCATACGGTAACGGACGTTTTGACACTTTTTTGACAAATTTAATCTAACAATGGCAAAAATATAAGTGAATAACAAAATCGTTGTAAGAACGAAAATATAAAATAACCCCTGACCAACGTATATCCAAAGGAATATACCTAGCTAGAAAAGAATGGACTCTGCCATGCAGAAAATGGTCCTACAGAAGTGGTTACGCCATCTAGTAATGAGTAGAGCCTGTTTGCAATGAATCAGACGGCGGGCTTTTTAAATGGAAGCGTATTTATTGAATTTTTACTCTAAAATTATTAAATTTGATTATTAAAATCTTATTTTATTACACAAATTCAAATAATGCTACTAATAAGCATCGTTATCGATTTGTGAAAAATAAGATGTATAACGGCAAAATTTATACAATTTTGCTAAATAAAATTAAAGCCAAACATGTGTAAATATTATTTATTATTTAAAATTTTAATTAATCAGTCAAATATTTAAAACATAGTTTTCTATTATAATAAAACAAGATGAAATGCAATACTCCATAGTTTTGTAATTGGAGTCAATATAAATAGGTACTTAAAATGATAGCAAAATGGATAGACTTATCATATATTTTTAGGTCTCGATTCAAATAATTATCTAATAAAACACATATAACAAATTATAGTTTGAAAAACGTTTTGATAATCAATTTGATGATATTATGATTGGCTGTAATGACAGCAATATTTTTGAGAATTTTGACAAAAGTACTGACGTAATGGCCCGTTGGAAACTATGCCGACTACAAAAGGAATCTGATTGAACGCCATCTGGCAATAACTAGTAGCAACTTTTTAACCTAAAAATTAATTGCACTGCCACCTAGTGTCCGAGGCTGGAACTATTTTATTTGAAATTTTCGTGGAAACGGTGGAACCGCTTTTGCTATTTCACTTTCCGGCCCCTGGTATATCCGATAAATGGAGGCATGAAAATGCAATAAATTTAAAAAATGCGTTATTTTCTAACCAATCAAAGTCTTTAAATTCTACTAATAAAATTAATATCGTATCAACGTATCGTCGGACAACGGATGCATGAAAATCAAGCTTTACACGTTAAAATCCAGACCACGCAGTTTCAGTGACCAGATCGGTATATTGGGGACCCTTGTTTTGTATAGTAGTTAGGACAATAAGAAAAGAAACATATTTTAATGATATGTTATATTCTTTGAATAAGAAGACTAAGGAAGGAGCATATCAAAAATCTTAGGTACACCGCGATGGGCCTCAAATATGGCCGACTTAAATTCCGGTTTATCAGTGCCGTTCTAATTTTATTAATATCGTATCAACGTATCGTTTGGACCCAACGGATGCATGAAAGGAAATCAAGAGCTTACACGTTAAAAATCAGACTACACCGGTTTCAGTGACCAGATCAGTCTGTTAGGGGACCCTTGAATTTATTGTATAGTAGTTGGGACAATAAGAAAAAGAAACATATCTTTTTGAATGATATGTTATGCATTCTTTGAATAAGAAGACTAAAGAAGGAGCATATCAAAAGGAAGTCTTGGAATTTTACACCACCGATGGGCCGTATGGCCGACTTAAATTCCGGTTTATCAGTGCCGTTCTAATTTATTTAAAAAATGTAAAACTATGATGTAGGGTAGACGTGGGGTAGACTCAATATTTTTTTTTTTTTTACGTTGTGAATAAAGGTTGGTAGTTATTAAAATTGTTATAAAAACATATTATTATAATAAAAATAGATAAGTTTTAATAATTATTTATTAACACAAACATCCGATACGCTACTGAAGCAGGTAAATCAAATTGACGTATCTAAATTCTTTGACATCTAATCTTTGTCAAGTAGTAAATAAAAGAAAAAATGCAAGAAAAAATATATAATTAGTTAATTTAAGTGAATTTAATAAATGATCGGTTTACTACACGTATGTATATTTATAGTCACTTACTAGCGAAAAGTTGTTCTATTATTTCACTCGATTTTTGCCGAGATCAACCGTACGCTACACAACCAACTATTTTAGAGTCTTTTTCGATAAATCGCGATAGTGTCACTGTTAATTTAATTAATTAATTTTTATTTCCATCTAGATTTACTACCTTTATACAACTATCAGTAGTAGAATAAATAATAAATAACATAAAATAAGCTCCGTAAAGACTGACAAATCCACAAAATTTCACATCAAATTCAAATGTGTCAAATGAATCGTCAAACAGAACTGTCAAGGATCCCCACCCTAGGATAGCATTATGCTCCTTCCTTAGTCTTCTTATTCAAAGGTTATATTAGACAAGTCTAATATTCGCAATTTTTTTAAAAGATTATTTTTTGTAAATATAAAAATGCATGTCCTTTTGATGAAGATTTTACTTAATAAGCATTTGACATAAGGCCTCATTTTTTCCCACCAGAGACCAGAGCCTTTGCTTGTCTATCTACGCCACTGGCTTTGATATTAATTTTATAACATGCAAAGAACTATGCAAAGGATAAAATACAAAATACAGGGTGGCTGTTATGTACGGAAACGGTCGATTATTAGGTAAAATATACAAGGTACCGCAAAAAGTTAAATACAAAAATTATACGGTTTTTAAATGTCTATTGGCGAGTCAATCAAAATTTTTTTAAATAGAATCCCCTGTATATTATTGCAGTGGCGGATCTACGGTAAAATAGGTCGTGGGCAAAGACAAAATTTGGCGCCCCCACAATTCAAAAAATGTGTAGACACCCCCCCACCAAAAAAAAATTAAATATGAAAAAATATTTCAAACGTTATATTATATTACTTAAAACATAAATAAAAACAAAACAGAAACAAAAGAACATATTTAGTACTTATGCAGTCTCAAAAACCCCGCGAAGATCACGAAAATACCTGCTTACTACAAAACATTGCACGAAATTGCGCTTAAAATTTGACTTTTCTAGCCTTTACAGAAGCCATTTCATCTATCACCTTATTAAAGTTATTTTTTTTCGGCTATTTCATACTCTATACTTAATATTCCCAAGTCAGTCAGTCTCTCCTGTGTCATAGTTGAACGCATAAAATCTTTAATTAATTTAAGTTTACTAAACTGACCGCTCAGGGGTGCAGCCACTTATTCCTAATTCGGCGTATCGTGAGCTGGCGTAACGACCTTTGATCGATTTCCAGTAATTCCCATTGGCTGAAATTTTTGACAGATGAATTTGACAGATAAAATTTCTGACAGATGAATGTTTCGGCTAATTACAATACTTTATACTTAAAGCTATTCCCAAGGTCATTACGCCTGTTACGTTGATACGCCGTCTTTGATGGAATTTTAAGTGGCTAAACGATCACCTCACATGACACAGAAGTAGTGATGGGAATAATCGAATTATTTTCACCATCGAATAATTAGTAATAATTCATATTTCACAATCGAATTAATAATTCGAATTATTTAGTAGTATTATAAATTTAACCTAAAAATAAATTCGTCCCAGCTAGTGCTCGTCTAGGGGCTATTTTAAACAAATTCTGAACCATTGCCATACCTATATTCTATCACCGAATAAAAAATAAAAAAAAATATTCTTTATTCAATGTATTCTATTAACTGTGCCGAAGCCGTTTAATAAATTAAACCATAATTTAAAGTTTAAAATTTAAAAGTGCCGAGTTTATGATTGTTTCAATTCCTATTGAAAAGCTCATATCTAAAATAGAAGCTTCTTCTAAAACGATATAAGTATGTCCTTGTTTACGTGCGGTTCATATTTCGGTATACCCATATTTCTTTTTATTTTATCAGTTGCAATCAATAATTATTTAGAGAAAAGAAAAAAACTAATTTTAGTGTTCGGCAGGTATTCGGTGAAATTTGGGTGAGATGGAAATGAACCAAATAATAGTAGTATTCTTTCGTTCTGAACGAAATGAAAATTTTCACTTAAACTGATTTATTCCTACGTGGTATAGGAAATAACAATGATTTCTAGATTTTTCTATATCGGATCGTTACTTTCTTTGTCGATTCCGTTTATAAATCAGTTTAAGTGAAAATTTTCAGTTCGTTCAGAAGGAAAGAATACTACTAATAGTACTATACTAATTACTAATATTCGTATTTGTCCATAAGAGGTTATGTTTTATGTTCATTTGTAATTCGGTTACCACTGATATAATATAAAATACTACTAATTTTTATCTCGATATATCGAAAAAGATAATTCGAATTAGTTAGTTTTAATTTACTATCGAATTAGTCGTATTATTTAATTCGAATTTTCCCAACACTACACAGAAGCACAAATTATGCGACAGAAGTGACTGGCATGGTCAGAAATATTCGCAGCGCGGTCTGCAAGTTCGGATAATTCGGAATTAAGCAATATTTTTCTAGCATATTAAGAATATCGTCGGTCATAAAGTTGTGGCACATTTTTTTAAATGGAACTGTATATTATTGCATATTTCAATTGCTTCAATTTTAAGCAATAATCGTAATACACAATGTACATAAATTGAAGAATTGAAATGTTAAACATAAATTTTGTAATTTCCAGACTTGATATAATCTCATTTTATACATCTGTAAATGCTAATTTGAGAACTAATCTCAAATATTATTAAGTAATCACAGTTTCCGCAGAATGGCATCGTTAAACGAAACCAAACACATCGAAATGAATTAAATCAAATTGTTTAAGTGATATTTTCAGAAGTCAATAGCTCGGAAACGGTTGGTTTGAGGTACATTGTGTGTATTTCGATGTTTGCTTAGAATTGAAGGAAGAATTTAAATATGCATTAATATACAGGGGGTTCTATTTAAAAAAATCAAACTTTTTTATGTGCCACGACTTCCTGGCCTGTATACTTAAAGTTATTAATCGCTAATAGACATTTAAAAACCCTGTACTTTTTGTATTTCACTTTTTGCTATACTTGCTATAGTTTACCTAATATAATCGACCGTTTCCATCATAGACTTAAAATAAAATATAGACTGAGCATCTCATTCATAAATAGCTGAACATGCGGTCAGACAATGTCTTTGTTATTGTTTTTAGGTTATAACGAGTGCGACACGAGCGATAGATAGGTTGTCTCTGTCGTAACGGTCGTTCCCTGACGACTCTGCCGAGAAACACAACACTGTCTTTCGTCTCAAGTACACCTGAACTTCTCCGTATCATAGCCAGCTGGGTAATTTTTTCATTTTAATGAAGCTATAATTAAATTAAAATATATCGTATTTAAACTTTTTATATTTTATTAAGATTTAGGACAGGTTTTTAAATAAAAGTTTAGAAAAACGTCTTAGAGTCCAAAAAGGATAAAAATAATAAAATACACGTTATAGAAGAAATTTTATAATCGAAATTACGTAATTTTTGAAATTAATAATAAATTATTATTTTAGTCAAACATTTACAACCCCTAATATTAATGAAAACAGGATCTATTCCACAGATATAATAGAATCGGCGACAGAGAGAGAAAAAAAAATATGATTGTTGTAATTTTTTTTCTGGTTAAGTGATGTCTTATTATGTAAAATAGAGAAAACATAAATCTGTTCCATTAAAGCAAGGAAGGTGATAGGAAGGGGATAAAATGAAAACTACATTTATTTAACTCGGTACTGTCTTTATTATACCGGGTGCGTCCCAAAAGTGGCTCAACCCCATTATTTTAGTAAGATATTTTCAAATAAAAAAACAGGATTTAGTATGTTAGTATATGACATAAATTAGGATTGATTGCGCATTCAATTGTTTTTGGTCACTTCCTGTTTCACCGGAAATGTCTATAACTTTTAATTTTTAAACGGCACCCTCGGTATATTTCTACTTTATTCGATAGAAAATGACACTCTGGATAGAATGACATATCATATGTCAACTTTTGACATTTTCGCATATGGTTTAATTGTAATTGTAACACGCGGTTCATAACGACAATTTGACCCGAAATACCAAGCGTGTGGTATCAATATATCATAAAAAAATGCTTTTTCCAAATATGCTAATGAGTCACCCTTATTCCATTTAAGAAAATTGATATATGTATGATTAAAAATACGATTTGTACATCTTTTAACCGGCCTAGAAAAGACACGAAACCCATTAGACGATCAAAACTATTTTTCCAAGGCTCCTTGATTAAAACTTAGTGTTTTTAACAACACTATGGCACCCTGGATTGAAATTTAAAATACGATTTGTTTTTAAGCGACAATGTCAAAAGTTGACATATGATATGTTATTCTATTCAGAGTGTCATTTTTTATCGAATAAAGTAGCAATATACCGAGGGTGCCTTTAAAAACCAAAAGATGTAATCATTTCGGTGAAACAGGAAAAGACCAAAAACAATTGAATACGTCAATAAATCCTAATTTATGTCATATACCTACTAACATACAAATCTGTTTTTTTATCTGAAAAAATAAAAAAGTTATAGGGGGTGAGCCACTTTTGAGACCACCCGGTATATTAAAAAATATTGTTTCATCATGTAATATCATTTTAAAATTCTTGTATGTTATTTTAGATTCTGAAGATAATTTTAGAATAAACCGGAATATATTTTTAATTAAAACATTATTAATTATTAACAGGGTTATAATTATGATTTTGTTACAATGTAAGTAAGTAAATAATGTAATGTAAGAGAAAAAATTCAGATTTTACATTTTACTAAAATATTATCTAAATAAGCGCCTTTCTACAACAACGCCACTGACTCCTAATGGGTAAATTGAGAGTTGCCTACCGGTCAAAAGTCGTTTCAACACTTAAATGGCTTATTTAAGTCAAATTTCTTGCAAATTTGGCACTGGCGAACCATATTTTATAGTTCTTGAACAGAAAATGTCAATAAAATAAACACTTAAGGACTACAAGCTAAGAAAATGCGTTAATACAGCCGGGGACATAGCGGCAACAAAGCTTTACCGCACACGTGCGACACGTACTACAAGGTAATAAATGAATGAATAGGCTCCCTCGTCTCTAATCGGTGTTGTCATATTGTAAAGAACTTATCCTTTTTAAACAGTATCCGACTTATAATTTAGTAGTATAAGGACTATTTATTACATCTATGGAATATTAAAACCTACTTTATTAAACTGTAGTATTAATATCTCAATATATGTGTATAACAAGAAAAAAATATTGATACTATTAAAGACGTGACAACATAGGCTGGACGAGGAAGGCTCGGTCGACTGTACCCAGAAGTAAACATGTGTACAAAAAAGAATGTTTGTCCGCGTTGAGATGTAAATAGTGTAGTCTATATTTTATTTTAAGTCTATGGTTTCCATACATAACAGCGACCCTGTATAAACAACTATACTTACGTTTTTGTTTAGCATTCGCAGACTTTTTCCTCCTTTTATTCGATTTCTGCAAGGTGCTGAGAAATTTCGACAAAACATTTCTAATATAGGCGAGATTCGAATGCCCGTTTTTATCTTTAACTGTATCACAATTTTTAACACCCTCGTTATTCGGTTCTTTTTGACTTAGAAGTTTTAAGTCGTTTCGTATTTCCTCCAAAGATTTGGAACCGGGTCTTTGTTCAAACAGAGGACTCTCCAAAAGATCTTCGCTAAAGACCCAGTTGAAGTAAAATACAAAAAGCAAATATATTTGTGAATTTGCCATAATAACGTTAGGGTACCTATAGACTCATGTCAATTTTTTGAACGTTTTTTACCTTTGTAAAAGACAGCAACAACCAGGTTTACTAATGGTGTTTTTATTGTTTCATTTCAATAAAAATGATCTAAGTAAATAATACCTATTTCCACAATAATATTATTAACCTAAATATTGAAATTCTTTCAGCGTTTTTTCAGATACAATAATTATTAACAATTTTATAAAACAGTAGGACATTATTTAGACCGCGTTAACTTCGTAAAAATACTTTTACAAAAATTATCTAAAAAATTAGCGCTATAACGGGTGTTTTACATAAGCGGCTCACCCCTATAAGTTTGTTAATTTTTTAGACAAAAAAAAAACACGAGATTTGGTATATTAGTAAATAACATAAATCAGGACTGATTGACGTATTCAATTATGTTCGGTCACTTCCTGTTTCACAGGAAATGACTACAACTTTTCATTATTAAATGGCACCTTCGGTATTTTTTTCTTTATTTGGCAGAAAATGTCATTCTGAATAGAATGACATTTCATACGTCAACTATTGACATTTTGTTATGATTAAAAATACGATTTGGGCATATTTTAACCGACACGAAAACATTAGACGATAAATTCTACTTTTCCAATGCTCCTAGAACTCTAGATTCAAATTTAAGACACTACTTTCGGTCAGAAATTGACATATGAGATGTCATTCCATTCAGAATGTCATTTTCTATCAAATATAGTAAAAAAAATACCGAGGATACCATTTTAAAATCAAAAGTTGTAGTAATTTCCGGTATAACAGAAAGTAACTAAAACTGATTGAATACGTCAATCAATCTTTGATTTATGTCATATACTAACATACCAAATTTCGTTTTTTTTAAATCTAAAAAAACAAAAGTTATAGAGGTGAACTATTTTGCAAAACACCCGGTATACGACCACCTTATTATTACTAATTTACAATTTGTTGGGACGAGATGAGGTATTCGAATCATGGCTGTAGTTTTATATTACAATTTTCTATTATTATTATTATTATTAATTAATTCTAAAATTACCTAAGCGACTTGATTGTGATTTTCTGATAATTCTACAGGTGAAAAAACTAACATTTTTCTGGAATACTCTGGATTTAGCAACAATAAACTAACAATTTACTAATAAATATTAACAAGAATAAACATTTTGCGATGTGGTCAAAATATTTGGAAGATCTTTAAACAGTTTTTAAACAAATACTTCTCATTTCTAAATAATAAAGAGTGTACTACTTCTTGTCACAAAGAATACCAAAAAATAATTCTTTATGCTAGTAAATTCAATAATACTGAAAAAAAAACGGTGTCAGAGTTGGCATGAAGAAATGAAGATCACCGATCGTCATTTCCAGGCCAACTTGACGCCGTTTTTTTCTCGAACATACGGTATTTTTATTTCTATATAAGATACTTGAAATTTGCTTTAAAGAAAAAAACGTTAATACAAAATTTTCTATTAAAATTTTAAAGAACTATATGTAGGAAAATGTTTCGTTATAGTACTATAAAACATAAATCTTCTTTAGAATTATGATAATGTAACAAATTGTATATTAAAATTAAGCAAATTCTATTAAATATATAGGGTGATTCGCGGCGATGGCACATTAGATATTCATGGAGAACCGGTGATAGCATTTTTTTTTTGAAAAATTGGATTTTTACATAAAGGCACCTGCTCCATCTATCTAAAATATTATCAGCGTTACAGCGTTGCCGGATTATTTGAACAGTGCTAGCATCTTTCTTATTTTAAATGACACCTAGCATATTATTACATTTTTCGAAACTACTTTTATATCTCATAATAACCTATACATATCTCAACATTTTTTGAGATAATAAAACATGTGTAAAATTGGCAAAACCATGATCTTGAATAAGCATTGGTAAAATCATGAATTGAACGTTTTAAAAGTTGAAATTTGGATTACAAAATAAACGAAAGTCGGTATATTCGATTTGTATAAACCAACTGATTGGATATTACACAGGGAGAACAAAAAATTATTTATTTTCGTTTGCTATAAAGTTGCTCAAATCTTTTATTTTAAATTCAACCCTATGTATATTATTTAAAAAATCAAAAGACTAATAAAATTGCTTTTCAACGATATATCATATTCCTATACCTCCTAAGTAGAGCAATTTAAAAATGAATAATTCTAGTATTATAGTTTCATTACAAGAATTTCGTTACCATGACAATTTTAGTATAGTAAACGCCACGAATGTTTGGGAGTGATTCATCGCTTGTTGAAGTTAGAATCGACACGCACGCTATAATTTTTACATTAAAAACGTAAATTTTTACCGCAGACGTAGGTTTTTAAAGGCCCGGTCTAATCATCTGCCTGCGCTCCTCCTACTTATTCTAAAATGTTAGCGTGATTGACAAAGACAATACTATATCGTGTTTCTTTGATTGCTTCGTTTTTGTGCGTCAGTCCATTGGTGTGCTTGCAATGCGACCAATGGAGCATTCCATTTTATATTTATAACCAAATATATGTTTTGACAAGACTTTGACAGTTAAAACAACAAATTACAACAGATTATATATTGATTATTATATGACTTGAAACACGACGGCACTGGAATTAAGTTTTATGTGACCTTGAACAGATTAGTTCACATGGTAGCGACCGATGAATCACTCCCAAACATTCGTGGGCGTTTACTATAATTTAGCATGTAAACTCTAATTGACACTTTTAAAGTTTGAATATTTGTCGTGGTAACGATTTTCTTTAAACTAAACAATGATAATAGAATTATTATCTTTTAAATGGCTTTACTGAAGAAGCCAGAAGGTTTAGGTATAGGATGATGCTATATCGTTGAAAAGCAATTTTATTTGGATTTCGATTTTTCAAAATAATATACATAGGTTTGAATCTAAACTAAAAATAGTTTGAACGATTTTGTAATAAACGGAAATAACTATTTTTTCTGATCTCCCTGTTTGATATTCAATCCGCCGATTGGGACAGACCGAACATGTCGACTTTCCTTAACCTATAAACGAAATTTCAGCTTTCAATATGCCGAATGTATGATTTGACCAACGCTTATTCAAGATCATGTTTTTATCAATTTTATATGAAATGTTTTATTTTTTATCTTGAAAACTGTTAGAGATATGTATATATACAGGGTGTTTCAAAACAAATGCGAAAAACTTTAGGGGGTGATTCCTTGTTCAAAATAAAGGGTAGTTTGCTTTATAAACGTTGGGTCAAAAGTCAACCATTAGGGAGATATCGCGGTACAAAGATGGCGGAAAAATAATGTTTTTATTTTTTATCTTGAAAACGAAAAGAGATAGACTAATGAAATTTTATGGAAGCATTACTGTTATGAAAACACAGTTTCTGGTAATTTTTTTACTTTTTTAAAATGAGTGGAAGGGGTTGAAATAAACCACCCCTATCATTCTTGTTAACGAAATTTAAAGAAAAATCTTATCAAACACATGCAAATGCTTTAATTTGGATAGTTTAGTTTGTTTAGAAACTGTTTTACCTCTTGTGTTTTTTTGATAAAACTCACCGATTGAAAATTAAAAAATTAAATGTAAAGCATTACATGTCAGGACAAAAAATATTTTTAGATTAAGAATCTAGTGATAATAACGATAATAATAATCATCTAGATAATAACGTATTGCAGTAGAGTAATGTCAAATAAAATAATATTAGGAACATCCTAAAAAGTAACAGCGGCCGACTAGATTTTTCCTAAAAAATTACAGCAGCCCACTAGATTCTTTATCAGAAAATGTTTTTGTCCTGACATGTAATGCTTTACATTTTATTTTTTTAATTTCAAATCGGTGAGTTTTATCAAAAAATACAAGAGATAAAAAGTTTCTAAACAAACTAAACTATCCAAATTATTTTTTTTGCATGTGTTTGATAAGATTTTTCTTTAAATTTCGTTAACAAGAATGATAGGGGTAGTTTATTTCAACCCCTTCCACTCATTTTAAAAAAGTGAAAAAATTACCAGAAAGTGTGTTTTCATAACAGTAATGCTTCCATAAAATTTTATTAGTATATCTCTTTTCGTTTTCAAGATAAAAAATTAAAACATTATTTTTCCGCCATCTTTGTACCGCAATATCTCCCTAATGGTTGACTTTTGACCCAACGTTTATGAAGCAAACTACCCTTTATTTTGAACAAGGAATCACCCCCTAAAGTTTTTCGCATTTGTTTTGAAACACCCTGTATATAGGTTTAGTATAATAGAAAAATTATTAAATATGAAAGTACTTTCGAAAAATGTAATAATTAGATTAGGTGTTTCAATTAAAATAACAATGCTACAACTTTTAGTATAAAGCGGCATCACTGTAACGTCGAAAATAATTTAGACAGATGGAGCAGGTGCATTTATGCAAAAATACAAATTATCTAGCTCTTATTACCATAAGTGTCTAACGTACCATGGCTGTGAATGCATGAAAAGCTATACAAACTCTTACTTGATTGAAATGGACAACCAAACAACCAGGAAATACATTGACCACATCTGAAGGCTAAAAAACTCTCTCTGAAACTTAAAATTTTTTAACGAAAAATCTTTAACTTTTTGCTGTTAACATTACGCTTCACGTCATCATATTTTTATTTGTTCTGGACATACCTATCGAGCTTATAAACCTACAGTGTGTGTGATTGTGAATCGGGTTTTGGTTGTTGCCGCTGTTGCCGTTCTTAAAATGTCAAGCCGTAGAACTTGTCCTCGACTAGTCGAAACGTGTCATAGTCCAGGCGTCTCCAAAAAAATTTCAAATGTCAGTCTTGGTGAGCGGTTCTCGGCCTGCAAGAAAACACTCGGTATAACCAGGGGGGGTTAATGTGCGCAAAAGAGATAGAAATAGTGTGCGAGTAACAACCGAACGAATTATAGGGATGTGGATGTTTTCAAAGAAATTTTGATGTTTTGTGTGTCTATTACCGGCAAAGTTTAAAATCCGACATTGTATAAACAATTCCCAG